CGTGGTAAACTTGGTCTCATTGGCGTTAAGAAGAACTTCGAGGAGGTCAAGCAATGGATTGGCGAGCGCATCAACAAGGACCAGAAAATCGGCAATGCCGTAGGCAAGCTGCGCAACTTCATAATCGAGCCCTTTATCCCGCATACAGAGGTAAGCTGACAAATTGAAATATATATCTATATAGAATTAACTAAATGATGATTGGCTTCCCAGGCCGAGGAAATGTACGTGTGCATCTATTCGCATCGCTCGGCGGACACGATTCTGTTCTACCATCAGGGCGGCGTTGATATTGGCGATGTGGATGCCAAGGCAGTCAAGCTGGATGTCAAGGTGGATAGCACATTGTCGCTGGCCGATGTGAAGACAACGCTGCTGAAGGCCATTACAGATGCGTCCAAGAAGGAGCGCATTGCTAAATTTATATACGGACTATACGCTACGTTTGCGGATCTGTATTTCACGTATCTCGAGATCAATCCGCTCGTGGTGACGGCCGATAATTTGTACATATTGGATTTGGCAGCCAAGCTGGACTCGACTGCTGACTTCATATGCCGCCCAAAGTGGGGTGAAATTGATTATCCACCACCATTCGGACGCGATGCCTATCCCGAGGAGGCGTATATCGCGGATCTGGACGCTAAGAGCGGCGCATCGCTCAAATTGACGATCTTAAATAGAAATGGACGTATTTGGACCATGGTAGCTGGCGGCGGAGCTAGTGTCATTTACTCAGATACCATTTGCGATCTGGGCGGCGCCTCTGAGCTGGCCAACTACGGCGAATACAGCGGTGCACCGTCCGAGCAGCAGACGTACGAGTACGCCAAGACGATACTTAACCTAATGACCTCCTCACCAAAGCATCCCGATGGGAAGGTGTTGATAACAGGTGGTGGCATTGCCAACTTTACAAACGTCGCAGCGACCTTCCAAGGTGAGTCCCAGCCCTTATCTTATTAAGCATCGCACTCGAACGTCCGCCTTACTTTGTTCCCTTTTGTAGGCATCATCACTGCTCTACGCGAATTCCAGCCCAAGCTGGTCGAACACAATGTCTCGATCTTTGTACGCCGTGCCGGACCCAATTATCAGGAGGGGTTGCGTCGTATGCGTGACTTTGGCAGCACCTTGGGCATACCGTTGCATGTCTTTGGCCCCGAGACCCACATGACCGCCATTTGTGGCATGGCGCTGGGCAAACGACCCATTCCACAGGTGGCCAGCGTTGAGTTCTCCACGGCGAATTTTCTGCTGCCTGGTGGACAGCAGGCGCAAGCCGATCTAAAGGAAGCCAATGAGGCCGCTGGCCTTGGCTCTGGTATGTGGAAATCCAGAATCACAGAATGTGTAAACATCCCGGTCCCTTCCGAACTACCATCCTATAATCCAAACTGTTCTCAATTCTGTTGTAGCTCTTATTATACTGTGTGTCTTGTGTATTTATTTTTGTTTTGGACCTGCATTTATTATTCTGTTTTCTTTGTATTTCTTTTGTATGTTTTTGCATTGATCGCCCTCTGCTCCAACCAACAACAAATCAACAACCACACCCACAAAAAAAAAAAAACCAAAAAACCATAAAAAAAAACAAACTAAAACCAATTTTGTGAAACGTTCCGTTTGGCCACAATCGCACCTCGTCCTCGAATTGTACTTGCATTTCCTCGCACCACCTCGTCGTCCTCGTAATTTAATCTTGTATTGAATGTTGTCTATATGTATATATGTATGTCAAATTCTATACTCTCTCGACTATATTGCTCGCTCTCGCTCATCATCATAATAATGTCAATATCAATGTATCAATGATATCGATAACAATCGACTTGCCACTCATTTGGGGATACTTCAAACTAAACCAAAGCCTTGCGCTCGACAACAGCACAATCGATTAAACTACCACCTATCTCAGCAGATGAGAGCGATGGCTCCGCCACCACTAATCACCAGCAGGGCCAGAGTAACGGAGCGAACTCTAGTTTCAATAGAAAGTTCTTCTCCAACACAACCAAAGCGATTGTCTGGGGCATGCAGCAGCGTGCAGTACAATCGATGCTCGACTTTGATTTCATATGCAGGCAAGTTCAATGAATCCCCAACTATAAAACAATCGTTCTCTAGCTTTTGTTAATCCTTTATCCCGATGCAGGCGCGATGAGCCGTCGGTGGTGGCCATGGTGTACCCCTTTACGGGCGATCACAAGCAGAAGTACTACTGGGGCCACAAGGAGATTCTGATACCCGTTTACAAGAAGATGTCCGATGCCATACACAAGCACAAGGAGGTCGACGTGATGGTCAACTTTGCCTCGCTTCGGTCGGCTTATGATTCAACGTTGGAGGTACTCGAGTTCCCGCAGATACGCACAGTGGCCATCATTGCTGAGGGCATACCGGAGAATATGACACGCAAACTGATCGTGGAAGCCAACAAGAAGGGTGTAGCCATCATTGGACCCGCCACAGTGGGTGGCGTGAAGCCGGGCTGCTTCAAGATTGGCAACACAGGTGGCATGCTGGATAATATCCTACACTCGAAACTCTATCGGCCAGGCAGTGTGGCGTACGTCTCCCGTTCGGGCGGTATGTCCAATGAGCTAAACAATATCATCTCGAAGGCAACGGATGGCGTCATCGAAGGCATTGCCATTGGCGGCGACAGATATCCCGGATCCACGTTCATGGATCACATACTCCGCTATCAGTCCGATCCAGAGACAAAGCTCCTAGTGCTGCTGGGCGAGGTGGGCGGCACCGAGGAGTACGATGTGTGCGCTGCCATCAAGGATGGGCGCATTACAAAGCCGTTGGTGGCCTGGTGCATTGGCACCTGCGCCAGCATGTTCACCTCGGAGGTGCAGTTCGGTCATGCTGGCTCCTGTGCGAACTCGGATCGCGAAACAGCCACCGCAAAGAACAAGGCGCTTCGGGAAGCTGGCGCCTATGTGCCGGACTCCTTTGATACGCTAGGCGAGCTTATACATCATGTGTACGGCGAGCTGGTGAAGACCGGACGTATTGTGCCACGCGAAGAGGTGCCGCCACCAACGGTGCCCATGGACTACTCCTGGGCACGCGAGCTGGGCCTCATTCGCAAGCCGGCTTCATTTATGACCTCAATTTGTGATGAGCGTGGCCAGGAGCTGATCTATGCGGGCATGCCGATCAGTGAAGTGCTCAACAAAGACGTTGGCATTGGAGGCGTCATTTCGCTGCTTTGGTTCCAGCGCTGTCTGCCTCCCTACGTGTGCAAGTTTTTTGAGATGTGCCTCATGGTCACGGCTGATCATGGACCGGCTGTCTCTGGTGCTCACAACACTATTGTGTGTGCGCGTGCTGGCAAGGACCTGGTCTCCTCCGTCGTTAGCGGTCTGCTAACAATTGTAAGTGCTCGGGAACAAAATTTTCTAGAGGACTGTGTCTTCATCAAATGATTTACATTCGCAGGGCGATCGTTTTGGCGGCGCACTCGATGGCTCGGCTAGGCAATTCTCAGAGGCCTACGACACCAATTTGCACCCGATGGAGTTCGTCAACAAGATGCGCAAGGAGGGTAAACTTATTTTGGGCATTGGACATCGCGTCAAGTCCATTAACAATCCCGATGTGCGTGTCAAGATCATCAAGGAATTCGTCCTGGAGAACTTCCCGCAGTGTCCGCTGCTCAAGTACGCATTGGAAGTGGAAAAGATCACAACCAATAAGAAACCAAATTTAATTCTGAATGTGGACGGTGTAATTGCCACCGCCTTCGTTGACATGCTGCGAAACAGTGGCTCATTTACCAGGTGAGGAAGCACGCACAAAATATTTGAAATGTTTTATTGAAACATTTCCTTTATTTTGTATTCATTGCAGCGAGGAGGCGCAGGAGTACATCAATGTGGGTGCAATTAATTCACTGTTTGTGCTTGGCCGCAGCATAGGATTTATTGGACACTACATGGATCAGAAGCGACTCAAGCAGGGACTCTACCGTCATCCATGGGACGACATCTCCTATGTCATACCCGAGCAATACAACTAAGAGCTTGTCCATTGATATTATAAATTGTTGGATGTTGTTGTAGTTAAGCACAGATGTTAACCAACTGCTAGTGGCGAGCATGGATGACCGTATGGTCCACAATCACAGAACACTCCATTAGCTGTGTAGTTGAATTTCAGTTTACCTATATATATACACACTTATATATATAGAATTGGCTCAGCTCTTACCCTAGTTTGTCTCCCACAATCGAACCCAGTTTCTCTCTATCTATCTCTTAGTTAAATACAATACATATATGTTTACAGTTTCATAACTAAGCCTGCATTTACATTCATACTCTTTACCAGCATAAAGTTATTAAGTTACGATCATTTTTCTAGTTGACGCTCCTCTCTAGGCTATAGCCGGGTTTTTGGAAACTAACTAACTAATAGAAAGAAAAGATATATAAATCTAACAAAAAAAAAATTAGTGAAATCTTGAGTCGCAAAACAACGACAATTATCATTATTATTTGATTTTTTTTTTATAATTATTTTAGTTTGGATGCGAACTGGTTTAGTCAACATTGAATAAACTTGCGAAATTCTTAATTAATAGTTTCGTTGATTATTGTTTCATTTTGATTTACTTTTACCATGCTCGCTTATGCTGAGATGTGAAAAACTGCACTAATTAGAACTGCACCAGTTCCTGCACTCGAAATGCACATTTATTTATAACTAATTAATATATATACACAAATAGTATATGTTATATATATTTATGAAGCACGGCTGTCTGGTGTGAACATTCGAAAATGTTTCGTTTAAATCGAAACTGTGATTTCCTTCAGAAAGGTTTTTAGGAATTATCAAAAATATTGCTTTCCCTTTTTCAAAGAATTATAAACGGATCGAAAAAGGCATATATATAAGGTATATATGTGTATATGTAGTTTTTGTTCACTCGGGCACATTATAATTAAAGCGCACAAAAATTCACTCAAACTGAAACAATAGCATTTTCTTTTGACTAGAGACATTTAGTCTCGATTTAATATGAAATGAAAAAAAAAAAAAAACAAACAAATTTGGAATACCTGCACACATTTTGTTTTCCCCTTGGCCTCTACTCAATGACCAAGTTAACTAAGCGTAAAATCTCATTTAAAAAGTATATGTAACTTGCTAAGCAGCCTCACTAGAGAGTAGATAACTCAAACAGATTTTATCTCATGCGACGCATTTTACGATCCAATTTACGCTGCTTTTTCTCATCCACCTCGGGCTGTTCCTCGGCGGCATTGCGCTGCGATAGCCAGGGCTGTATAACACTGCCCCAGAGCATCCAAATGGCGCGTATGGGCGCCAACAGCAGCACCAACCAGAAATAGTTGGATATCAAAGCCAACAGAAGCGTGCCAGAGGTGAGTATGATCAGATCCTTGACATTTCTGCAATGTAAAATCGGAATAGGTGCTAACAGGTGGTGGCAAAATGGTAGTCAAGCTAATACATACTCTGCAATGCCACCTTCCATATTCAAGTCATTGCCAGAGTCCAAAAGTGCACCGGTCTCCGAGTACTTTGCCCGTGACATAAATGCCATGAACTGGTACGCGGCTCCCAGGGTAAGCAGCGATAGGGCCAGCATGAACTACAATCATTTTAGGTAGTGCATTAATCGTTTCTGTCGAGGACTAGATTCCCATTCAGCTTACCACTGTCAGCTTTGTGATTTCGAAGACCAGAAAACTGAGCAACACGGCGGGTACGGCGCATCCAATGGCCATGTTCCTATAGAAAGCCAATGTTGTTTTGTTCTCCTCGACGATTTGTTTTGCGCCCTTGGTGCCCTGCTTACCCTTCTGTTGTGGCTGCATATTCGAATTGGAGAATTATTTATAATAAAGGGCAACTATATTTAAATACTTACTGCCATTTTTAATTGAACTATTTCACTATTTCTTAATACAAATTAAGTGTACGTAAAAGACGTGGCATAAACTTATCACTCTGCTATCGATATCGTTCGTTATGAAATCGATAGGTTTGTATGTAAATGTAAACAAGAGAGGGACCAGAGCTTCTCGATTGTAATTTTCGAACTGTGGCAGCACCGAAGCGCATTCCTCGTACTATTGCACCTTGGACTTTATATCAATCGGAGTTTAATTTAGTTAAAGAAAACAAACATGGAAAAGTGGGTGCAGCTAAATAATCAGGCAGCCGGCAGGGATAAAATTGCTCGGCTCATCCAGTATGCGTCGCGTGCCATGTGGGACTCACTGGAGTCCTCCAATTGCCATCCGGCGTTGGTGGACAACTTCAAGACAATCGAATATATCTTGAGCACATTCCGAAAATGTTAGTTGTGTAATTTGCTTTTGGAAGATGTTTATTGAGATCTTTTTCTGCAGTGCTGCGCTTTGGCAAGGGCTTGGATGTGTTCTATGCTAGCTTACGTGCCATTCACTATCCAGATCTGACGATTCGGGTCACGCTAACAATGAGCAAGATTTCACAGGCTTTGTTCCTGCTAGCGGATCATTTGCTTTGGCTTGCTCGCACTGGCTTAACGGCGGTCGATACCAAGAAATGGTCAAAGATTGCCAACAAGTATTGGCTGTTCTCCATTGTTATGAATTTATGCCGAGACTTGTACGAGATAATGCGAGTCTTGGATCTGCACAAAGCCAGCTGCAGCAGTGGCATCTCACGCTGCAAGATTCCAAGTCGGATCAACACACCGGCGGACTTCAAGAGATTGGCTCTAAATTCATATGGCCTAATGCTGGGCCACAAAGATATCTTTGTGGATACGGTGAAGAATGTGTGCGATTTCTTTATACCTCTGACGGCTTTGGGTTACACAAGTCTGACCCCGAGGACAATTGGCATTTTAGGTGCAATCTCTTCAATGGCTGGCCTCTGGGCGTTGCTCGAGCCAGCAGCCAAACTGACGCCCGCATAAATTCGGTCAGCAGATGTGTTTATTTATGTATAAATATGTGAATGTACTTGTGGCATAATTTGTTTGATATTTTGTACATACGATATTTATTAAGTTGAAAATGGAAGATTTTATTGAAACGATTTTGATGTTATATAAGTGTACCTAAACAAAAAACTAAAGTTCAATTAAATATGTAACTGTAACGACCTATAATTTTAGGGTATTTCGTCTTCTAACAATGCTGCGTTTATTTTGCATTTATTTACACGTTGACCAACACTATCAGTATATCGACACTTTTTGCTGCAACAGCTGTTCAGCGGAATTTTCTTTACCAAGTTTGTTAATAAACTTCGTGGGGACCGTGGCGTTATCTAGAAATTGAAAATCGATGTGTCATTGCTCAGTGGCCCAGTGAAAGTGTGTGCGGGCTGTTAACGGCATTAAGCAGTTTGTGTGCGTGTCCGTCCATTTGCCGCCGAAATGCACTACTCGTATTCCTCGCTGTCCACCGGCGCTGGCGTCGATCAGCACAATCGCTGCCTCGGCAACAGGGCCTGGTGTGTCAAGGTAGGTGCTGCAACTCCTTGATCGCTTGATTGCATAACTAATAATCTGCTTGCAGGATATTTGCGGCATTGTGTGCGTGATAATGACGTGGCTGCTCATACTGTTTGCGGAGTTTGTGGTGTGTGGCCTGATACTGTTGCCCAACTACGACAACAATACGGTATTCAGTAGCGTCAATATGATAATATTCCAAGCGCTGGCATTCCTGGCATTCGTTTCCCACCTGCGCACAATGCTCTCCGATCCGGTAAGTCATCGAATTTACACTCTATGCTTGTATATCAGTTACTCATGTTAACTGTGCTGCAGGGCGCTGTACCTAGGGGAAATGCCACCAAGGAGATGATCGAGCAGATGGGCTATCGAGAGGGCCAGATGTTCTACAAGTGCCCCAAGTGCTGCAGTATTAAGCCGGATCGTGCGCATCATTGCTCCGTCTGCCAGCGCTGTATACGTAAGATGGATCACCACTGTCCCTGGGTCAACAACTGCGTTGGCGAGAACAATCAAAAGTATTTTGTACTCTTTACGGTGCGTGAGCAGCAGCGCTATGCTGTCTGTGACTACGATTTATAATATGTGTGCGTTGGTTTTCTCTTTACAGTTTTATATAGCATCGATATCGGTGCACACACTCTTTTTGGTGATGACACAGTTTGCCGAGTGCGTGAAGAGCGATTGGCGCACCTGCTCTCCGTACTCTCCACCGGCAACCATATTTCTGATGCTCTTTCTCACTTTCGAGGGCCTGATGTTTGGCATATTCACGATTATAATGCTGGCCACGCAGCTGAATGCTATACTAAACGATCAAACGGTGCGCATAACTCTATAAATATCCCAATTTAAGTACTTCAATTGTTTATTTACCTTTGCAGGGCATTGAGCAACTGAAGAAGGAAGAGGCACGTTGGGCCAAGAAGTCGCGTCTTAAGAGCATACAATCCGTATTTGGTCGCTTCTCGCTAGCCTGGTTCTCGCCCTTTACGGAACCATCCTGTCGCCACAAATTCAACTCGCATTTCTACTCGGTGTGAGTTGTGGCTTCCATAAGAACCAAGCTCATGTTTCTTAGCTTAAACGAACAATCTGAATGTACAAGTCCCGCTGCCCACTTGTTGATCTTTGCAGTGCGAAATCAATGATCAAAATCAATCGATTTGATGTGTTTGGGTATATATAGAGATACATACATAAATATATTTACTTAAGCCTAACATAATACGGACGATAATGTCGCCTTTCAGCAACATGCAATATACTTACTAATTAATAACTAACTATTTAATTGAACGCAAGAGAATTTTACTTTGTAATGGGAGAACGGAGAGGAGTCTATTTATTTTGTATAAAGAAAATAAACGTTTCCAATGAGAAACAAGCGAAACATGCGCAAACTTTTTCACTTTTCTAGTTTCAGGTGCGCCGCTCGTCTCTTACGAAAATCCATGCATATAAAAATACATAAATATATGTACAGATATATCGAAAGAAAGTGCGCTCTCAAAAGAGATTCGAGAGATTCTCCCGACAGCAGCCGTAGCAACAAACAGCAGCAGCATTCGGCATGGACTTTTGCAGATGCTGCGGCGTTCGTTTAGTCTGAGAAAAACGATCGGAGATCCAGGAGGTGTCTGCTGGACGTGGTATGTGCGCGCTCCCTCGACAACGACTTCTATATATTATTTATATATAGAAACAACATTTTTCTTCACCAAATGTGTCAATTATGTGAGTGTGTGTGTGTGTGTGTGTGCATGTGCGTGTGCTTGTCTGTGTATACGTGCCTATTGGAAGTGGTAGCAAATGTTCGCTGCATTTCAAATTCAATGTGAAAAGTGCAAAAAGGCTACAGATAAATATTTAGCCAACCTTTAAGTGTTCAAATAATAAATTTCATAAATTTTTGTGAATATTCTTTTAGCCAAGAGAAAAGCTTAAATATCTTTGACAACGTCGCTGTCTCCATGTATTTAAATATATATATGCATATATGTGCACGACGTTCTAAATATATATAGGAAAATAGAAAAAATATATACAAAAAATTAAAAAAAAAAAAAAAATTGAAAAGAAAAGTAAAACAAATCGGTTTTAAGTATACGCGGCATTAAAAGCAAACAACAAATTGCACAGCAAGTGAAAAGTTTTCGGTTGGAAAAGTCCTGTTACACACATACACACACGGATTGCGTGCGTGTGTGTGAGTGCGTGCGTGTTTAAGTGCTTTTGCCAGTGAGTGCGGCCCATGTTAAGGTGGCCCTGTTTTTGTTGGCTAATTATATAGCTAGTCTGTCTAGCTAGAGCTAAAACATGGAAGGAACACCGGGAACAGCAGACGCTGCCGACGTCGTAGTAGGTAAGACCCAGACACGGGGCGGCTTTTCATGCCTCTGCATAGACAATAGATACCAAGTGTGTTGTGCACATACATACGTACATACATACATATGTATTTATGATCGCTTCGTTTGCGTCTTCGTCTGCTGGGCTCTGCGGCGGTTACGTAATGTGGAACTGAACGGATCTGAATTGAACTAAAATGAACTGTGCGAAATACGTTTCATAATTGTGCGCTAAATAAATAAGCACTCTAATAATTATGTTTAATTAGCAGCGCTTCACATTTTCTAAAGGCATTTTCACGCACATACATACATACGTATGTATAGATATTTGTACATGCGAATATTTTAGTATAGTTTTTGTATGAATAATATTTTAAACTATTTTTAGTGCAAATCTTGCAGACAGTCGGCAAAATGGCAAACGGCTGCCCCGTTTCCCGTTGTCCGTTGACCGTTGTCCGTTGCCGGCGAAGATTTGCGCATTGCGATTTGCAAAAGAATATGAAATGTATATTTTTATGAAGTTACATGCATATACTTGTCGTTGTAGAATCTGAACTTATCCGAAAAGAGTTTATATTTAGAGTTGGAATGTGTTCGAAACTAGGCTAGAGTGCAGCTACTCCAAAGTATGTCTAATAATAATTTCTTTAATATTTTACAAGGCTGTCAAGTGATTTTTTATCTAGTCATATCCATAATATAATCAGAATATATGCAATTTATTTCGTAGAGAAAACATTACAATTCCAGAATTTCGATTTTTAAAACAGAAAGTAATGCTTACTATATATGCATATACATATGTAACTGGAGAGCTGCTGAAGAGCAACATAAATATTTATCTAATATAAAAAGGGATTTATGCTTCGAAATACCCAACTACATACACGTGCATGTATACGTATGCATATATACATATATATGATTACTTTCTCGTTCGACTTAGAACAACAATGTCAAAGAGTTGGACTGATTTTATAAAAGAAATTGTAGAATTAGAGATAGAAAATGTCTTTGAAAAAATCGAATATATATATTTATAAATACATAAATATATTTAACTATGATGTGGGTTTATACAGTATACGATGCGAATAAATTCTATGATTCATGAACTAGAGCTAAATTCATTAAGATTAAATCTACACTTATGAAAATATTAAGTACACAATTTTTGACTTTTACAAACAAAAAAGTATTGATACATTTTAGTAGGTAAGTTAAAGTAAGTATCGATTAAAAATTAGGGTAATCATAAGGATTAAAGCAAAAAAAAAAAAAGAAGAAAGTTGATTAATAATTAATAATCATGAGCTCTAGCATATTATTATTTTTTACCAGTGTATTTCCTTTTATTCTTTGCGAAACTACTACAATATATAATTTTGTATTTAGTCTTGATTAGCATTTAGATTTAGACATTTATCAAATAGAATAATATGTTTTAGTATCAACATCTCATGTTTTCTTTGATCTTTCATTCTAGAACCTCCTGGCCAGAATACTGTGCCACTGCGAAAACCAAGGATAACGTTTAGCGAAAACTCCAGCTCCCTAATACGCTGCATACCCAACGAACGTGCGACATTCTTTGTGAAAATCGACTGTGATGAGGAGGATGAAATGGAATTTTTGCCCTTCACATTTGAATGGTAAGTCAGATCCAATAAATTAATAAACATTTCTCTGTGAGTGTGTATGTATGTGTGGTTGTGCAGTATGCATGTGATTCACCGGCTGTGTGCATAATGCCAACAAATTTGCGCACTTACACATATGATTTCTCCTTCACGCTTGCTCAACAAGAACTGCCAAGAGATGCCAGATGCTCAATGTCCGATGCTCGCTGCCCGGGTCAACGGCGACTGCGCCCAGAGTCGCAAAAAAGACGCACTCTGCTCTCTGCCTGTGTCGCCTCTCCTTGATGCTCTTCCTCTGAACTGTCGCAGCAGCTGTGTTCGTTCTCTGGCCAATTCGTCTCTTGGGCAATGGCAGACCAGAGCAGAGCGGAGCCGGCTGCTCGCCAGTTCCACTTTGACGATCGGCGCATTAACATATCCGTTGCCCAGCAGCATTTTTTTTTAATTTTGTCTTTAGCTGCGTATATGTGTATATAAGTAGGTGTGCGTGAGTGCGTGTAGAACGCTGCGTATACTTGATCAAGTATACGAAATCAATCAAAACTACATATGAGACAGTGCATTAAAGAGATATGTGTTTCAAAAATGTAGTGCAGGCAGAACAAAAGCCTAAAACACACATTGTGTGTGTGTGTGTGTGTGTGTGTGTGTCAGTGTATGCATGTGTTTGTGTGTGTGTCCCTCGTAATGGTGGCGATCTGCTAAATTTAGCTGCATTAACAAATGCGAGCGCGTGAAAAATATTTTGAAAATGCTGTAAAGCTTTGTGTTGTGGCGTCAGTGGTGCTTCAATGCCCAAAAAGTGTTCAAAATTGATTTTCCCTTCAATTTTGTTGTTGGGGAAATTGCTGCTCGATGATTACATAATCAATTCGAAAAGATTTTGCAATACCTGCGCGGGCCAAACAAACAATAAACAACAACAGCAACAACAACAAATGTTGCCAAAAAGGCACAAGAATCAAGCGAAACATTTCAGTTTCTCGATTCTAAACGTTAACTTAACTCAATTCTATCGGCGAGACACAGAGAACACAGAATTATTAGCAAATTCGAAAATGAAATGCGTGGCATCCGTGAGATACGTGTCCCAAAATAAATTCTACAAACAAAAGAAAACAAATTTTCATTTTGTGTTTTTCTGCTTTTTCCTTTATAGTGTCTAACAATTCTGTTGTGTGTGTGTGTGTGTATGCGTGAGTGAGTGTGTGTAAATACAAAATACAATTAATATAGTCGAGTTGGTGCATTTATTTATAAACATTCTTGTTTTCGATTGAAATATTTTCGTCATTTTTCTTCTTTTCTAAATTGGTTTAGGTATTTTTTCTCTTTTGCTCTTTGTTGTTTTGTTTATTTGTTAATAATCATAATAATGCCACAAAGAAAATTAATGGCGAACAGCTACAAAAAAATGCAAGCACGTGCCTAAATTCATTAATATCCATCTCTAGAAAAGTATTTAAATCTATTAAAAGTTAATCAAAGGAAATGATTTTTTTTTTTAAAGAAAGATATATATTTACATATGGAAAAATATGTATGGCTAAATATATTTTACTCTAAGCAGTCATCTCAAAAATATTTAATGACGATTTTATAAAAGGCAATTTATATTTTAGTTATTCACGATTTATATTTATTTATTTATTAAACATTCTATAATAATAATAATGTAATTTATTTTGTTGTATTTAAATATATATATTATAATTCTTAATTAAATAATTTTAAAAGGTGCTTAGATTAACGCCATTATATAGATTTGGCTATACTTAAATTTATTTTAATGTATATTAATTAAAGCTATTTTAATCAAATGTTGAACAGTTCATAATCTTGATTCACATTGTATTGTTTAAAGTCATATGTTTATATCCAAATAGATATATGAATATACATACATTTATATATATAAATATATATATATAAATATAAATATATTCACATAAACCTTCGTATATATAGGTATACATACATAGAGATGGATAGGATAGGTGTACACATATAGCGTAAGATAGGACATATGTATGTATGTATAGATCAGTCTATATATTTCTGCTGTTTCTCTTCTCTTAAAGTTGGCCCTAACAAGCTAGGTCTTCATGCTAAGACTAAGGGAAATATAAACATTAATATAATGTTAAATAAAAAAATAAAATAAATAATAAAAATTATAATGGAATCATCATTTACTGAAAAATACACATAATTATCATAAATGAAAAATGTATAACAATGATTACAAAAGAATAAAATATAATTATAATACACATTTAAATTATTAACATAAAGTATTATTAACAAAATACTTATACAAATACAACAAAACTAGAGCACTTCAACTCACTTCACTTTGACTTCACGAGCACAACTGATCGAGCTCCTCAGCTGGTGCCCATTTATATAGCTGTCAAACGAATCAAAATTGAGCGCTGACCTAACTCTCTGAGAGTTACTTCTTTAGATTATACACTCAAGAAGTGTGTAACTCCAAAGAGGCTGATTTTCGTTTTGTTTTACTAGGCAAACTTTATGTAGTATATAGATATATATAAATATAATATTATAATATTAATTACCTCTTTATCGCTTTCCCAAAAGTTCCAAGGAATCACGTTTTTATTTCTAACTGAATTTCTATACCTTTTACTCAATTATAACAGCGTCGGTGTATTAGCATATATATGTATATTGATATATGCATGTATGTGTGTGTGTGTATGTGGGTTTATGTGTAAATAGAATATAAATATATAGAGTAAATATTAGAATTTATCGAACACCATGGGCAACGGATGCTCGAAATGTTGTCGTTGTTGCTGCAACGAACACAAACAATTTCATGGCACGCTCTCCACAGCCTCTGCCTCGTCCGTCTATAGAAAAAGGTAAACAAAAGCGAGAGAGTGTGGAAATAGAAAGAAATGCAATTGATTAGCTAACAAAACTTATGGGGAATATCTATGTATACTTAATGTTATTCGTGAATGGTTCTCAGGACCCGTGGCGATATACCCATCGAGAACTCCGATCGCTTTCGCATCACACAGACCAGCAATGCCGTCCAGCTGGCCGTGGAGCATGTGCAGCGCGAGGACGCTGGACACTATACCCTGTTTGCCCGCACGAAAGGCAGCGAGGTGGCGCGCAGGCATGTGGAGCTCATTGTCGAGGACAGATCAACGGGCGAGGATCCACCCGTATTTCTGCGTCGCCTTGTCGATCTCTCCGTCAAAGTGGGAACACGAACTCGCCTCCTAACAGAAATACGCAGCTCAACAGATCTTAAGGTAATAGTTTCTCCAATTCTCTATCTGTCCATCATTTAAAGCGGATTATAATTGCAAATCTAGTTAACATGGTATCGAAACGATCGCAGAATATGTGAGAACGATCGCATCACCGAGACGAATGAGGGCACATTTCACTACTTGGAAGTGAGCCCAGTTGTGCTCGAGGATGGGGGCCAATGGATGTTGATGGCCGAGAATATGGGCGGACGTAATTCCTGTTTGGCCACACTGAATGTGCTGGTGCCCAAGGCCTATAAGACGCCCGAGTTTGTGGAGGAGCTGCGAGCGGTGCTCACCGAGCAAGGCACCGTATCGCTGGAGTGCAAAGTGGTGGGCGTGCCAACGCCACACTTGCGCTGGTTCAAGGACTCCAAGGAGATCAAAGCGGGCGACATATTTGCGCTCACCGCCAATGCCGATGATCCCACGTCGCTGGGCACATATACGTGCGAGGCGAAGAACTGCATGGGCGTCACCTACTCCAGCTCCAAGGTGCATGTGGTGGGCCGTGGCAGTCGCGAGGGCTCGCTCAAGCCGGCCGACAAGTGGGTAGCCCTCTCTCTCTCTCTCTCTCTCTCTCTTACCGAATGGAATTTGATTTTTTGTTCTTCTCTTATTCTCAGCGTCAGCAGCAACGCGCCACCGCCGATCTTCACGAATGAGCTGCGAGACCAGAGCGTCCACATCGGCGATACCATCATACTCGGCTGTCAAGGTGAGTGGCGAATGGCGAGTGGCTCTCAGCGCGTTGGCGTTAGCGTTGGGCATTTTAGCTCCTCCTTGGCAATGTGCCCGAATCACATGAAAAATCAAAGAAAAACAAAAAAAAAATCAAGCAAAAACATTTTTTGTTTATTATTCGAACGCACTCACACATGCAACAGTTGCGAGCTACCTTACTGTACATATAGACTATATATAGATATATGTAGTTAGATTGAAGCGGCATCTGTTTTGTTTTTAGACTGTGTGCTCTCGTGCTCTAGAAACTTGAACTTAATGAATTTGCTGGGAATGCTTGGACTGTTGTTGAGGTGGGTCAACAACATGCGCCAAATGAGACGAGCAAAACAAAACCGATAATTGCTAAAAGAGAACGAGAGAGATGGAGAGCGTGCGATTGAAAGCGAGAGAGGTAGAGAGTTAAATGTTAGCCACGCTCTCCATCACACTTGCTCTCCCTCTCCCTCTCCCTCTCCCACTCTGTCTATTGTAGAACAACATGACGTATACTTGATTTTTATTTGTCGGCATATTTCGCAGTTGTGGTTCCGCCTTGGCCCAAAAGCGTCACCTGGTATAACAAAGATGGACGTGTGGAGACCGATGATCGCTACAAACTAATCGAAGATGGCCTTGGCGTCTATATGATTGAGATCAAGCCCTCAGAATCGTGCGATGCCGGCGACTGGAAATGCGTCGTCACCAGCTTTGAGGGCATTGTGGGCATTTCAACTTGTGTTGTCAACATGGACAGTGAGTCGACAAATTAAATCAGAACTAAATACAAATATATTTATACATATATAAATTGCAGTTCCTCGTAATTACCGCAAGCCCAGGTTCATGGAGAGCCTGCGCGCGGTGCTGACTGAGGAGGGTTTGGTTTCCTTTGAGTGCAAAGTAGTTGGCTTTCCGACGCCAGTGCTCAAGTGGTTCAAGGACGGACACGAGCTGAAGCCCGGCGACGTTTATCAGCTGACGGGTACCAATTCGCTAGGCACCTACTGCTGCATCGCACGCAACTGCATGGGCGAGACCAGCAGCACGGCGGTGCTCACCGTGGAGGATATACAGAATCAGTTGACAGACGAGGAGCGTCTGGTCTTTACGCATCAGAATCAAGCGCCCAAGTTTCTAACCGGCCTGAAGAGCACCGATGCCAAAATCAACGAACCATTTCAATTTAAAGTTGTGGTCAGGGCTACACCAGATCCAATTCTCAGTTGGTTCCGGGACGAGCTGCCCATCGATCCGAACGAACGATACAATCACTATCGGGGCGAGAACGAGGAGTGGCTGCTGGACATCAAGTCGGCCGAGTTTGTCGACCAGGCCGAGTGGAAGTGTGTGGCCGTCAATGACTTTGGCACCAGCATTACCTCGTGCTTCCTCAAGCTGCAGATACCGAGGCACTACAAGAAGCCCCGATTCCTTGAGTGTCTGCGCGCCGTGCTCACCGAGGAGGGGGCCGTCAATCTGGAATGCAAGGTCATTGGTGTGCCACAGCCGGTGCTCAAGTGGTATAAGGATGGTGTGGAACTAAAGCCGGGCGATATACACCGGATTATTTCTGGCCAGGATGGCACCTGCTGCTTGGGCACCTACACCTGCGAGGCCCGAAACTGCATGGGCGTTGTCGCCAGCTCCGCTTCGTTGCTGGGCTTCGAGGATGCGCAGCGAGCACAGAAACCAGAGCAGTCTGAGGTGAATGAACTACAAAGGAACCTGTCGCTGTCCACCATTCAAGAGGAACGCACATCGCAGCTTTATGAGACGCCAGTGGGCGATATAACCATAGATGAGAAGGGCGATGTATCCTTCTCTTTTGACGGCAAAGAAGTTTCAGTGTCCCTGTACGAAACGCCTGACCTAACCGAAGAGGAGGCTCTGAAGATTGTTGAGATGTATGCAGATCAGATATCGGAGCATGTGACGGAGCACAATATTGTGGAGCTGCCACCATTGCGTTTCGTCAAGGAGACTTCGCAGTCCGGCAAGCTACTCATGGAAGCAGTCGTCATAGATATAGCGCCCGAGTACTTCACCCATGATGAGGATTTGCGCACTGAGGCCGGTATGGATGACATATCCATCACTGAGATCACCGTGCACGGCTCCTCGGGCAGGGAGGGAGTCTTCGATAAGCAAACAGAGAAATATGCTCAACAATCGTTTGAAAAAATGGAGGAGGAGCTATCCTTATCAGCACCCATACGAAAACGCAAGAAATCCCGACCCACGGAAACTGATGAATTCTTTAGTTTGTCCAAGGCATCCGGCTCAGGCAGCCAGGGTGAGGAGGAGACATCTGATTTGCAAACGTTTGCCAGTGCACAGATGTCCACATCACAGAAGGCAGCTCTGTCCAGCGAAGGCGAAGCAGCCGCTGCCGCACCACCAAAGCGTAAGAAGTCCAAGAAGCCCACGGATAGTGATTCCTCGAAGACCACTGAGGATGATGCCAAACTACAGGACATTTCGGGCGCTGTGGGCGATGGATTAATGATGCAGCCAGCGTCACAGATGAAAGCCGTAACTGATGAGGCGGAGATCAACAAGAATCTCATGGCATTGGTGCCATTAGCCAAATTGCTGAGAGTCATTGAGAATCATTTGACGGTGGTCGAGGCGGAGGTACTGGACCAGTCCACCATGATGATGACACCAGCTGCTGCTGATCAAAGCATTGCCATCATTCGGGATATTCTAGAGCCCATCAAACAGATCGAATCGAAGCTGCGCGTCTACTCGGGCGAGACCCAGATCGATGCACTCATCCAGACCATGGAGGACGACATACGCAGGCTGCACATGGGCCTGCAGGTGATTGAGAAGTGCGTGGAGATAGATGAGACGGGCGCCACACTCATCCAAAGGACGAGCGTTTGCATTATTGACAGCGTGGCGGAGCATATGAAGCGGGCGCTCGAGGAGCTGAAGATTGTCAGCGCGAAATTCGAATCGGAGAGCTTGCGAAATCAGATCAACTTGACGGCAGATGATATACACCAAGGTCTGGAAATAACCCAGGGCACCATCAGGTCACAGGCTCTGCTGCAGGAGGCCCAAGAATTGGAAGCAGCCAAACACTTTACAGAGACCGTGGAGAAGATGCAGGATGTGCCCGACAGCATTTCGTTTGCCTCCATTACGGACGCCAATTTGCCTAGCGAAGCGAGTGCCTTGAAGGAAATCTGTCAGCCAGTAGCGAGAATACAGGAAGCTCTGGAGCGCGTTGAAATGGAGCTGTCCATGGAGGAGAGTGAGGAGCAAATCTACAAGAAGGTACACAAAAAGGTGCTCGACAGCATCGTGCAGCCCATTAAGGAACTGCAGAGCACACTGCAATCAATTGAAGCGAAGACAGAATCCCTTGCCGGTTCCGAATCTATCGAGCAAAAGATTAACATGGCCATTTTGGATATTGTAACACCGCCACTGTTCGAGCTCAATAAGGGATTGGAGCTGATAGTTAATGAGAAGTCAGATAGCGTTGAAGCTGGCATGTTCACGGTGAGCACTGTGGAATCCATGGTACCGCCACTCCAAGAGATTCAGAATGGATTGGCCCAGTTGGGCCAGGATCTGGAAAGTGGCCAGGCAGCCAGAGAGGGTGCCAAATTGGATTTGGCAGACACCCAGAAGCTATTGCAGTCCATTGCCCAAGCCGTTCTGCATTTCGAGACGAACATTGAAAGAATATCGGAACGTCTCAGCGATAATGTGAAGATTCGCTTACAAAACCTGAAGGATGAGCTATCCGCCCTGATTGGCACCATATTGGATAAGGATATAACTCGGTATCATGTGCAGCTGCTTGATAAGCTGAAGCGTCCCATCGATGAGCTGAATTATTGCATACGCCAGACTGAGGTGAAATCCACCTCTGGGTCTTTGGCCGATCTAATCGAACCACTCAGCCTACTGCAGGAGAACACACAGAAGGGACAAGGATTGCTGCTGGCCACACGGGAAGGCGAGCCGGATAAGCAGGCGCTTCAGTCCCTAGAAAATATACGCAATATAATACGCAACGCTATTATTGATATCGAGGAGCACGAGTTCAAGATTCTGCAGCAGGAGATCCAACAGGACGAGCAGCTGGCTGCCCAGCAGGACAAGTCCTTCAGCGCCTTGCGAAAAGTCCTCGAGACAAAAGTCTCACTAGACGAGTCGATTGCCAACATTGAAACACTGCAGCTGGCACTAAACAGAATTAATGAGAATGCCAAAATAACGCCCAAGATCAAATCGTCGGCGAATGAAGCTCAAGTTTCGCTCTTGCGAATTCTACAAATCGCCAAGGGATTGGCCACCTTCAGTGAGGCGGAGAACACACTCAACTCGAACGAAGCGCAGACCATACGCATTCTATATGAGATGGGCAAGAGTTTTGCTGATCTCGCCAAGACACTTGATAATCCAGCTGCTGATAATAATGAATTCAATGAGGTCTTGAATAATTTCAACGATATTGTTGCCCAGCAGAGAGAAGCTTTGGATCAGACTCTTACATGGAATGCACTCGCCATATCCAGTCCACTCTCCAGTTTCGTACATGCACTCGAGAACCTTCACCCACTGAAACAGTCCACCGAAGACGTATCCACATTGGATGATGTTTCTGTGCTCAAGTCATTAGCTGAGTCCTTGCCCACCGAGCCAGAGGCATATGCCGAAGAAGAGGAGGTGAAACAGGGCCAGGAAACTCTGAAGAAGCCAGCTGAGATGTTGCTCTCAGATCTGAATCATGGCATTGCAGCTGTCCTCTCGCATTGTGAGGATCTGGACGTGAGCTCCTTGCGTGGAGAGACTGGTGAACAACTGCAAGCTGCCATCATTAAAATGCAGGATCTGCAGAGCAACATTGCGCTGGTGCAAGAAGCAAACATTGTCGAGGCTGCCCAGTCCTTCTCGGAAGGCACCGATCCTGGCACTTTTGCCGCGGCCATGTGCAGCCTGGAGCGCTGTGTGCTCGAGGTTGAGGAATGTATTGCTCACAGTGGAGCGGAAAGTCTAAAGGATCTGGAGTTATCTAAGCTCAAGACATTGGCCACACCACTTCACGATCTACGGCAATACTGCGAACAAATTGATATTCAGGCAGTGGAACAGGCACTCGATATGTCCTCCCAGAACATATCGGAGCTGAAGACCAGCGGGCAGCAGCACACAGTTGAGGATGCTGCCAAGGAGGCAGCAGTCGTCGCTGCAGAGCCAAAAGTCGAAGTCTTCGATGTGCAACAGGGCGTGGAAAGTGGCATCAAGCAGCTGGAGGCTTGCTTGCAGGTAACCAAGAGCGAAGATCACGAGGAGCTCCGTCAAGTGAGCGAAATAATGCAACAGCTGAACGCCGATTTGAAGAATATTCAGGAGGCGCTCGTCTCAGACAGCAATCAACAGGAAACTGTCCTGGCTCAGGCGAAAATCGCACGCACCATGTTCAAGTTGAAGGAGTGCTTGGTGCACACCTACGAATCGGGCCTGGTCGACTCCCTAGACAATGTGGAAAGCGCTTTCGAAGACATTCTACTGTCTCTGCCGGTGCTGGAGACGCAGCTTGCTCAAGAGATGTACCCCAAAATTGAGAATACTTTCAAGAGCTTCATGACCTACTCTCAGCAGCAGTCGCTGGGCAATGTGCAGCGCAGCTTTGAACAGCTGTTGGACTCGATCAGAGCCGTGGCCAATTCGCCAAACGTTGATGTCGATAAATCATCGACATTAATGATCAATCTTCAGACAAATCTAATGTCCACATTCAGAGCTCTCAACGAAGTCAGCGAACAGGCTGAGAATGATATACTAAGCGCTCTACTGAAGACCCAAAACACTCTGGTGGGCGTGTTTGATTTCATTGAGAATAATGAGAATGCAATCCGCATCATTGAACTGCTACAAGAGATTGATGTCATATCTGCGGAGCTCAAGAGTTTGTCTCAAGTCCCTGTCGCACCCACATTGCCAATTGACATCAGTGCAATAATCGAGAACGTGACAGCGGGCAAGACGCTCCTTACTGAAATCGAACGGGGCTTGCAAAACGATGACCCACTAAGCGCCAAGCTTCTTGAAGAGAACACTGACGAGATCGGTCAGCTGGAAGCCACGCTAATTCAAATTGAAAATAATATTCTATCGCAGCCGCAGCTAACGCAAATCACATCAGAGCAACTTTCGCTCATTGAGACTCTTCAGCAGCAAATAAACAATCTGCACGAAAAACTAATTCAATTAAGTGCCACAATCTATATACGAAGTGAAGAAACGCCCACTCAGGTAGAGAATCCGGAAGTAGAAGAGAAATTGGAGCAGCCGAAGGTTGCTCAAGAGAAATCCGAAGTGAAGGCCAAACGAAAACTGGAGGAAGATTCAAAAGAAATTTCTACCAAAAAACCCAAGGATGAAGTTGACGAAAAGGCCGTTCCGGAAATTCAAGAGAAACTCGAGATTAAAGCTTCTATTGAGAAGGAACAAGAATTAAAACAGACTTTGGATATAAAATTCTCAGAGTTGTGCAGTGCTGTACAACGTAAATCAAATAAGCCTGAAGAAATATCAATTATAACAGACAGCAAGGAAATTATGGATATCTTGGAAAGCCCTGATAAAGTTGTTAAAGGTATTTTTAAGCTGCGAGAGCACATTGTACATACATATGAAGGAAAATCTCCTGAGGAACAAACCGATCAAGATATTGTCGAAGCATTTATCGAATCACTCCTCGAGGCGTCTCCACTTGCTTCAGAGAAAATTATCGAAAGTTATGTAAAAGAAATTAAAACAAATATAATACTAAGCAAAGCTGCGCTTCAGCTTATTGGCGGATCTGAATTGGGTGTAAAATCCTCGTTAATAGCACCAAAACTTGTTAAGCTCGAAGCCATTTCCGAAGACATAAAGTCTAATCTGCAAATTGAAAAGTCTTCTCAAAAGATGATCCAATTACAACAAGCCTTGATGGATATTTTCGTATTAGTCGATGATCTGATGGACGATAAAACAGCTATATTAAAGCCTGTCATTGAACATCTGAAATCTGTTCTTCTAACAGAATATGATTATATTGAGAAAAACGAGGGGAAACTCCAAACTGCAACTATTGAAGGAAAAATTCATAAAATTACCAAAGAAATTTTAAATGTTAGCGAAAAGTTGCAACAGCTCAATACAGATATAATAGCAGAAAATCTTATTGGAAAAGAATCAATCGAAGAGCAGAAGCTGGATGCGAAAGAGAAGAAACTGGCTGAAAAGGATGCTGAAAAGAAAGCGCAACAAGGTGAAATATCTGAGGTAGCTGCTGAGAAAGTATCTGAAGAAAAAGTCCCCGAGAGCAAAAAACCTGAAGTTAAGGAATCGGAAGCAGAGTCTCAAAAGGCAAAGAAGTTACAAAAAGAATCAGTCGAAGAGCAACAACTGGATGCTAAACAGAAAAAACTAGCTGAAAAGGAAGCTGAAAAGAAACCGCAACAAGGTGAAATATCTGAAGAAGTTGCTGAGAAAGTATCGGAAGAGAAAGTCCCCGAGAATAAGAAACCTGAAGTTAAGGAATCGGAAGCAGAGTTTAAAAAGGAAAAGGTACTTGAAAAAGAATCAGCCGAAGAGCATAAACTGGATGCCAAACAGAAAGATCAGGTTCAAAAGGAAGCTGAAGAGAAAGCCCAAAAGGGAGAAGTATCTGAAGTCATCGCTGAGAAAGTATCGGAAGAGAAAGTTCCGGAGAGTAAGAAACCCGAAGTTAAAGAACCGGAAGCAGAGTCTCAAACGGCAAAAGAGCCACAAAGAGAAGGAACAGTCGAAAAGCAAAAACTGGAGACGATGGAAAAGAAACATATTAAGGATGATAAATCGGAAGAGCAAAAACATAATTTGCAATCCATATTTTCGGAAATGGTCAAGGCTTCTGAGTCTCAACCTTCTAATGATACCTTGAAGTCCATTGTTATGGAAAGTAATGATATAATTGACAATCTAGAAGACTCGGATAGAGTTGCGAAGTCTATATTCAAACTCCGAGAGCACATTGTTCATACATACGATGGAAAAGCAGGTGAAGAACCTAAAGAAAAAGAAATTTTAGAAACATTTATCGAATCACTTCTGGAAGCTTTTCCGGCTGCTACAGAAAATGTTATCAACCACTACATAAAAGAAATTGAAGCAAATGTTATTTTAACACAAGCAGCTGTTCGACTAATTGACGAGACTGGCATGTTTGCGAAGCCGTCATTATTAATACCAAAATTATTAAATCTGGAAAATGTTGCAAAGAACATAAAAGCTAATCCGAAAATTGAGAAGTCCTCAGAAATGATGATCCATCTGCAACAGAACTTAATGGACACATTTCTAATACTTGATGATCTATTAGAAGATAATACGTCTAATCTAAAACCTTTTATTGAGGAAACAAAACATGTTCTTCTGTCGGAGTATGATTATATTGAGAACAAGGAAGGACCACTACAAACTGCAACAATTGAAGGAAAAATTCATAATATTACCAAAGAAATATTAAACATTTGCGAAAAATTACAGAAAAATAACAACAATGTAATTACAGAAAATAAGCAAGAAATTGAACTACAAAAAGAATCAGTCGAAGAGCAGAAGCTGGATGCTCAACAAAGAAAACAGGGTGATAAAGAAGCTGAAGCAAAAGCCCAAAAGGAAGAAGTGTTTGAAGTCATTGCTGAGAAAGTAACGGAAGAGAAAGTCCCCGAGAGTAAGAAACCCGCGGTTAAGGAATCGGAAGCAGAGTCCCTAAAGGCAAAGGTACTAGAAAAAGAATCAGCCGAAGAGCAAAAACTGGATGCAAAACCGGAAAAAAAGGCTCAAAGGGAAGCTGAAAAGAAAGCCCAAAAGGGAGAAGTATCTGAAGTCATCGCTGAGAAAGTATCGGAAGAGAAAGTCCCCGAGAGTAAGAAACCCGAAACTAAGGAATCGAAAGCAGCGTCTCAAAAGGCAAAGGTACTTGAAAAAGAATCAGCCGAAGAGCAAAAACTGGATGCAAAACAGAAAGATCAGGCTGAAAAGGAAGCTGAAGCGAATGTCCAAAAGGGAGAAGTATCTGAAGTCATCGCTGAGAAAGTATCGGAAGTCCCCGAGAGTAAGAAACCCGAAACTAAGGAATCGGAAGCAGAGTCTCAAAAGGCAAAGGTACTTGAAACAGAATCAGCCGAAGAGCAAAAACTGGATGCAAAACCGGAAGAAAAGGCCCAAAAGGAAGCTGAAGCGAAAGCCCAAAAGGGAGAAGTATCTGAAGTCATCGCTGAGAAAGTATCGGAAGAGAAAGTCCCCGAGAGTAAGAAACCCGAAACTAAGGAATCGGAAGCAGAGTCTCAAAAGGCAAAGGTACTTGAAAAAGAATCAGCCGAAGAGCAAAAACTGGATGCAAAACAGAAAGATCAGGCTGAAAAGGAAGCTGAAGCTAAAGCCCAAAAGGGAGAAGTATCTGAAGTCATCGCTGAGAAAGTATCGGAAGAGAGTGTTCCCGAGAGTATGAAACCCGTGGTTAAGGAATCGGGAGCAGAGTCTCAAAAGGCAAAGGTACTTGAAAAAGAATCAGCCGAAGAGCAAAAACTGGATGCAAAACCGGAAAAACAAGCTCAAAAAGAAGCTGAAGCGAATGCCCAAAAGGGAGAAGTATCTGAAGTCATCGCTGAGAAAGTATCGGAAGAGAAAGTCCCCGAGAGTAAGAAACCCGAAACTAAGGAATCGGAAGCAGAGTCTCAAAAGGCAAAGGTACTTGAAAAAAAATCAGCCGAAGAGCAAAAACTGGATGCAAAACAGAAAGATCAGGCTGAAAAGGAAGCTGAAGCTAAAGCCCAAAAGGGAGAAGTATCTGAAGTCATCGCTGAGAAAGTATCGGAAGAGAGTGTTCCCGAGAGTATGAAACCCGTGGTTAAGGAATCGGGAGCAGAGTCTCAAAAGGCAAAGGTACTTGAAAAAAAATCAGCCGAAGAGCAAAAACTGGATGCAAAACCGGAAAAACAAGCTCAAAAAGAAGCTGAAGCGAATGTCCAAAAGGGAGAAGTATCTGAAGTCATCGCTGAGAAAGTATCGGAAGTCCCCGAGAGTAAGAAACCCGAAACTAAGGAATCGGAAGCAGAGTCTAAAAAGGCAAAGGTACTTGAAAAAGAATCAGCCGAAGAGCAAAAACTGGATGCAAAACAGAAAGATCAGGCTGAAAAGGAAGCTGAAGCGAAAGCCCAAAAGGGAGAAGTATCTGAAGTCATCGCTGAGAAAGTATCGGAAGAGAGTGTTCCCGAGAGTATGAAACCCGTGGTTAAGGAATCGGAAGCAGAGTCTCAAAAGGCAAAGGTACTTGAAAAAGAATCAGCCGAAGAGCAAAAACTGGATGCAAAACCGGAAAAACCAGCTCAAAAGGAAGCTGAAGCGAAAGCCCAAAAGGGAGAAGTATCTGAAGTCGTCGCTGAGAAAGCATCGGAAGAAAAAGTTCCCGAGAGTAAGAAACTCGGGGTTAAGGGATCGGAAGCAGAGTCTCAAAAGGCAAAGGTACTTGATAAAGAATCAGCAGAAGAGCAAACACTAGATGCAAAACAGAAAGATCAGGCTGAAAAGGAAGCTGAAGCGAATGTCCAAAAGGGAGAAGTATCTGAAGTCATCGCTGAGAAAGTATCGGAAGAGAAAGTCCCCGAGAGTAAGAAACCCGAAACTAAGGAATCGGAAGCAGAGTCTCAAAAGGCAAAGGTACTTGAAAAAGAATCAGCCGATGAGCAAAAACTGGATGCAAAAGAGAAAGATCAGGCTGAAAAGGAAGCTGAAGCGAAAGCCCAAAAGGGAGAAGTATCTGAAGTCATCGCTGAGAAAGCATCGGAAGAGAAAGTTCCCGAGAGTAAGAAACCCGAAACTAAGGAAACGGAAGCAGAGTCTCAAAAGGCAAAGGTACTTGAAAAAGAATCAGCCGAAGAGCAAAAACTGGATGCAAAACAGAAAGATCAGGCTGAAAAGGAAGCTGAAGCGAAAGCCCAAAAGGGAGAAGTATCTGAAGTCATCGCTGAGAAAGCATCAGAAGAGAAAGTTCCCGAGAGTAAGAAACCCGAAACTAAGGAATCGGAAGCAGAGTCTCAAAAGGCAATGGTACTTGAAAAAGAATCAGCCGAAGAGCAAAAACTAGATGCAAAACAGAAAGATAAGGCTGAAAAAGAAGCTAAAGCGAAAGCCCAAAAGGGAGAAGTATCTGAAGTCATTGCTGAGAAAGCATCGGAAGAGAAAGTTCCCGAGAGTAAGAAACCCGGGGTTAAGGAATCGGGAGCTGAGTCTCAAAAGGCAAAGGTACTCGAAAAAGAATCAGCCGAAGAGCAAAAACTGGATGCAAAAAAGAAAGATCAGAGTCAAAAAGAAGCTGAAGCGAAAGCCCAAAAGGGAGAAGTATCTGAAGTCATGACTGAGAAAGTATCGGAAGAGAAAATCCCCGAGACTAAGAGACCTGAAGTTAAGGAACCGGAAGCAGAGTCTCAAAAGGCAGAAGAGCCACAAAGAGAAGGAACAGTCGAAAAGCAAAAACTAGAGACGATGGAAAAGAAACATATTAAGGAGGATAAATCGGAAGAGCAAAAACATAATTTGCAATCCATATTTTTGGAAATGGTCAAGGCTTCTGAGTCTCAACCTTCTAATGATACCTTGAAGTCCATTGTTATGGAAAGTAATGATATAATTGACAATCTAGAAGACTCTGATAGAGTTGCGAAGTCTATATTCAAACTTCGAGAGCACATTGTTCATACATACGATGGAAAAAAAGGTGAAAAACTCAAAGAAAAAGACATTTTAGAAGCGTTTATTGAAACACTCCTTCAGGTGTCTCCAACTGCTTCAGGGAAAATTATCGAAAGCTATGTAAAAGAAATTAAAACAAATATAATACTAAGCAAAGCTGCACTTCAGCTTATTGGCGGATCTGAATTGGGTGTAAAATCCTCGTTAATAGCACCAAAACTTGTTAAGCTCGAAGCCATTTCCGAAGACATAAAGTCTAATCTGCAAATTGAAAAGTCTTCTCAAAAGATGATCCAATTACAACAAGCCTTGATGGATATTTTCGTATTAGTCGATGATCTGATGGACGATAAAACAGCTATATTAAAGCCTGTTATTGAACATCTGAAATCTGTTCTTCTATCAGAATATGATTATATTGAGAAAAACGAGGGGAAACTCCAAACTGCAACTATTGAAGGAAAAATTCATAAAATTACCAAAGAAATTTTAAATGTTAGCGAAAAGTTGCAACAGCTCAATACAGATATAATAGCAGAAAATCTTATTGGAAAAGAATCAATCGAAGAGCAGAAGCTGGATGCGAAAGAGAAGAAACTGGCTGAAAAGGATGCTGAAAAGAAAGCGCAACAAGGTGAAATATCTGAGGTAGCTGCTGAGAAAGTTTTTGAAGAAAAAGTCCCCGAGAGCAAAAAACCTGAAGTTAAGGAATCGGAAGCAGAGTCTCAAAAGGCAAAGAAGTTACAAAAAGAATCAGTCGAAGAGCAACAACTGGATGCTAAACAGAAAAAACTAGCTGAAAAGGAAGCTGAAAAGAAATCCCAACAAGGTGAAATATCTGAGATAGTTGCTGAGAAAGTATCTGAAGAAAAGGTCCCCGAGAGTAAGAAACCTGAAGTTAAGGAAGCGGAAGCAGAGTCTCAAAAGGCAAAGCAGCTACAAAAAGAATCAGTCGAAGAGCAACAACTGGATGCAAAACAGAAAAAACAAGCTGAAAAGGAAGCTAAAAAGAAATCCCAACAAGGTGAAATATCTGAGGTAGCTGCTGAGAAAGTATCTGAAGAAAAGGTCCCCGAGAGTAAGAAACCTGAAGTTAAGGAAGCGGTAAAAGAGACTCAAAAGGCAAAGCAGCTACAAAAAGAATCAGTCGAAGAGCAACAACTGGATGCAAAACAGAAAAAACAAGCTGACAAGGAAGCTGAAAAGAAATCCCAACAAGGTGAAATATCTGAGGTAGCTGCTGAGAAAGTATCTGAAGAAAAGGTCCCCAAGAGTAAGAAATCTCAAGTTAAGGAAGCAGAAACAGAGACTCAAAAGGCAAAGAAGTTACAAAAAGAATCAGTCGAAGAGCAACAGCTGGATGCAAAACAGAAAAAACAGGCAGAAAAGGAAGCTGAAGCGAAAGCCCAAAAGGGAGAAGTATCTGAGGTAGCTGTAGAGAAAGTATCTGAAGAAAAGGTCTCCGAGAGTAAGAAACCTGAAGTTAAGGAAGCAGAAACAGAGTCTCAAAAGGCAAAGAAGCTACAAAAAGAATCAGTCGAAGAGCAACAACTGGATGCAAAACAGAAAAAACAGGCAGAAAATGAAGCTGAAGCGAAAGCCCAAAAGGGAGAAGTATCTGAGGTAGCCGCAGAGAAAGTATCTGAAGAAAAAGTCCCCGAGAGTAAGAAATCTCAAGTTAAGGAAGCAGAAACAGAGTCTCAAAAGGCAAAGAAGCTACAAAAAGAATCAGTCGAAGAGCAACAACTGGATGCAAAACAGAAAAAACAGGCAGAAAATGAAGCTGAAGCGAAAGCCCAAAAGGGAGAAGTATCTGAGGTAGCCGCAGAGAAAGTATCTGAAGAAAAAGTCCCCGAGAGTAAGAAATCTCAAGTTAAGGAAGCAGAAACAGAGTCTCAAAAGGCAAAGAAGCTACAAAAAGAATCAGTCGAAGAGCAACAACTGGATGCAAAACAGAAAAAACAGGCTGAACAGGAGGCTGAAAAGAAATCCCAACTAGGTGAAATATCTGAGGTAGCTGCTGAGAAAGTATCTGAAGAAAAGGTCCCCGAGAGTAAGAAACCTGAAGTTAAGGAAGCAGAAACAGAGTCTCAAAAGGCAAAGACGTTACAAAAAGAATCAGTCGAAGAGCAGAAACTGAATGTGAAACAGAAGAAACAGGCTCAAAAGGATGCTGAAAAGAAAGCCCAACAGGTAGAAGTATCTGATGTTGTCGCTGAGAAAGTATCAGAAAAGAAAATCCCCGAGAGTAAGAAGCCTGACGAGCAGAAACTGAATGCGAAGCAGAAGAAACAGGCTGAACAGGAAACTGATAAGAAAGCCCAACAGGGTGACGTATCTGTAGCTGTTGCTGAGAATGTATCGGAAGAGAAAGTCCCCGAGAGTAAGAAACCTGAAATTAAGGAAGCGGAAACGGAATCTCAAAAGGCAAAAGTACTTGAAAAAGATTTAGTCGATGCGCAGAAACTAGATACAAAGCTGAAGAGGACCGAAGGAAAAAACAAGAAAAAAGACGTTGAAGCATCTGAAGTGGTTTCTGAGAAAATCTCTGCAGAATATAAGCCTGAGAGAAAACAAGAAGCTAAGGAGTCTACGACGAAATTGGTCGAAGAAAGAGGTGAAGCGAAACAGAAGAAACAATCTCAAAAGAATGAAGAAGACTTTTCTGAAGCTGAAAAAGGGCCCGAGAAAATGAAGGCTGATGACCACACGGCAGTTACGAAAGAAAGGAAGATTGCAGAAAGCTTAAATGAGATAGCAGAGGGAAGATATGATGAGAAGAAAAAATCGAATGTTGCAGAATCAGAAGACTCAATGAGTCTACAAACCAAAGCATATAAGTCAATGGAGTCGGAATATCGGGAAAGAAAGGAATCACGGAGCGCTAAGCGTAAACCAACTATAGATCTAATGCTAACGAATCGTAATTCGGCGACCGGTAGTGATCTTAAATTGACATGCGGTATTTCTGGTCATGATATGAAGGTGCAGTGGTTCAAACAAAATAGTCCCATTACTAACGATGCCAAATACAAAATAACCTTGAATGATGGTCTATCCTGCCTCGAAATCAAATCAACAGAGATGAATGATTCTGGCATATATCGTTGCATAGCGTCTAATCGAAATGGAGAGGTGGAAACAAGCTGTCTTGTGACTATATACGAAGCACCTTCAACCAAATTTGGCACACCGCCCATATTTACACGCAACATACGAGGTAAGTGCCTATTTTACCTATGCAACCCAGTGATTTAGTGCCCCAAATTAAAATTCAATTAACGTCACATTACAAATGTGAATCAATACAATTTGACATTAAGCATCTAAGTAAATAGGAAATAGCTATATAAGATACATACATACATACGAATATACTATATATATTTTAAGACTAAGACTAAGTATATAAGTGTTTGGCACAACGCATCGATATTGCCTTTGCGCTTTTGATAAGCTAAAGATCATTTATAGGTTTCATTATATTATTATTTAAGTTTAATTCAGCTCTCTATTTTTAGTTTTTCGAAATTCGAATGACTTTTATATAATTGAATTTACTGCCTGCATTAATTAAAACTCTATAGTATTTAAATAGACTTGTTTCAATTGATTTTTCTTTGGCAACAATTGGTTGGCAAATATATAAATAAGTTTACATATATATATATATATACATTTTATATATATATACATATATACATACTTATAAGCAGTGGCGGGCAATACCGAAATTCGTCAAATTGTTTTTTTAGCATTAAAAAATCGATTGGCAATTAGGATAGATTCGAGAAGGAATGTCTTTTCGAATTTTTTCACCACATTGCGGACAGTCGTGAATCTTCTTTTGATTCGAACGGACGCCTGACGTCCTAAAAATTGAAAACTCTTTCGATCGAACCGTAGCGGGTTACATATATCGTATATATAAATATTTATATTAATTTATACATATATACGGCTCGTACGGATATATTTTTTATCGGTTTTTCCCCCAACGAATTTTCATTTACCCCCCGTTATCCTGTGAAAAGATAACAAGTCGAAAATTATTAAAATGGGTGAAACGGACGGCGATATCGAGCCACGGGCATCCGCAGAGCCGGAGGCGGCAGCAGGACAAGATACGCTGCAGGTGCCAACGCAAAAGAAACGAAAACTTAAGTCGCCAACTCCAGGCAGCTTACGCGGACGCAGTGCCACGCCCATACATGGCCGGAGCCAAACGCCATTCACCTTGTATATGACACGTCGCAGTGCCACGCCTTCCACATGGCGCAGCATAACGCCATTCCTGAAACGCGAAGAGAAGGAGAAAACTCCATTCGAACTCGGTCGGGACATCAAGAGCCAAACCACCTGCAATATTGCTGTCTTCGATCGCGCTCTGGTCATGGATATTTCCGAGTCGGTGGATGTGCAAAAGCCCGTGCGTTACATAACATCCGATTTGTCGGTTATCGATCGTGCTGCCGTAATGGATGTATCCAATGTTGAGGTTATCTACGTTGTTGAGGAATACGAAGAGGTCGAAGAGGAGGAGGAAATCATCGAAGAAGTGAAGCCGAAAAAGAAGGAGAAGAAACCCAGAAAGCCGCGCACAGCTCGTAAGTCCATCGATAAGGAGCAGAGTCCATTGGGTGACTTGGAGACGGAAGACTTTGGTGATTTTGGTGAAGATAGAGAGGATAGCATCGATTTGGACGACGATGAGCCAGTTAAGAAGGGCAAAAAGAAGGCTCCACCTAAGAAGAAGGAGAAAAAGGAGAAATCCCCCAGTCCGAAATTGACCTTGAAACTGGAAATGGGCGGTGGTCAGAAGGCTACAAAGAAGATGTTTGATCAGCCAGCCGCGGCTGGGCCCAAGCCACCTCCGAAAAAGAGCAAGATGGTGCTGCAAATGGAGGAACAGGCCAAAGCAGCAGCCAAGGCAGCCGAGGAAGCGGCCAATCGTGCCAAGCCCAAGGGCGAGACATTTGAGGAACGTCAAAAGCGTTTGAAGGAAGAAAAGGAGGAGCAAGAGCGCATTGAAGCCGAGCAGAGGGCATTAGAAGAGGCCGAAGCCGAAGCAGAAGCCGAACTTGAAGGAGATGAGGAAGATATTCCAGAGGAGGGCGACGAGAGTACCGCAGCGGCCGATGGCGAATACAATGAAGAAGAGTACCCGGATGAGCAAGAGCAGGAACAGGACGAAGAGAATGAAGAAGATACGGTTGCTGATTTGAAAAAGGAGAAACGTCGAGGCAGTGACTCCTCCGATGACTTTGTGCGGCCCGATCCGCACGAAGAGGAGCGCTGGCAGCGTATCGCCGCCACGGAGGGCGAAGAGTTCATGCAGCAGATGCGCAAATACAGCATTGCCAAGCGGGTCAGCGAAAAGGAACGCGACGCCGATTGGCAACGCCGACGCGAACAGGCTCGCCTGCCCAAGTTCATTAACTTCCTCTCCGATCGCACCGTCGAGGCGGGCCAGAGCGTGCGCATGGCCTGTGCTGTCGATGGACCCGAGCTCTCTGTCAAATGGTTCAAGGATGGACGGCAGCTGGAGCGTGATGCGAATCATCGCATCATTAATAATAATAACATTTTAGTGCTGGAAGTCTGTAATACCACTATACTGGACTCTGGCGAGTACTCTTGCCAAATAATGAATCAAAATGACGAGGTTACCTCATCGTGTATTGTGACTATTTACGAAGTGTTTAAGGACGAACCCAAACCTCCCTCCATTCAATATATCAAAGGTACTTGTTGCTCGTCCTGGCTTCATTCTATATGTGTAACTCATGGGGTTTATATATCTATATTCTGTAGAATACTACCACTTGCGCGACGATGAGCTGACCATTGAGGGTCACGTGCACGGTGTACCGCGACCTGTTGTCACCTGGTGGCGCGGCGCCTTCCAGGTGAAGCCCAGCTACAAGTTCACCATGCTCGAGGAAGCGCATGGCGTGTGCAAGCTACTCATCTATAAGCCTGGCAATAAGGATAGCGGCACCTACACCCTGAAAGCCATCAATTCAATTGGCGAGGCTCAAATCAATCAGCTCGTTGAGGTGGCCAAGAATCTGCACTACCATGTGCCCGGCATTTTCCATGCCCGCGATAGAATCCAATTGGACAGCTTGAAGCAGGCCAAGGTGGCCATGGATGCTGCACTCAAGTCCAAGGCCGAATCGGATCAGAAACGTGCCGAAATCGAGGCCGAGCAACAGCGTGTTCAGGCAGCACGTGCACCACCCGAGCCACTCATCCCAGCCAAGCAAAAGCTGCAGTTCGCCACGCAGCTGCGCGATCGCATGGCACTGGAGGGCACAACCGTGAAGTTTGCGGCAACGGTGATTGGACCAGATCCAAATACACGCTGGATGAAGGATGACAAGTGGCTCGTGATGAGCGAAAATATTAAGAATCTCTCCGAGGAGGGCAAAGCCATTATACAGATCAACAATGTCACTTCGGCTGATTCGGGCGTATACAAATGTGTGGCCAAAAATGATCAAAGCGAAATCGAGACCTCATGCTACTTCAAGGTGTATGCCGCGCAAGCTGATGGCGACGAATCCGAACCCATATTCGCCCTGCCCCTGCGAGGTATTTTTACGTTACAGTCTCTGTATATATGTTTCGGCATCTGCATCTGCAGCTGCATATACGAATCGTATGTGTTTCTGCATCTACATCTGCATCCGTTGCGTTTCGTGTTGTCTTCTTCATTTTTTTGTTACAACGCCAACACGAGCATTAGCCAAAATTCGAAGCTGATTGTTTTCCAACGATCACAGTTCTCGATTGAGGTCGACCGTGTTTAAAAATAGTTTCTGTTGCTCAGACAGTTGATTGAAATGTTTGATCTTCTTCTTAGATGTGTATCACTCCTCCCAGAATGATTTGATTCTCGATACGAAAGTTCGAGGCAATCCTCGTCCCGTTATCTCGTGGACGAAAGATCAGATACCCGTTGTTCTCGACGATCGTGTCGTACAAATCGAGCACTTGGATGGCGTCTGCGAGCTGATCGTTAACAAGCCAACTGTGAATGACAACGGCATCTACGTCTGCACCGCCCAGAATAAATTGGGCAGTCAGTCGACCACCCACACGGTCGTTGTCGACACACATTCGTCACGCCGCTCTAGCATCTTATCGGCCATGCAAGAGGACTCAGCCGAGGGTGCTACCAAACCCAAACCGAAGAAGCTGCCCAAGAAAGATGAGCCCGAGGGCGGCGAAGGCGGCTATGAGCGCCGCAGCCGCATGCCCGACCCCTCACCCAAGCAAATGCTCTATTTCACGGTCAATCTATCCAATCGCTATGTAGCTGAAGGCTCTAAGGTTAAATTGCAAGCGGTTATTGGCGGACCCGAGCCGACCATCAAATGGCAAAAGGATGACCAAAACGTGCAATATGGACCGCGTATACGCAACATGAATCGCGACAGCTTGGCTGTGCTGGAGTTCCTAAACGCACAGGAGGAGGACTCTGGCACCTATACGATAATAGCCCAAAATGAGTTCTGCAAGATCACCACATCGGCCCTGCTGCATGTCTATCAGCCGAAGGTCAACACCGATGTACAGCCCGTGTTCATACGCTCGCTGAAAGGTAAGAGCCAAACGCATCGATTTTGTCTCGTCTCGTCGTGTCTCGTTCGACTGAATAGATATCTAATTGGTTCTATTATTAGATAGAACAAAGATATTGACAATTGTGCAATGCAATGCGATTGTTTGTCGGGATTATGCAATGCCTCTGGCGTTGCAATGCTGTATGTGCTGTTGTTGGGTCTTTGTGTTGCGTGTTTATGTAACTATGGACTATTGAAACTCTTCAACTTCCTCTATCTCCACCTCCTCCAGAGACTTATCACCTGAACTCGAATGAGCTCATACTGGAGACAGCTGTGCGGGGTCAGCCTACGCCCCAAGTGCAGTGGTTTAAGGACAGCGTTGAGGTTCAAAGTGGCGGTCGCTTCCAGATAATTGAGCATCAGGATGGCACATGTGAGCTAATCATTGATCGGCCGGATAACAAGGACTCCGGCAAGTATGTGGTGAAGGCGGAGAGTCGTGCTGGAAAAATGGAAATTTCCCATTATGTGCTCTTTGAGGGCAAGGCCTCCCACATTGCGGACAATATTCACGGCGTGTTCCATGCGGACAAGAGCTTGTTGCGGCCCAAGGAGGTGGAGAAGCCAGCCGTGAAGCCCGCTGCTCCAGCGGCCGCTGATTCAGAAGCAGAAGGTGAGGAGGGCAAGGGCAAACGTCGTGGCCGTAAGAAGGATGATCCGGAAGAAGAGGGTGTGTCCTCGGCCACAGATTATGCTTCCGATACGGCCAGCATGTCCAGTAAACGGCGCGAGAAGAATATTGGCATTCATTTCACCACCTCTATGAGGGATCGCGTTGTGGCTGAAGGCTCCAAGGTGAAAATCTCTTGCTTCCTGGAAGCCAAGGAGCCCCAGGTGAAATGGTTCAAGAATGATGAGCCCATTCAGAACTCGCCCAAGATTCGAGGACGGTACAGCGAGGGTCTCTGCCTTTTGGAGATTAACAGCGCTACCGAGGAGGACAACGGCGAGTACAGATGTTGGGGACGAGATGAAACTGGTGAGGCATCCACCTCCTGCAGGCTAGAGGTGTATGCAGATCCAGGCACTGGTGACGTGCCACCCACCTTTACGCGCAACATCAAAGATACGCTGCACGGCAAGATCAACGAGCTCCAGCTGGATGTGCATGTACGCGGTCTGCCAACGCCATCAGTGACATGGTACAAGGATGGAGTGAAGATTGAGAACAATGAAAAGTACCACCAGGTGGACCATGATGACGGCACATGCGAGCTGTTCATTAGCCATCCAAAGCCGGCCGACAGTGGCAAATACGTGTGCCAGGCTGAGAACCGTGAGGGTCAAACGGAAATTGTGCATATGGTCACTGTGGAGCCGCGCATTCGGGTACGTCCCATGTCGCCGCCCAGAGAGGGACGGCCGCCACCCAAGCCAGCTGGCGAGGATGGAGAGCCAGCTGCTGAAGGTGAAGGGGCTGAAGGTGAAGCGACTGAGAAGAGAGTCCGAAAGCCCAAGAATGAGGATGAGGAGGCCACTAGCTCCAGGCGCGAAGTTCCCATGCCTCCAGATCTAAAGAAGCGTCTCTATTTCCGCAACTTCCTAGCCAATCGCACCGTCAAGTCCGGCAGCAATGTCAAATGGATGGTCAACATCGATGGACCGGAGCCGACGGCTAAATGGTTCCATGGCGATCAGCCAATTGCCTTCGGACCCAAGAGCAAAATGTCCATGCAGGACGGCATTGCCTGGCTCAATCTCGTGGGCGTCACAGAAGAGGATGCTGGCGAATATACACTACGCGTCCGCGGCCCCGAAAATGAAATTGTTAGCACTTGCAACCTATTCGTTTACAGCACGGGTAAAGTTGAAATCATCCCACCCACTTTCACAGTGGGCATCAAAGGTAGGCATCAGCGCAGCATTGGGTAACTATGTGAATGTTAATGTGGCATCCAGTGCGTCCAAGTAAGTGTTAAGCTATGTTATGATAGTGTAGTATTATGTATAGTCCTAGATATGTTAATACTAGAATTAGAGACCCATCCCATCCTGGATGTCGTGCTTGTCTTATTCTGTTTGTGCCTTGTCTTTTTGTGTACCACGTCTAGATGCATATCATTCCCAAGACAATCGCCTTACGCTCGAGTGCAAAGTGTCGGGCAGTCCCAAGCCAAGCATTTACTGGCAGCGAGATAACACACTGCTGCCCCTGGATACGGCCAAATATGAATATGCCGAGCTGAGTGATAGCGTCAAACAGTTGACCATCACATCCTTTGGCAGCGAGGATACCGGATTGTACACTTGCTATGCAGAGAGCGAAAATGGCCAGATGAAGATCAGCAAATTCGTGCAAGCCTCCGACTATGTGAGACAGCGAGCACTCGATAAGAGAGTCACAGCAGATCAACTTCCCCGGACTGTTGAGCAAACTGAGTCCACTCAGGGCGCATCGGGCGAGAATGCAGCAGCTGTGGCCAAGGCCAAGGCGAGGGAGGCCAAACTGCGACTCAATCTGGAGACCAGCCTCAAGACAATGACAATTAGCAGCGGCAACAAAGCTCAGCTCATTTGCTATGTGACTGGCATCATCGAGGAAGTGCACTGGCTAAGGGACGACGAGCGCATTACTAAGGACGCCCGCCACAAGATCTACAATATCAACGGTGCCATCAGCCTGGAAATCTACGATGCCCGTGCCGAGGACAGCGGCCACTACAGATGCGTGGTCAGGAACAGCAAGCAGACAGTCGAGACCTCTGGCCAGCTCACTGTACTGGACGAGACGAGCGGTCGGCTGCCGGAAAGCTTTGTGGAGGGCATTAAGAGTGAGTCCAATAAGATGTTGTTTTGAAATGTCTGATTACTAACACTACTATGATTCTCTTTCAGAATCCTACGATGCACAGCGCAATGAGATTGTGCTCAGCTGCCAGGTGCATGGGCGTCCCAACGTGACCTGGATGCGCGATGATCATACGATCTGTAACAATCGCTATAAGATTATGGACGAGCCGGGCGGTGAACGCAAGCTGATCATACGCAATCCCATACCCTCGGACTGTGGCATCTTTGCCTGCTATGCCGAGCATGCGGATCACATTGACTCGATCAGCACTCTCATACGGGCAGCTGACTTGAAACGTCTCATTACATACGAGCAGGAGAATGCTGGGCTCCCTCAGTCACAGTCCCACTCGCAGCCGGATGAGTACGCACGACCCACTGCCTATGTGAATGGCAACGGTGACTTACACCGAGCTGGAAGCCGCGTCATTCGAAGTGTGGCGCAGACGAAGCCATCGTTCCATAGCTACTTGCATGATCGCACCATATCGGAGGGTGCCAATGTGCGATTCGTGTGCACCGTTTCTGGCGATGAGAACACGCACATCGAGTGGCTGAAGAACCACAAGCCATTGCCCAGGGATACGCGCTATCAGACTGTTTACCAGAATGGCGAGGCATCACTGGAGATCTTTGCCGCGGTGGCCGATGACAGCGGCAATTACACCTGCTCGGCCATCAACGATTTCGGCGAGAGTCTAACCCATGCGCAGCTGCGCGTCTACAAGCATTTCAGAGAGGCATCTATGCCAAGCACATTCGCACAGCCAATTCGAGGTATTCCACAGAGCTAAGGACGAGTGACACGCGAATCTCTCTACTCTAATCACGCGCCTGCATACAGTCTATTTGCTGTTCTAACCGCTTTCGTTTGTCAAATTCTGTTCAGGATTCGTATTTGTTAATCACTCTATTTTATCTATATTTTTCCCACAGACACGTATTCTCTAAATGAGAATGAGTTGGTTCTGGATTGTCGTGTGCGTGGCCAGCCTCGTCCAGAGATCCAGTGGATGAAGGGCAACGAGATTATTACTAATGATGCTAAATATCAACAAATTGATCAGGCCGATGGTTACTCCAAGCTGATCATACGCAATCCCGTTGAAAAGGACTCTGGCATCTACTCCTGCATAGCAACCAACGAGGGCGCCCAGAACAAGATGACCCATCAGGTGGACTTTGTGGGACGCGAACGTTTCACTCTGGAGAAGGCGCACGGTTTCTTCCACCGTGATCCCAACAAGCCACACTTCCTGGCCCCGCTCGGCAATCAGACCGTATGCAATGGCGGCACCGTTGCCATTTCGGCCGAGTTCATGCAGTCGAGCACACCCATCGAGGTTAAATGGTATCGCGATCGCAAGGTTGTGGAGGGTCCAAATGTTAGAACGTTGAACGATCGTGGCATCTACACGCTGGCCATCATGAATGCTTCGGCTGAGCACGAAGGCACCTACACTTGCCTCGCCTCGAATGCCTTTGGACGCATTGAGTCGCATGTCAACATTGATGTGGCTGTTGGCGCTGAGAAGAACGAACGCCCACCCCTCTTCCTGTCCAGACCTGAAACTGAAATGAAGATCGCCGTAGGTGATCCGTTCTCGATTTCCTTCCGTATTGCGGGTGATCCGAAACCGAAACGTAAGTTTTCCCAATATGCATATCCTCTGCAGCTTCTCATTTCGTTTGGTATTCGCAGTGGTGTTCATGAAGGGCACCAAGGATATTACCCAATCGGATCGGGTCAGCAAAGAGGTATCCGACGACTACACCAGATTCACAGTGCAAAAGTCGCAGATTTCCGACTCCGGCACCTATTTCGTTGTTGCACGCAACGACTTTGGCACGGATAGAATATTCGTCACAATTACAGTACGTACTGCCTATGAATATCTGTTTGTGTTATGTGTTTGTATCTGCTGTCGCTGTACCTGAATGTCTTGCTATTGATCTAATGCTTTTGCTAACTAACCTTTGCTATTCTCTCTCTCTCTCTCTCTCTTTCTCTATTTCTTTATGCTTTTCTAGATTAAAACGCCCAAAAAGAAAGAATAAAGCTTATTTCAATTATATTTATATACATATTATATACTCTTTGCGCAAATTTAAACGCCTCCCTCTAAATGCATCAAAATTATTTATGCTCTAAGTCTACTTTCCCGACTCTATGTGTTCATTCAAATAAATTATAATATCGTTCTGACTACAAAAATAAAAACTTATATAGGTTAACCCGCGCGCTCGCTCTGAAACCCCAACGCAACCACGCTGGGGCCAACCCCTGGACAGTTACAGTGAAACTTCGTATTTCAGAGGTGAGTATTCCTTGAGTATGAGACAGTCTTTCTGTGTTCCATTTCGATGTTTCTTCTCAGCGTAGAGTTATCCACTATGTGTGCAACTTCTAATGTGATACCGTTTACTGACTCTCAAGTCCCATATCTGTGCTTCACATCAGTGTTGTCATTCCACTTCTGAGTAGAATAATCAATCAGTTGATTCTAAATCGTAGTCTTTAAATGTTTCATATTCCATTCGGATTCTTTGTTGTTATACCAAACCCAATTGCGTGTTTCATTTAAAGTTTTATCTCAAGTATTCAATAGCGCATGGACTTGCCAATATATTTTGCAGATCGCCTCAACTCCAACTTGTTTGCCTTCTGTGCCGCTAATCAAGAAACTTCTCAAAAGCAATTTCCTGTGAGATTCAATGATTGTCCAACACACAAAGAAATTATCCGTGTATTTAACTTATCTTTTGTTAGTATTTTTGAACGATTGACTTATTTACTTATTTTATTATGGTATACAAATAGCGTATTATATAAAGCACAACAATCCAGCTTATACATTTACGTAGTCGAAAAAAAAAAACAAGAAAATAAAATATATATTTCTCCGGGGCGTATTGTGTTTAATTTACCATGGCCAATGATCTATTTAATTGATGCAATATATTTGCATCTTCACAATTCACACAGATCCACCTGGCTGTATATCCACGGAGCCGCTGGTCGTTGACTCTGGACCCACCCACATCTCGTTGTCGTGGGGCAAGCCCGTCAGCGCCAACTCTGCGCCGGTCATTGCCTACAAGGTGGAAGCATGGATTGTTGGTCATGACGGAGGCGCCTATTGGCGCGAGTTGGGTCTGACACCCATTAATTCCTTTGATGCATTCAATCTGAAGCCCAATGTGGAATACCATTTCCGTGTGACGCCCAAAAATCGCTATGGCTGGGGACCGGCGGTGCAGACCAGCTCCGCTCTACAGGTGGGCGGCGTGGAGTGCCTGCCGGAGTTTGTCAAGATTCTGCCTGGTCAGGTAAAGGCGTTGCTTGGCTCCTCCTTTACGCTGCAGTGCAATATGCGTGGAGCGCCGCGTCCACAGATTACCTGGTACAAGGATGGCATACAGCTGAGCAGCAGCTCCGATCGTGTCAAGATCCGCCAGATCGGCTCCACCTGTGCTCTAACCATAACTACAGTTTGTGAACTCGACTCGGGGCGCTACACCTGCGAGGCAACCAATTCCAAGGGCCGCGTCTCTACGTTTGCACGCCTGCAGGTCGTCTCTGATCCACGGCTGTATGAGGCAGACTCGAGACTGAAGGAAATCGCACACGGACGCCATCCGGCTGAACTGGGCGAATCGTTGCCCATTTTCACAATGCGTCTGCGCGATCGCCGCGTTCAGATGACCTACCCGGTGCGTCTGACCTGCCAAATTGTTGGCTATCCCGCTCCGGAGATACTCTGGTACAAGGATGGTCAGCTCATCACCAGTGATAGACGACATCTTATCACGGCCGAGGGTCAATTCTACACGCTGGAAATAGCAGCCACATTGCTGGAAGACAGCGGCAATTACACCTGCACGGCCAAGAATGAACTGGGCTCGGTGTCCTGCCACTGCTGTCTGGTGGTGGACAAGGGCATACGCGCCTACATCTCGCCCGACTTCTACGTGCCCCTGGACCCATTCTATGTGTTTCGTCAGGGCACTGAAATCCGCCTGTCCACCAAAGTGGAGGCCTATCCCGCTGTGGGTGTCACCTGGCATCGCAATGGCATGCGTCTGCGTCCCAGTCGTCGCATATCCGCCACTCTCGACTCCACGGGCTTTGTGGAACTAATCATAGCCGAGGCAACGCCACGCGATGCTGGCATCTACGTTTGTGTCGCCTCCAATGTGGTTGGCAAGGTGGAGACCATATGTCGTGTGGCCATCGAGGAGAACGAAGCAGCTGCAACAACGCAACGCGCACTCGATATACCCAGCATCAAGACAAGCGACATGCCGTGAGTATCCTAATGAGAAAACTGTATAAACGCCTTCGATTTACTTTCGAAATCCCTGCTGCAGTTACTCCAAGGAGCCGCTATTTGTTGTGAAGCCCCGTTCGAGCGAGGCATACGAGGGCGACAACGTCATCATATTTTGCGAAGTGGTCGGCGATCCCAAGCCCGACGTTGTCTGGCTGCGCGATTTTCTAAATGTGAGTAGAGATCTACAATGTATATATATATATGAATGTGTAGCACAATTGGTCAAGCAGTGACGTCAGCAGCGGCAGGTTCCAAGCGCTTGCGCAGCGCCACGTTGCTCGAGTCAGTTGCAAATGCGGCGCCAACAAATGTGGGTCGCAGTCGGCGCGTTCGTATCTCGTTGCAATATCATAAAATAAATAAAATATTCAAGTGCAAGTGCGCCAACGCCGAATAGAACTGACCAAACTGTCCGTTTTAGCCAGTTCTGTGGGCCCTACTCGCATTCAGGAAATATCAATGCCATCTTGATTTCCGCACAATTTACATAAATATATATAAAGTGTTAACTATTCGAAAACAGTTACAGTGCAAGCGAAATGCCGAATTGCAACAGTTGTTCGTGCGGATAGATTTCGAAGAAAATAATATAGTTTTTCAAAGAATATTTATTATAAAATAACAATTGATCCGAAGCAAACGAACAAAGTGTTAAAGAAGCAAATATCAAAATAATTTAGCAAAAGGTAAAATTGCTTATTAGAGAATCAACTTAAAACCAAGTTACCTTAGGCAATATATGGCACGCCCTGATATTCCTGAGAGCACGATAATCTATGGAATTACCCAAGTAAAGCTTAGTTTGCAGCAGCTAAAAAAAATACCTTAGTTCGCATCACAGCATTTAATAGTTTGTAGTTAATATTTAATCATAGATATAGCAGGTATTCAACTACAACTAATTGCATTTGTTAGTCACTCTATAGTAAACCCGGACAAAGTTAATTTTAAATTCAGCTCAGAGTAGTTGAAAATCAACTATAATATTTATTAATAATTATGTATTAATAATGCGGGCTTTTACCATATACATAGGCACACGAATTCTTATCAAGAGTATATTATGTAGTGCCTACACTTTTAATGCGTGACAATATTGTGGTGCCCCTTTCCCAAAGGGGCCAGAACAATGCAGTTTTTAAGCTGCAACAGCAACGGCTGTTTGCTTACTCGAATTACCTCTCACCTGCGTCACACGTAGCGCAGTCAATCGCACTCGTTATACAATTAACACACACACAAACAGACACACATACATGCACAGGCACATACGTGCATACATATGTAGATATATAGACATGGGCAGTTTAGTTCTTATAAAGCTGATCTGCTGTCAAACGCTAATTCAAGTTCAACCCATATCAAATAACATGATTGTACAAACAATTACGTCTGTTAGCCAGAGCCAAAAAGGCAAAAGCAACAGCGAACAGCAAACGGCAACAAAAACGAGCAGCAACAAAAAATTATTAGCCAACAATCGTGCCGCTGTTCGTACCAAGGAAGCAGGAGGTCAGGGTGGGCAACCCAACATACAAATACACACACACACACACAGTGGCACACTCGTACGAGTTCCAGTTACCAGTTTTCCTATTGACAGTCGCGAAATTAAATTTTGTGCTTATATGGCCATAAGCTGTGCACAACAACAACAGCAACAACTGCGGCAACAACAACAACAACAATGCATATATCATGAATAAAGAACAGACTTATAAGACTCACATGACTCATTCATTCTGAGATCTGTGACGATCCTTATGGCTGCAGTTTATTGCATTCCAAAGTGTCAATTAATAAAAATAGCATTTATTATCTCTTTAATTGCAGCCGGAGTACTACAAGGACGCGCCACACTTTCGACGCATCGGCGAGGGGCCGGAGTATCGTTTGGAGATACCCAGCGCCAAATTGGACTTTACCGGCACTTATTCAGTTATAGCCAGCAATTGCCATGGCGAGGCCAAGGCTGTAATATCATTGCAAATCTACGCCAAAGGTGAGTCGATTAATTCCTTAAGAAGCTATTGACTCTAGCTAGCTAGCTGTAGCTTTATATTTGTTGCTATTGCTTATAATGCTTGTGGATAAATGCTGATGAGATGTGGGTAGACAACTTCCTTCCAAAATTCGTCGGCCATGACCAACAAGCTGCCCACAAACTCGGGATCGGCCTGTACCCAAACGTAATGCAGAGCTCCGTTGGTTTCGAATGTGGGACTGAGCACACAATACAGCGCCTTCTTCACATTGGCCAGAAACATTTGCGTTTGTATCTGCGCCATGTACTTGGGTGCAATGGATTCGCGAGCCTCCAGATACTTCTCAAAATCCTCCTCAGTCTTTGGTGATTTGATTTCAACAATATGATCATCCGTAATGCCATCGGGTGCACCACACAAATAAGGATAGTTTTCGTGTAGCAGCAAACCGCATTCCAGATACTCTTTGTTTTCCAACTTTTCGGTTTGTTTCAATATGAAACGTTTGTGTTGCTTCTGCTGGACACGATCTTCAATGTCCTCGTCGCGTCCTTTGCAGAAAAGCATATTGAAGATCTGTTCGTCCTCCTCTGGGGTTTTGCGTGTCGCAATCATGTGCATCATTGAGCAGCGAATACGCATATATTGCGCCTCTATCCAAAGTTTTGATTTGTACTGCCTCTTGGTCACCTCGCTGAGGCTTTCGAAGAGTCCACCTTGCGCCTGTTGCTCCAGATGCTGTACAAAACTGTGCACATCGTAAATGTTGTATTCTGTTGCTTTCAACAATATGTGGTGTATGAGTATTGACTCGAATTCATCTGTTGTTTCCACGCATTGGCGATACAGCGCTGAATCACGTCCGCAGATAGCGAGCTCTTCGAGCACAGATTCCATAAATGCATGTTCCTCGGTCTCACTAGAGCAGGGGATATCCTCCTCAGTTTCAGAGTTCAGATCTTGGCTGAGCACCATGTCCTTTATACGCACTGCCTTTGTGGGCTCCGGTTGAACAAGCGCCTCCAGCTCATTGCCCCAGAATTCCACTACAGCTGCCGGCTTTTTATCCGTGCTCTTGTTGTGCAACCAGAAGACAAATGCCACAACATGTGGGCAAACAGCTAAAATAATATGAAATTATATGAAATTATTGAAATTATACATTTCTTGTATTTTAAAACTGCTTACCAACTCCTGCGCACAAGCTGCATTGTCCATCCGTAAGTTTATTTGAATCTTCCATCACCTTAACGGCCACATTGGCATGTGTTTCCGTATTGGCGAAGTCTGTGGCAGAGAAAACTAAAGCTTTTATTTCACATAGCTCGGACTGCCGACGCAAGTGAACATAGTCTACCAACAAATCATTGCTTTCTGAAGATCTAAAACAAAAATTTAACCATTAGCCATTCCTATACAGCAAGCTATATAAACACATATAAATAAATAGCTGTATATATGTTTGCGTGTGTGTAGGTACGGTACTCACATTTTGTTGTCTGTGGCGGTTGCAAAAAAGTTAAAGACCATGCCACTGCTAATAATGGGTATGCTGTGTATATCTGCTTTGCGGAAACCAGGTTCCAGATCCATGGGCACAATGATTAGGCCACGCATTTGTATTTATTTTATAAATTTACAGTTTAAGCACATCGACAACTAAATTAGCCGACACAAATTCAGCTGGCTGCTCTGAAGAGTTGCTATAAATAGCGACAGCCAGGGATGGAGCATACAACTATAAATTATCTCTAACTCAACACACTCGGTGCTGCTCAGCTGTTTCGTAGCAATACATTTAAATAGTGCAAAGAATTCCTAATGTTTCTCAAGTGTACATATAGCTCTTATATATAAGTATGAGTTCTGATATTTAAACGGCTGTGTGTATATCTGCATATTTTGAATGCGTGTATGCTATGCAAAATAGACGCCTTACCATAAATTAGCGCTAACTCACCTCGTTCAGCAACGCTCAACTGTTGTGAAAAGATACATTAAAAAGTGCGCCAAACCGATTTTTAATTTGTATTTCGCAGATATACTTAAAGATAATCGCATGGATAAAGTTCACACGCGCCATGGGTAAGTGTAAACTATCAGTTTAAGACTCCTTATTATATATTTTAATATAAATTTTAGTAATATTGAGACATTGCCGCGATTCGTGCGCAATTTGCGGAATTTGCGCTGCTGTGATGGAGATGCTATCTCTTTGGAGTGTCATGTGGAGGCCATGCCAGAGCCATTCATAATATGGGAGAAGGATGGGCATGTCGTGCCCAGTGACAGGGATTACGTGATGTCGTTTGACGGTGTCAAGGCTACTCTGAGTATTCCACGCGTGTATCCCGAGGACGAAGGGGAATACACTTGTGTGGCCAAGAACTCGGTTGGCCGCACGCTCTCATCAGCATGCATCATTGTTGATGTGCCCGAAGAGAAGGAGAATATGCTCAGTCGCCAATTGGCACGACCAAGTGCCTTACTCTCAGCTCACTCCACACCGCGTTCCACACCTCGTTCGACTCCCAATCGAAGCTTTTCGCCCATGAGGCTTTCCTACCGCAACAGCAGTATCGATCTGCAAAGGGGATCAGTGGAGCGTCGTCGCAGTGATGCCCGCTGCATATCAGCGCCCAAATTCCTAGCCATTCCCTATAATCGTGTCGTGGAGGAGGGCGACAGCGTGCGCTTCCAGTGTGCCATTGCCGGACATCCCACTCCGTGGGCCACCTGGGACAAGGATGGCATGATTGTCACGCCCACCCCTCGAATTGCAGTCAAAGAAGTCGATGATCTGCGCTTCATAGAGATCGATGAGGTGGGCTTCGACGATGCTGGTCTGTATCGAATAACGTTGGAGAATGACTTTGGTCGCATAGAAGCCACTGCTCGTTTGGACGTAATTAGCAGCTCACGCTACTCCAAGTCTCCATCGACACGTAGCGTGCGCGCTTCCTCCTCGAGACGAAATGCCTATCTCTACAGACGCATCATGGGCCCCTCTACAGGTGAGTAAATCCCGTCACATCTGAAACCTTTGCTTGATCAACACATCCTCTTCTCTAGCTATTGGCGGCCGCATGGCATTGGCAAGTGGTTTTCGTGGCTCGTCTGTGCCTTCAGTAAGATTCTATCACAACAATGTAGAGCTGGAACCATCGGACCGGGTGCACATTGTGCTGCAGGAGGACGAAGCTATGCTGTTTGTGGACAACGTAACTGAGGAGGACGAAGGCATCTACACCTGCATCATAAGTGGCGATCATGAACCTTTAATTAGTTCCACTGATGTCAAGTTCCATGGCTCCAGTACTGATATACAACGTCGACGCGCAACCATCGCCGAGCCATTGCCAGAGCTAACTAAATCCGTCGAGGGAGAGGTTATCGATCTCTGCTGTGTCATTGAAAGCGACGAACCCTACAGCTATGTCTGGTTGCGTAATGGAGAAATACTGCCCGACAGCGAGGAATTCAAGTAAGCATTGAGTAGCCTGTAGTTATGCGCAGATCTTGACTGGAGTAGAAGCTACCCTGTATTTATTTGCTTCTCTTAGCTATATAGAACTCACTACAAAATATATATTTATAAATAATGCATAATTAACAAAAAATTGTTGCACCACAGCTACATCGATCACGGCAATGGTTGCCTCTGCTTGCGCATCAACGACGCCTTCGACATTGACTCGGGCATCTACAGCTGTCAGGTGTACACGTCCACAACAGATGACAGCAACAGCAGCAGCGACGGCGACGGCGACTGCGACTGCAGCAGCAGCGGCGAGCTGTGCGTACTCGAGCGCGATCTCACACGGACCGAAGAGAGCGTACAGCTGCTAAAGACGCCGCTGCCATTGGTCTGTGCTCCAGGTGCCGAAGCTCTCTTCTATGCGCGTGTTTTCCCCTGCCAAGCGGATGTCGAATGGTATCTCAACGGAAAACTGATTACGGATGACTCACCAAACCAAATGGTGCGTAAGACACAGCCAAGCAATTATGAACCCCAAAACGAACTTATTAACATACATATTGACAGCAGAACGAATTTTGTATGCTCTCTGTAGTCTATACTACTAGTTAGCATATGCTTATTATTAATAGCTGAGCTGGTTATGGTATTTTAACTTTTAACTTAAACAAGAGTATATGATTTTTCACTCATTTGCATAATTCCACTCAAGATTCTTCGAAGATACACTAAAGATAAATGCATACCTAATATACACATAGTTGGCCACAGATACTGTTATTTATTTAATAACTTTAAAAGACATAATATCCTGATTTCATAATTTTAATGGGGCATCATAATGAAGAGTAAATTGTTTTATTTTTTTTCTTTTATTTTTTTTTTTTTAATAAAAGTTTTCTGGTATCTTTTATTTAAATACTACTTGCTAGACCTATAGGTATTTTTTATATTTCTTAACAAATCAGTCTATATACTATCTTAAATGCCAATTGGGTTGAAGGGCAGCCAATGAGGCAATTTGTGTGCGCGCCTTTTTGGCCCAAAAATTATTTAGATGAGACACGATGAGACGCGGCAAGTCTGGCTTTCAGCTCTCCAGCAGTTGAGGGTCTACAGCCTTGCCGCTGGGCAGGTAATTTCGTCAAGAAATAAAGACAAAAAGCGCTGCGTTGACACCTTGTCAACGCTGGCAATAACAATACGCCGTCATTTATACACACACAGACACATGGGCAGAGAAATGAGACTCCAAAAAATAAAAGATTAAAATGCCGCGGTATGCGCAACGCATGCAAACGATGTTAACGACGCAACGTCGCAGTCGCAGTCGACGCCAGCGTCGGCAATCCAATCGGATGCGATGCTCGATCGGAGAAGAGCAAACAGAGCAGCGCGGACAGCCGGCCAGGCACTCGTTCAATGGCTTTCGAGCGGTGCACACAAAAGCAGCAAACAGTTGCACGCCTTTAACAATTACAATATATGTACATACGTGTAGCCCCCTCGCTTCAGAAAGGGGCGTGACAAGATGTCGCAGGTAATGCAATATCGATAGCGCGCAACAAGCAGAGATAGTGCACATATCTAAGTAAATGTTGAGCTTTAAGCCGTCTGCTCTGATAACGAAATCGAGAGCGTTAGCTTGTGTTGTGTTTGTAGCGGGAATGTGACATTATTTGCGAAACTAAAAACCGAAACCGAAAACGTGCTCGGCTTTTTCATATTGCTATACTCGCTCAGAATGTGAAGGGGGTATATTGGGCTTTGCGAAAAGTGTGCTCGGATGATTTGTGGAGAGTTTAAATTAGCCTGAAGCACTCATAATTTCAGCTATAAATTTCGTGCTCAACTCCTTGCCAGTGTCGGGTATGAGGCAGTCGGTCAAGCTCGATTGGCTTTCATTATTATTTTAAAAATATTCTCAATCATTAATTGGTGGCTCGTCATTCGCCGTTTGACACTGGCCGTTGGCGCCTCGCGTTGCGCCTGTGTATTCAATTGTTCCAATACATGTATATATGTAAATATATTTGGATATGCACATATGTATATGTGTGTGTATCTGTGTAAATAGCTTACTTAACTGGGTGCATATTTCATTGCCTCGTCGTTGTCATTGAGGCGCATACTCAAGTATTTGCTCTTCCATGTGCCAGCTGTTTTCACACATACACATACATAGTTATTGTTACTAAAATCGCTTTATCTTCATTTCAGTTGGAGTCATATCCAGAGAACGGCATTCGCTTGCTGCGCCTGCGAAACGTGCAACTGTCCCAGAGCGGCGAATTGCGACTGCAAGTGAAACATCCACAGGCGGAACGACGTGCGCCCTCCATACGCAGCTATACCAGCCTTCTAGTACTACCAGTCAACAACAGCAACAACAACAACAGCAGCAATAGCAATAATAATATTAATAATAATAATAACAAGGAGCAGCACAATCTCCCGCTGGCTGCCAGCAGCTGCATATTGAGGGGCCCGGAAGATTGCACCGCACTCATTGGGGGCCACGTCCAACTGAGCGTGCACTATGAGCCATTCCCCAATACCAAAGTCATCTGGTACAAGGCGGTAAGTACAAAAAAACACACAGATGAAATGGATATATATAAATGCGTATTAGGTTAAAGTGTTTAGAATTATTTAACAGGCAGCAACTGGGCTCTTTAAACTATATGAACTAAACACTCAGTACAGACATACATATATGCTAGATCAATAGCCATATCCAGGTTTCACTGTCGTTTATATGTAAGCAAAGCAGTTAACTTGCAATATAAAAATATTTTGCGAGTTTAAGTTTTATATATGAGGCGTAAGGAGAAGGAATTACATATATAGGAAAAGTATAGTTAATCGAAATTAGACTTCTAATAAATATTCACTAAATAAGGCCTATGCAGTTAGGGATAGTGAAAAGCTAAGGATGAGTCTTAAATGGAGAAATAAACTAAAATAGATAAAGAATAAGATACAAATAATTTTATAATTTTATATATATATTTTATTAAAAGATAAGTTTTATAATATATTGTATAGATATGCAAATGTATGTATAATGATTAGAGCAAAAAGCATTGCTCTTAAAATAGAAATAATGCTAACATAGCAGCAGACAGACAGCAAACAGGTCAAGCCTATAGCTGCTTGACAGTAAATATCGATCAGCAGACAGACACATACATACTATAGATACATATATTGATCTAATGAAATCGTAGCTGTGTTTGTTTCGTGATAGAATTCAAAAAGTTAATAAAAACATAACTAATAGGCTTGACTATCAGCTTACCTAACAATCTGCTGAAAGTATATTTAAACAGATCTTCTACGAGTCTCAAATGGATCTTCCCATTAGCTCAATTTGAATAACCAAATTAGGCACTTGGCCAAAAGCCGTTTGGGATCAGTGCAATTGTTGCGCAATATAAATTGACATGTGACCTAATTAGGTAATATGCCGTCAACAGCTTGAAGATTAGCCGACTTGCTATGCCCATGATCCCATATCACAACTTTATCTACATAAGCTCACCCCATAGACAACCCAGTTGCTGTTGCTGTTGCTGCTTCTGTTGGCTATCTAAATACTTCATTTGGGCACGTTAACTGGCCGGCTGTCTGTGTAGACTCTGATCTAGTGTCGTGTCTGGCCTGGCCTGGCCTGTTCTGTTCTCGTTTGGTATGCCGTGCTGCTGGTGCTAGTTAGGGTCTATGACTGTGTCACGATCAGTTTGCGGTATGAGTGCGCCTATACGTAATTGTTATAAACCACAAAAGAGCAATAACAACAAGGCGTCGCCATAGTTGAACGTGTTTTCTCTGCTCATCGAAGGTTGGGCAGTCGCTGTCTACTCGCCGCAATACTATTAATCCGCTTTACTTACACACGCACACACGCACACACATACACACACATACATACATACATGTATAAATATATATATACTTGAATATACCTTTTACCCTTTCACAGTGCCGTGCCATTGTTGAGGGCGCCAATGTGACAATCCGCACAACGTCGCAACGATCAACGCTTTATATAACGGACATCTCCGCCGATGACAGCGGCAAGTATACGGCCGAAATAATGAACGAATATGGCATAGAGGCGGCATCGGCCTCAGTGGCCGTCGAGGGACCCCCGGAGCCGCCCAGCGGAAAGCCGAGCGTGTCCCTTGGACCCGATCGTGTGGCCGTCGCCTGGTGTGGACCGCCCTACGATGGTGGCTGCATGATAACTGGATTTATGTGAGTGCAGAAGAGAAGCTCATTACTTATCCTTATATCTATAGAAATTGATCACTTAATTTGAGTTGATATACATAATAAGATGAAGACTTCCGGAGATGAAGATTTCCGGTTTCCTAACCCAATAATCGAAGGGTAGAGTAGAGAACGGTATCTCTCTATTTATTTATCTATCTCTTCTATTTCCTATTCGTATACTCCTTTTTTGTAATATTAATATGAATTATGTTGATTCCTTTACTTCTTTTATTATACCGCTCCCAGCATCGAGATGCAGAGCTGCAATCCCACGGACTGTGATAGCGTCAAGGACAACGCTGACTGGCAGCAGGTGGCGCGTGTTGTGGATACGCTGGCCTATACCGTCAAGGAGCTGCTGCCCCAGCTGCAGTACAGATTTCGTGTGCGCGCCGAGAACATACACGGACGCAGTGCACCCAGTCAGGTCAGTGAATGGGTGCAGACAACGCGACCAGCCAGCACAGTGGATGCTGGCAGCACAACAAATTCCACGAGCGCGGTAAGCGTCCAGTCGGGCGGCGATTTCAAGGCACGTTTCGAAATCATCGAGGAGCTTGGCAAGGGACGATTCGGTGTCGTCTACAAGGTGCAGGAACGCACACACCCCGAACAGCTGCTGGCCGCCAAGGTGATCAAGTGCATCAAGTCGCGCGATCGCCAGAAAGTTCTGGAAGAGATATCCATCATGCGTTCGCTGCAGCATCCCAAGCTGTTGCAGCTGGCCGCCTCCTTTGAGAGTCCACGCGAAATCGTCATGGTCATGGAATAGTGAGTTATGGGAATTATTTCTAAATGAACCTACGATTTAATAGATTTTATTCATTCAGCATTACGGGTGGAGAGCTGTTCGAGCGCGTGGTTGCGGATGACTTTACGCTGACCGAGCTGGACTGCATTCTATTCCTGCGGCAGGTGTGTGAAGGCGTTGCCTACATGCACAGCCAGAGCGTCGTCCACTTGGATCTGAAGCCGGAGAATATCATGTGCCACACGCGCACCAGCCATCAGATCAAGATCATTGACTTTGGTCTGGCCCAGCGTCTGGACACAAAGGCGCCAGTGCGCGTGCTCTTTGGCACGCCGGAATTTATACCGCCAGAGATCATAAGCTATGAGCCCATTGACTTCAAGTCAGACATGTGGAGCGTGGGCGTCATATGCTATGTGCTGTGAGTGCCGAAAGCAAATGAATTACCTTTTCGTTAAGCTCACGCTCAAATCCTTCTGTTGCAGACTCTCGGGCCTATCGCCCTTCATGGGTGACTCCGATGTGGAGACTTTTTCGAATATAACACGTGCGGACTACGACTACGATGACGAGGCCTTCGATTGCGTGTATGTAGCTCCACTCCATGCTTAACTATGAGAATCTCTGAACGAAAACTCTGCTTACAGCTCGCAAGAGGCCAAGGACTTTATCTCACAGCTGCTAGTCCATCGAAAGGAGTCGCGCCTGACGGCCCAACAGTGTCTCGAATCCAAGTGGCTGTGCCAGCGCCACGATGAGAATCTCAGCAACAACAAAATCTGCACAGACAAGCTTAAGAAATTCATTATACGACGCAAATGGCAGGTGAGTAAAAACGTCTGCTTGCCAGCTCAAAGCCCTTCCGAACTAACAGCTGCTTCACTTTTGTTGTTTTGGCATTTGAATCCTGTCCTGCTTCAATGCTTTGCTGCTGCTTGCTGCACAACTAGAAAACGGGCAATGCTATACGGGCGCTGGGTCGCATGGCTACGCTGTCCGCCTCGCGTCGCAATTCGGCCATTGCCATGGGCGCTCTCAGTAGTCCACGCCCCTCGATTTCCGGCTTGAGCATGCTGAGCGCCGTCAACGTGTGCAGCACGCAAATGGCCTCCTTGAACGAGGAGGAGGATGACTTTACGGGCGAGATGCCGCATGTGGACAAGCGCAAGACGACGAACCTCAAACTGCGCGACAAATCGCAGTGCAGCGAGCGCAGTGATTCTGGCTACAGCGAGTGCTCCAATGGCAGCCTGGGCACACAGGAGACGCTGCTGCTAACGCTGGCCAAGTGCAAGCTGGAGCAGATTGCCAAGGCCAGCCAGAGCGAGACGGCAGACAATGCGGCCAGTGCACTGCCATCACTGGACCTGTCCGTCAAGAGTGAGCCCATAATGCTCTCCGATTTCACCAATACGGTCAAGATGCGCAAGAAGTCGCTGGAGGATAGTTGCACACGTGAAAAGCTCAAGCCGCATATCAAACCCATTTGCGAGCCCAAGCTGAAGGTGTCCCAGCTGAAGCACAAGTTTCAGCAATCAAATGCCGCTGCTGCTGCTGCACACAAGAAACCTGCCATCGAGCCCAACAAAATCGCCAAGGTCGCGAGCATGGGTCGCATCAGCAAACGTAACACATATTGCTTATAGCATGCATACGACTTACATAATACCCTATACTCACGCTCTCACTCTCTCTTTCTCTCTCTCTCTCTCTCTGTCCCTTTGTGTATAGTTGAGCCAGCGAGCAGGCCCGCTGTCGCCATTAAAGCGAAGCCAACACAAACCCAGTCCATGCCCAGCTCCCCGCTGCCACAGCGTTCAGCAACGCCAACGCGGCTGAGCAGTCGAGTACGTGAGACGACGGAGCGTCTTGCCCAACAGCACACGGTGGCCAGTGCACAGCGACAGGCGGCGAATGGCAAGGGGCATGGCAATGGAAATGGTGGTGGAGATGGAAATGGTAATGGAAATGGAAATGGGAACGGTCATGGTCTCGGGCATGGACACGAGCACGGACAGGGGCACGAATCACGTGCGCGTCGTCTCATCAATAGATTTAACGAAACGAAACATATCACGTCCTAGCTTTTTAATGACTCTGATTTACTTATTTCACTTTATTATTATTGTTTTTTTTTTTTTTTTTTTTATCTATTGTGTAAAAACAAACCCAAGGAAAATCTGTACGAAAAAACACTCGAATATACATATGTATATTTATATAACTATATATATATACATATATATATAGTTGCAATTGCGAACTAATTATAATCCAAATCCGAATCCAAAATGGCACCCAAAACATTTTTAGGCACAGGCACAGGCACACCGCACTGCACTTAGGCTAGACAAAGGCTAAATATTTAAATTATTGTATCGATTTATATACATACATCTATTTACCATACTAATTAAAGTTAATGTAACGAAGCCAAACGCTGTCAAAATTATTGGGCAAGCATCCATATGTAGACCCAACCAATTATTCAAGGGGTTGGCTACGAACGAGAAGTTTGTGCTGCGACTAACAAAAGTAAGTTACAACAATCAGCTCAATCTAAACATAAAGAGAGAAGCCTTATTGGAAGTAAAGTGTTTATCGTGCTGCGTATTGTTTCTCTCTTTAAATTTGATTAAAGGCAAACATGAGGCAAGCTTAGGAATAATAATATTTAAATGCTTGATTCTCGCTCAATGTAGATTTCTATACAGTTAGATAAGTTATAAAGTTGTATAAGAAAAATGTTGAGGTTGCTACCTTCGACTCTAATACTCGTTTGCAAGTTCTTCGCTTCAAACTTCTCATATGTAGTCTAACTGCTATCATCTCTCCAAAGCATTTAAGCTGAGCTTAGAGGAAGAAGCATAAAAAGAAACTTAAAAGCTCTCAACAATTGTTAAACCTATCAGCGCGAAGCTTTGCTTTGCCAGGACTCTACGCAATTTTTACTTATCCCACCTCAAACTTTTCGAAAGTAGTTCAATTAGTTCCTAACATATTTGAAGCTGAGTTTGAGGAAAGAAGCAAAGATCGTCTACTAAATTTAAACAAAGATTAACTGAAAGAAGCATTGCCTTGTTTGAGCTCCACTTAAATTGCACTTGTGCCGCCTCAAACTTCTCGAATGTAGTCACTGATTAAAGCTACGCTAAAAGGATGGAGCGAAGCGAGGACCCACTTCTCATGTCGCTTCTCTAGATAGATTTTTGATCAGCCCACAACAATTGGCTTCGTCTCGTTCCCTACACTAATTGGCTTCCATTGTTGTTCACTATATCGTCTCCTGCTGCTGCTGGCGTGGCCGCAGTCGCACCCACAGACCGCCCGAGGCGCGCAGAGTGATGCGGAATGTGGCCTCGAAGGTGGTTTTGCCAGGCACGGGCAAGATCTGGTAGCTGCGCAGTAGGCGGGAGACAATTGTCTTGATTTCCATGATGGCAAACCGATTGCCAATGCAGTAGCGCGGTCCAGCACTGAACGGTATGAAGGCGTATGGATGCCGCTGCTCCATGTTCTCTGTGCTAAAACGCTCCGGCTTGAACTTCTCCGGCTCGGGATAGATGTGCGCCAGACGGTGTGTGGCATATGGGCAAATGAAGATGTTGCTGCCCGCCGGCAAGGTGTAGTCGGCCAAACGCACTTCCTCGCCCAGCTTGCGGGCGATGAGTGGCACGCTGGGATAGAGACGTAGTGCCTCCTTGATGCACATCTCCAAGTAGCGCATCTCGCGCAAATCGCTCATTGTGGGCGCCCGATTGGTGTGGTCAAAGATGCGCTCCAGCTCCTCATAGCATTGCGCCTGCGAATCCGTATGCTGGGCGAGCAGAAAAATGGTGAAGGCGACAGCAGCGCCAACCGAATCCTGCCCAGCCAACATAAAGGTGCACGCCTCATTGACAATGTCCTCTTCGCTGAAGTCCGGATTGCTCTCGGAGATTTCAATCATATAGTCCAGAAAGCATTTGCGCTCCACATTATTGTTGGCCGCATCGGCCATAATCTCACGACGTCTCTTAATCATCTGGCGCGTAAAATCGTTCAGACGCTTCTTCTGCTTCAGCTCATCGCTGGCCAGCGATGTCAGCTGATAGATGGCGTCCAGTAGCAGCCAGGGATGCAAGAAGCGTGCGCGTATCATCAGTTTGCCCTTGCGAAACGGCGAATCCTCCATGAGGCCCTTCTTCTTGATGGGCACGCCAAGCACAGCCTCTGCAAAACGGGAGAGAGAGGGAGAGAGAGAGAGTATTAATATTCAGATTAGAAGTGCCTGAAGTGGGACTTACCATTTAGCACATCGACCACACAGTTGTTGACATATTTGGCTATGTTGACCTCCATGTCCAGAGCTGAGGCATCCAGATGCTCGTTCAGCGACTGCGACGCATCCACAAATGTATCAATGAACTTCTCCAGCAGACTGAGATGAAATGCGGGCTGTATGAGCTTGCGATGCGTGCTCCACTTGTCGCCGCTGCTGGTGATCAGACCGTTGCCCAGAAAGTTGTGCATCAGCCTGTAGATGAACACCTTGTTGGTGTGCTTCTTGGAGGAGAGTATGACCTGCAGATCCTCGGGCTGCAGCACCACAAAGAACGGAAACAACAGCACCCAAATGCGCACCAGTGAGCCATACAGATCGAAGGCGTTTGCGGCGCGTTTTCGCATAACTGCAAAGGATGACAGACATGGCGTATACATAATATAATTTTTAATACATTTGCCGCACTTACGATCCTTCTCATTGATCAGCATACAGTTGCCCAGAAAGGGCAGCGTAGGTGGCCCAGAGAGACGCAGCGACAGCAGCACGGACCTCAGATACGTTTGCAGCTGTGTGTAGAACGTGTAAATGCTCAGCGAGAGCACCAGCAGGGCCAGAGCGCTGTACAGCTCCGATCTGGTAGCACGCTCCAGCTACATATGCAACGAGAAAGAGAGAGAGAGAGAGGGAGAGTGTGAGTGAGATAGAGACAGAGCATAGCGTGTGTTTAGTTAAGCAAGTGGCTACTCTTCATAATTTGTTTACCATTTAGGCAATTTAATTAAGTGCGTAAAACATATTTGCCTAAGCCGCCCGTGCCAATTGGACCTCGAGCGCACTTCAGTTTAATTGCATTTAGATACATATCTCTCGGATATTCATGTGCACAGGTATGTATAAATAAATATATATATATATGTATAAAATCTAATTAACTGGGAACGTCATTAGAGTATGTATATTGAGGGGCTTGAGCATCGTATGAGCCAGTCGCGGCATGTCGTAAGTTTTTGTAAATACTCATCATCCATAAGCTTCGAAATGATCATCGAAAGTGCCTGCGAAACGGTGTGAATTGTTTGAGTCAACACGTCGTATACGCATTTAATACACACATGGCCAACGCACGCACACACATCAATCTCTGAATGTGTGCATGTAGCTGAATTTCGATTATGTATGCCCAAGTCTCGACATTTCGGCAACTATTGATTCAGCATCAGGGCAAGGACGGGCATTAGAGATGGAAATACATAAATAATAGGCATATAGATACAAATGCAAATATACAGATACAAATGCAAATATACAGATACAGATACAAATGCAAATATACAGATACAGATACAGATACAGATACAGATACAGATACAGATACAGATACAGATACAGATACAGATACAGATACAGATACAGATACAGATACAGATACAGATACAGATACAGATACAGATACAGATACAGATACAGATACAGATACAGATACAGATACAGATACAGATACAGATACAGATACAGATACAGATACAGATACAGATACAGATACAGATACAGATACAGATACAGATACAGATACAGATACAGATACAGATACAGATACAGATACAGATACAGATACAGATACAGATACAGATACAGATACAGATACAGATACAGATACAGATACAGATACAGATACAGATACAGATACAGATACAGATACAGATACAGATACAGATACAGATACAGATACAGATACAGATACAGATACAGATACAGATACAGATACAGATACAGATACAGATACAGATACAGATACAGATACAGATACAGATACAGATACAGATACAGATACAGATACAGATACAGATACAGATACAGATACAGATACAAATACAGATACAGATACAGATACAGATACAGATAGAGATACAGATACAGATACAGATACAGATACAGATACAGATACAGATACAGAAACAGATACAGATACAGATACAGATACAGATACAGATACAGATACAGACACAGATACAGATACAGATACAGATACAGTCTGCCTCTCTCTCTCTCCCTCTCCCGCTCTCTGTCTATCATCCTCACACTCAGTATCTCATTTTTTCAGGGCTACATTTGACAGGACGGCACCCATTCATAAAATAAAACAACTACCAAACAAATGAATTGATTAATGATGATCACCAGCTGCAGATCATGGGCGCACGTTTTCTGTTTGGCCTTTTTTCCCAGACTCTGTTCCATTTTGGTTTTCAACGTAACCAATTCAACACGATCACTCGAATGTCAGCTGTTTACTGACCCAGAAAGTAAAAACAAAATAAAGCCTTAAATACCAATTCGTAACGTTAAATGTGTCATCAAACCAAATTAAGTACTTAACTATAGTATATAAATGGAAACTGCCGAAATTACCCATAGAACATTCCAAAAGTAAATGCGTGAGAACCGTGTAGAAAGGCGTTGCTGAAGTTTTGAGATCTTCGATTAGATAGGGAAATGCAGGTGCAAAATAATATAGCAATGTTAAAGTCTGAAAATCACGACAAAATAAAGGAAAAATTCATTTTTATAATGGCAAATCTATATTTTAAGGAGTGTGATATAAAATATCATATTGATGCCCTAGAAAAATGTTGAATTGAAGAGACATACGAGCACGCGCACAACACAAGCCTCAGATTCAGGGTCAACTGTATATGGTGGTTGTAAGTGTTGTATAATACATATATGTATCTTACACATGTATATGTAAATATATGAGTGTATACATTTAAATATAATGAAATATATATAAATAATTGTTGTTGAAGTACAGGTGCAGCATTGCAAATTAGTTATGAACGGTTATCAAATTTTTGATTTGTTTTTTTTTTTTTTTTTTTTTTTTGGCTTACGCGTAACTTGCCGAAAGCGAAAGTCGCCAGGCCACGCCCACACAATAAAAACTAACAGCTAAATATACCTAAATAAACTATAAACCTCCCCATACATACATAGATATACATATGTATTTATATAGTAGGTCTGCAGCGACAATATTGACGAACGCGTGTTGGTTTGTGTCTGTGCGGGTACGGTACGGTTTTTATTTGCTTTACAATGCTACTATTTATGGTTTGGGGTACTGGCGCTACTGCAAGTGCTGGGGATTGGAGGAGGACAGCTACTTCTGTTGGTTCCTTGAACGATCTCCACATGAACGAAACGGTCCTTAACGAACTGCCCAATAGTACAATCAATCAACACAAAATGTAGAAATATAGAATTTTCAAAGCGGGTTTCCTTCAGGCTTCCGCTACCTCTAGCTTGCCATTCCCGATCTCTATTTGTAGCTTCTTAAGCTTCATAGCCGTCGGGTAATGCATTGACATGAGGATTATGGAACAGGCTGCGCTCCCCATCGCCCCAGGGAAAACGGGTATTACGACGGCGCAGATGCTCGTACTTGACAAACGGCGGCAGCGGCTTCGGTGCACGTGCACCGCTGTAGGCATTGATCATGCAGAGCCCAATGGCTGGCGTGGCCACCAGAAAGGTTACACGCTTCCAGAGCAATGCACCGCGAGGTTTGCTGCCGAGTTGCAGCAGATTGCTTTTGGCCTGGCTAAATGCAGGCTTCACATACCGTTCCCAAAATTGCGACATTTTCGTTAGTTCTTTAGAATTTTTAAAAATTTGTATAAGTATAGTTTCTGTTTTAGAATATACACATACAATGTATATATATATAAATATATATGTAGATGTTATATATACATATGTATTTACTACAAAGCTCTAAATGTTTAGTATGTTCGATTTGAAAGTAAATAAAATTCTAGACCGTAGCATTGTCATAAAGCAACTTCGATTGAATTTTTAGACAAAGCACCCACACACACACACGCACAGATACACAGCTATAGCATGAGAATAGATTAAAGAATAACCTATTCTGAGATTTCGAAATGCATAAGTAGAGTTTTAATGGAAAGATGATAAATTGCTTTACGCTTATGCTTATATTACCACAGCTCGCCAGCATATCTGGTCTAATTAGTTAGACCATAATGTATTAATTAGTCGATGTTCTGAAAAACCAGCCAACGTTCGCAAATATAAATAATTATATTTGAATATTCAACCACGTGGTTAACAATTAATTGCAGCTTCTGCTTGTTCAAATAACTTGAATAAATTAATTGTGCAAATATCAACGCAATTAATTATTTTTTGATTCAACGATTTGTCTAATTAAACCAAATGAACTTTAATTGAGTTTACGATCAATCGATTATGGGATTAGTATTAAATTAGCACTAAGCATCGACATTCATAAATTAAATATCATAATTTGTTAAATGTACTAAAGTCCAAAATTTCTCAGAAAAGAACAAACGATTTGTTTGGACCCTTCTAGAAGGCAGCTCGACATTAATTCATATTGTTGATCCTAGCTAGAAAAGTTCGCCAAGGCAACACAATACAACAAAATATGAATAATTCGAACTCTGGCTGATGTTAAATACTGCTTATACCAAAGATATGGGGAAGTTGATAGATAATCATCCATCATAGCCATGTGGCTAACTGTCTTATTTGCACAACGTTTTCACACCTGCCCACTAATAAATGTACAAGATTATTTCTCACTAATTCTATAAATTATCATCAGCATCGGTTTTTTTTCTTTTGCTCACACACGCCCAAGCCCAAACTTAAAATCAAAGAGAAAACTGTAGTCGGGACTACCGACTAGAAGATCTCCTGAGCCACAAACGATCTGAGCTTTTAAATATACGCATTCTAGGTTTCACGGGCAGACGGACACGGCTAAATATACTCAAAATTTGGTTCATCATAAAGAATATATATGTAGTCTATTCCGTCGTCTCCTTCTGCCTTTTAAATAGATTTTAAGAAAACCAATATACCCCAATTTCCCATTCTCAATCGGTTCAGGGTATACAAATAACTAAACGCTTCCCCCAATCCACGAAACCGTTTGGGCAACGGAACTGCGTACGTGCCTTGCTAACAAAAAAACAAAAGTTGTTAACAATAATGAGATTTCTGTTCAAGTTAAAGAGCGCCAACAATCGGAATTTGTAACTTAAGTAAAATTTTAATTTTATATATTTTACATAATTTAAATACATTTATTTTGCTCTAATAGTTTCGATAATCTGCTCTGCAATATTTAAACATATACATAAGCAAAGAGAGATAGAGAGAGAGAGAGAGAGAACTCTTCCGAAGAAAATAAACCTATTGCAATTAATATTCATTAGTATATAATTTATAGTTTATACATATATACTAATTTCTTTGAAAATTGAAAGATGAAAATGGAATAAAAACGATTATTAATTTTTAAAAATATAAACATATTAGTAAAATACATTTAAGAAACCTAACAAGCCAAATAAACGCTTTTAAATTTATTAAAATATTTAAAAAAAAAAAAAAAAAAAAAAAAAAAAGCACACAATATTTATTAAATTATTTAATGCACGCGTAATTAATTTTGCACGCTTGCCAATTGCATTTTTAATAAGTATGTTGTACACATTTTTATTTTACGAAATATAAATTTATTGTTTTTATTCATTCTTACTTTATATATAGGGTAGGTTTTCTTTTAGATCTTTCATTATTTTTACTCACCACTTTTTCCACAATCATTTTATTTGATTTGATTTAAAACCTTGTGAAAGTTCTTGTAAATATTTCACTTTGCACTCTCACAGAATGTTTATAGAATTTATATGTATATAAACATACATATATATTATATATAGTAGTTAAATGTCTTTTAAATGTCCTTTACTCTTTATTCACCTCTGTCAATTCACAATTCACGTTCAATTGCTCAATTCATGACACGGCGACAGTTGAATTTCAAATGGTGGATCTCAAGCCGGGCAACGTCTATTTATAAGCAATGTGTCCGATTTTTACGCTCAACAATGCCGACAAACAGACTTCGGAGTATAAAAATTAAAAAAAAAAATAGCAACAAAAAACGAAAAGCCACACGACGCGAGATGCCTCATTTTCGGAGATGAAGAAACAGCAAATAAGGCGAGACAATATCCAAATACTACTCAAAAGAATGAAATGAAGTTCTAAGTAATCAGAACTTTGAGTAGTCCAAAGCTGACATATACTATGCAATATCTAGTATATTCTATATATGATATGATATGCTGTAATTATAATAATAATTTATATGAAATCAATCAGTTTGCACTTGCTACTCATGAACAAATACTTCAAATATGGTTCCAAATACTAGCAATACTGGAACTACCTCTAAGGTACTCACATATATACCTAAATATATAGTATAAATACAAGTCTACTGCATTCGCTCACAGCATTATAAATTCCATTATGACAATGTTCAAACATAGAACCTACTTGATTTACAGCAATTGCAATTAATTGCATAGAACGCAAATCCATTCGGTCTCAAGTGACCAAATATTATACTCAAATGTTTCCGTAAAATTTGAATATGTTGACTCAATAATAATAACTGTTTATTTGAACATTCAAATTGTGACTTTGTAAGCCATAATGTGGCCTACCTTGGGGCTAGCAAGTAACAACAAAATATATAGACGACTTTGCGGCGGGGATTTTTAATGAAAATGTTTGAGAAGTAATGTTTAATAAAAATATTATATGAACATATTTTTGTCATAGTTTTATTACAAAATTTTAAAATATTTTATGTATTTATTATATTACATTTTCAAATATTAATTGAGAGAAAAGTTAGAGAGCAATCGATTTTTTCGCTTGGGCTTGATGAGCTTTGTGAAGAAAAATGTCTTTTGTTTGGTATAGTATGGGAGGGTAACACATCGGTAGTATACGAGATACGCTGTTCGTTAAAAGAGTATCACTCGAATAGATCAATGCGCTCAACCGGCATCGAAAACGAAATGAACCGAAAGTTGTTGCTGAGAGCGAGAGCGGTTGAATATAATATTATCAGTTGATTTCGATATCAGAGCATAAAGAGTTAAAAGTCCTTTGCAAGCTTTTATAGAACAAATAAAATATTGAATAATCTTGAACATTATTTGAATACGATTTATTTGCTGATACAGAAACCAATCATATATATGTATATTATATTTGATATCATATATTTTTTATGGTTTCTTGTGATATTTACTAATTAAGATTTACACCGAAACCTTATATACCTAATATAAATCAATTCAAATTGAATTCAGTTTATATACTTAAGAATATCTATACAACTTTAATGGTAATTACGTATACATGAAGTCTGAACATAACCCACTTCAACCCAAATCTAAAAAATACACGATTATACAAAAATGCATTCCTCATTTATATACATATATATCCAGCATGATAGTTCCAGTTTCCGGTCTATTGTTCAATGTTTGACTGTCGAAATGCCGTAACGCACCAGATCGATCAGGCCCAGTTTCATGGAGGTCCAATAGAATAGACCGCACAGTATAACCGTCTTGCAAACGCGATCCAATACATACAAACTGTCAAAAAATAAAAGGAATCATCGATCAGAACATATACCATAAATATATTATATGTATATAGCACTCACAATCGCAGCTGTATGCGGGATCTTGGCAATGAGGTCATAGGCTCCTTCATGACATATTGACGGCCGCCCAAAATGCTAGTCTTCAGATATTCGTAATCGTCCACATCGTCTGTGTTGATTTTGAAACTATTTAAAGAGAATTAAAATATGTAATGAAAAATAATATAAAGTGTTAATAGATGGAATATCTGGCTGTTATCACACCCGTAGGTCGTACATTTTACGATCTGCCTCAGATATATCTTTGTAGATTTGCTGAAAATGTGTTGACTTGAAATCCCAGCTGCGGGTCGTGAAGAACTGCAGCACTTCCAGACCCACCGATATCTTTGTCTGAACGCGAACCATGCTGTAATCCAATAAATTATATCAGTTAGCTAACTGATTACAGGGTATCTTGGTAGTCAACTCACAAACGACGTTGTCCGAAAAGCGCCAGAAGGAAGTCAATGATATAGGCGGGCAGCCACATGAACATGATGGTGCAGAAGGTATGATAGAACTTGTTGGTCGTCATATTGCCATCGGGATACCAGAGGCCTACCTCGAATGGGTATTTAAGGCCCAGCTCGCGGCCCACGTCCATAACCCATTTCCATGTGCGCTTCTTGTCCTCCTCCACAGTTAAGTTGTAGACAGGTATCTGAAGAGATCTGCAAGATATAGAAATAACTATAATATTCCAGTTCTACATCATTCATTCATTCATTCACTTACTTTTGCTTGGCTTGACTATTATGATAGGGTATCAAGAGCAGTCCATTGATAGCTATGTCCACCGGTATCACCTCCGATTTGAGCTCTCCATTGCAGATCATGGAGCGAATAACACCTTTGCCAGCGCCAATCAAAACGCCCGTGGGTCCATTCATATTGTCTACCCAGCCCGGCAACGGCTCCGCGACAGCGGGCGTAACTGCGCAGGCGGAATAAATGTTATTCAAAATTCAATTATACAAATACAAATATTATACAGATATAGTACATTTGCAATTATAGAAAAACAACTCGCTCGGGCTACAGTACAAAAAACCTAAATATGTATATTTATTTGGAAAACCTTGGAAACTTAAAACGAACTACAAACTACTGGCTAATTGACTAAACATAATTCCTGTGACCACAAAAATTGAAGAATTCCTAGAAATAAAACAGGAACTCAGATCATTGCCAGCACACCCGTCCACTTCAGCAAATAGTAGAAAAAGGCACCGACTATGAGGGTCTTGCAGATGACATCCACAAACCATTGACTAGGAGAGAATACGGAAATATTTTAATGAATACATCAAACCAAGCAAAAGCCAACTGCTTACATGCGCATGTGCAGACGAGCTTTGGGTACATCCTCATCCTTTTCTTTGAGTATAAATCTGCGTGCGCCACGCGCGCAAACATACAAGTATTCCTCCTCTGTATGGGTGACATTCATGTCCATGTTGAAGCTGGAAATAAGAGTGATAGCAATTAACTAAAGATTTCAAATCATTATCTCATATAATTACATCTTTTTGTCCTCCTCGGCCAAGTTGTTCCAGAGACCGGCATAGTTATCAGATGTGAAGACCCAGGGATTTAGCGTAAAGAACTGGAGAACGCCCAGGCCAGTGGATATCTTCTGCTGTACGCGTAGCATGCTGTAAATATAGAAGATAAATTGTTAGACAATATTTATCTATATTTCTCAATGTCTCTATCTGAGATCGATACTTACAATCGCTTCTGTCCAAGTATTAGCATTAGGAAATCGATCAGGTAAGCTGGCAGCCAGTGGAACATGGCCACATTGAATTTGTGATAGATCTCGTTGGTGGTGACACAGGGATCTGGATACCAGAGTCCCGCATTGAATGGAATCTCCTTGTTGATGCGCTTGCTTATCTCAACAATTTCGCCCATGGCCTTTTTTCTGAAATCGGCGTTTGTTATGTTATAGACGGGCACATCGGCGGGTCGCTTGGCCTGCTTATTGAATTCGTATGGTATAACAATGAGACCATTAATTGCATAGTCCACGGGTATAACTTCAGCCTTGTATTCCTTATTCACCAGCACCGAGCGAATGACGCCCTTGCCGCAGCCAATCATCAGGCCGGTGGGTCCATTCAGGTTATCCACCCAGCCCTGCAAAGGCTCAAGGGCAGCCGGTGACACTATTTGCAAAAGAGAGATCTATAGATTAGACTATGTCAACGAAATAACTTCTCACTCTACATACCAAGAAGCCCAGTTTGCATGATGGCAGCTGGATGATAACCGAAAGCCAATAAGATGTGTGTGAAGTGTGGTGTATGTGTGTGTGGGTGTGGGTGTGGGTGTTTGTGAGTAGGGTATGAATGTGAGTGCATGTGATTTGTGAGTGCCTTAAATGTATTCATTGAGTTTGAGAATATGCCAAACTCTGAAGATCTTGCAATTTTGGTGTTGGTGTTGATTTGTTCAGTGTATTTGTTGTGTTGTGTTTTAGGTTTTCTTTGGCTCTTTCGTAATCCTCTTTTGACACTTTCAACACTCGAACACGTACACATACAAGTTAACGAACCGTTATTATTTTATTGCATTTCGAAACACTTAACTTAAAAAGCAAAACATTTAATAAACAAACGTTTTTTGTACCCCATAAAGCGAACCTAAGCATTAAATTGGTAAAGCGAGCAATAATATTTTGGCTATATGCTTCTATAAATCTCTCTGTGAGTCCCGTTCTAGGCGCCCACAAGGCGTGAGATAAGGCCATACGTCCAGTAACCTAGGAAACCAACGATGATCGTCTTGCACGCGCGATCCAATAGATACATCCTATAATGCGATCATGGGAGGGGTAAAAACATAAATAAGTGCTCAGATATATGGATATATAAATAGGGTTATCTTGTTTACAGCATGAGCTGGCGACGCGCACGTGGCAGTGACTCCGGCGACTCCTTCATCAAATACTGACGACCGCCTTGCACACAGGATTCGATGTACATGGGTATTGTTTCCTCTGGATCCATGTCCATGTTGAAGCTAATTGATGTGCGATAGTCAGAGATCTATACAAGAACATCTCCTCTATGTGTAAACCGCTTCTTACTTTTTCCGATCGGCTTCTGTCAGCATATTCCAGAGCGAGGCATAGGCATCCGACTTAAAGTACCAGGCGCGCATCGTAAAGAATTGCAGCACCTCCAATCCCACTGAGATGCGATTCTGTACACGTATCATACTAAGCGAATTTTCGGGGGTTTGCATGGGAGTTGGGAGTGGAATTGGAAGTGGAATTTGTAGTCGATTGGGATTCCACAAAAATGTAAATGGAATTAACCAAAAACTTACAAGCGCTTTTGGCCCAAAATGAAGAGCATGAAATCGATCAAATAGGCGGGCAGCCAATGGAAGAGCACCACATTGATATTATGATGGAGTCTGTTGGTGGTTATGCAGCCATCCGGATACCAGAGACCCGCCTCCATTGGATACTGATAGCCAATCTTTTTGCTCAGCTCAATGACTTCGCCCCATTGCATCTTGCGATGATCGGCGCACGTTATATTATAGACGGGCACATCCACCGGCCGTTTCTGCGTTGTAAACTGATACGGTATGACGCATAGACCGTTGATGGCATAGTCCACCGGTATGACCTCCGATTTGTGACGCGTATCGATGAGCATGGATCGAATGACGCCCTTGCCAGCGCCCACCATGAGACCAGTGGGGCCATTCAGATTATCCACCCAGCCAGGGACGGGCTCATAGGCCGATGGTGAAACTGCAGGAGATTCGTTCAGTCCTGATCTCTAAGATCGGCAGCAGGAGAAGGAACAGTAGCAGCAGCAGCAGCGGCAGCAGCAAGGAAAATATGTGCGTAACCAAAGGCGAAGGCGTAGGCTTTAGAGTAGGCGTGGTCATTTGTGCGAGTGTATAATTCCGCTGGGCAAAAGGCAGAGGATAGTTTTTGTTTGCGTGTTTTTAATTGCAGTTGCAGGCAGGGGGCGGGGAAGAGTAGTATTTGATTTATGTATAAGCTTCAGTTTCAATTTGAATTTACCGTTTTAAATTTCATGCTCATTGAACTTGTTGGTCAATGACGGCGACGTTTGCTTACAGTTTGTCTGTGCCTTGTGTGCGCGTGTGTGTGTATAGGTCTGTGCAGTATTATTGAAAATTGTTGATAGGAGATATTTGTACAAGCGTTGCTGTTTATGCTTATTTGTTTTTGGTTGTTTACAAGGGCGGGCTGACCACACAAACACACAGAACAACACATTAAATATTCAAAAACTTTTGCTTACATTGTAGAGAGCTGCCAGATGTGGTAAAGTGAAAGGCTACCAGAAGTTGTCAGCCGAAGAGCTGCCAGATGAGCATTAATGTGCAGTCGTTAACAGGAATCATCGATTAAAATTACATTGTATTAATAGCATCGATACTTTGTCAAGCAGCTAATCAAAATGTAAGCAAAAATTTAAAACTTGCGCTGCCCATGTGTGTGAATCTCCCGCCAACGACTTGAGCAGTTAACACACTTTTACACACACTTTTTGTTTCGTTTCACGCGTTTTGTTGTTGTAATTGTAGTTCAATTGTTTGTTTGTTTATTTGCCTATTTGGTCTGATTCGAGTGCTTTAGCGGTCGGGCGAGCGGTGTCAACAAAGCGCGCAAAGGGATTATGTCGCTGACATACATAAACACAAGCTACATTGTATATGTCACAGGTAAACAATTTGCAGATGAGCACATAAATAATAGACACATGTTAGCGTAAAGCACCAAAAAAAAAAAAACAAACAAAAAACCCACACATGCCTAACTTGCAGACAGCATAAGAGAAAAAGCGCATAACATAACTCCGAACGTGTGCCACACCCACAAAAACCTTAAGTGTGGCTGTCAATTAGGCAACGCGACTTGACAACGACTTGCCAATCCCAATTTTAAGAGCTGCGCTAACAGATTTGAACTTTGCGAACTTTATGCTGCCAAAGTCATTAATCCATCAATATTTAAATAGCTTGCATGGGCCTTAAAGCGTGTCTTAAATACACTGTGCAACACAATTGTGCTCAAGGCGTAAGAGATCAATTTCTAGTGGGCGTTGCCTAAGTAGAGATAGCTTCGGTGAGTACTAGTATATCTTAGGCAATCAGTAAAATATTATAGACTGGATAACTAGTATTTTAACTTTAACTTTAACTTTATCGCTGGTGACAGCTATAATAATTAAAATATATTGCAAAGAATCTTCATTAATAAAGGAGGCAAAACCGGTTCACAGTCTCTGGATTTTACTTGAAGCAATAGGGTATAATATTTCATAGAAGCAATTAGAGAGATTTCTTAATAATTTATTGTAATTTAAATACACACTAATCCGACTAAGCCATCTAATTCTGCCATAAAGCACTTTTCATACCAATATTAGCTTTACTTAACTCCTTTTGCCTAATTTTTGTCTAGTCATGCTCTGACAGCAGCTGCCAAAAATATATAGCCGGTTAATATGTTTTTGGAAAAAACACTTGACTTTATTTTTCTTTTGGCCAACGTCAATAATTTTTTGGCTAAAAGGTACGATTTTGCACGGGGTCAGCCTGAGAGTTCAGCTCGACTGCTTGAATCAACATTTTAGCCTAATTGAAAAATTGCAGCTGCAGAGGCAAAAGCCGGTTTTAGCCGCTCATGCAGCGGAAAACTCGCAGGTCTCAATTTCAATTTCAATTGCAACGGCCCAAAGTCATAAAAAAAAACGCTATATGATTAAAGAGCTAACTGGGAGACTGTGAACTGTGAAAAATATACAACATCTACTACAACTGGCAGTTTGTGAAAAAAGGAAAAGGAAAAGCTAAGACAAAATTAATTGCATAGTTTTTGTTGTTTATGTTTTTTTTTTTTAGGCACAAATTTAATAGCCAGCAGCCGACAAAACAAAAACAAAAAAAAAACACAAATTCGTAAAGTTAGGAAATACAAAAATAGATAAAATATATTTATGGTAAAAACTAGACTTAAGGAGATGATTAAGAAAGCAAGCAACCAAGCAACAGAGACAAGCCTCAAGGCGACGCCCCACAATTAATGTTATGCAGCTATATATGAATCTAGATATATGCAGACAGAGTTTATAGCGGCTGGACTTACCGATGCTGGGACGTGCTATGATGACCGGCATGGTTTCGTAATGATCGCGCACGAGCAGCTCAGCCAGGCGCTTCGAATAGGTGTAGGTATTCGGATGCGGCTTCAATAGATCGGGTGTAATGGCATCCAGGGTCTTAACATCCATCCACTCGGCCAGGCGCATCAGATCCTCCGGCTTGTGCGGAAAATCGTAGACCTTCTCGTACATCACCTCCTGGTCGCAGTTGCAGAATGCCGTCGACAGGTGCACAAATGCCTCCAGTTGTTTCATTTCCTTGGCCACATTCAGCGCACGCTGTGTGCCCATCAGATTCATGTCGATGGCATCTCGCAGATTGCCCTCCAGCTTCAGGGTGGCCGCCATGTGGAAGACAATATTCGTATTCTCCACCACATGCTTGAGGCTATCGCCGCTCAGGCCCAGCACTGTCAAAGATTGAGAGAGCAAGGATTAGAGAAGAGTTTTGGGAGAAGTTTTCAGTTCGTTGCTCTCTTACAATCGTAGGTCACATCGCCCTGGTAGATGGTCACCTTCTTGAGCATGTGCGGACGCTCGTCGCGAATGCGCTGAAAGATGGGCAGCTTGAACATCTCCTCGAGCCGGGTCTCGGGCGTCTTGCCGCGCTTCGGGCGGCAAATGATGATCACCTCCTTGAGCGAGTGGCATGAGTAGAGCAGCTTCTCCAGCAGCACCTTGCCCATGAAGCCAGATGCGCCCGTGATGAAGATGGTCTTATCCTTGTAGTATTCCTGCACTGGCGATAGATCGTTCATCTTGATGCTGCAAATATACAGAGAAAGAGAGAGGGAATGAGTGAGTGAGAGGGGCGCATTATTGTCGATTTCATAGCCAAATGCCGGACAAGCAGCCAAGCCGAGCAACAAGTGTCGCAAGCAGCAGCAACAACAAACAACTCGGCTAATTCTGAAATGCTGTAAACGGGTTTTGGTTTCTAATGGTTCGCATTTCGCATTTCTTTGCATTTGCAATTACGCAATGTGGAATGTCTGGACGGCTGGCTGATTGGTTTAATAGTAATACAATGCTGGCAATAATAATACCAACAACAACAACAACAACAACAACAACAACAATGGCAGTTGCAATAACAGCTCCATTTGGCAGAGGCCGTCGCAATAATACGCGACGTAGCCAGGAGACCGGAGAGACCAGACCAAGCCGAAGCTAGGCCTTAGCCAGACCCAGCCCGGGCTAGCCAGACCAGACCAGGCCAAGCCAGGCCAGTCTAACGTGTCTGTTGTTTGTTTTTATGAAAGAGTATGTTGCAAGCTGCACTAGCAACAACCACACGCAGCATGCAGCATGCCACCAGCCACGCTCGCTTGCCACGTTTTGATAGCCTTCTGCAATCGCCTACAAAAATTGCAAAATCAGAGATTGGAGCTCTTTTGGATTTGGATTCGGGTTTTGAGTTTTCGGCTTTTCTGCTTTTTCAGTTGGAGTTTTTACATTGCGGTCCGCGTTACACTTGGCCAAATCGTGTACGCAAAGCCCAAAATATATCGTGCCACTTTTCATTTCATTTTATTTAGCTTCATTTTTTTTTTTTTTTTTAAGTAAAAGCGGCTTTGCTCTTTGGCCGCAGTCGCAGCTTGACATTTCTAAACGGCCTCAATTCGCGAAGCTGCTTGGTATCGTTTACAGCTACCCAGCTGGAATATGCGCAACGGGCATGCCAGACTAGAGCATCAAAGTTGGCACTCCCCTGCATAGATTTTAAGGCACCTCTGCTGCTTGATTCTCTTTTGCTATTGCTGGAATGAGATGAGAATCTTTTACTGTTTGACTCCCCCTCTATATCTCTGCATGGATCTGTTTATTATTTCTCTGTTTCTCTATATCTCTGTCCCTCTCTCTCACTCTTTATAGGTAATTTCTTGCTTCTCCCATTTGCTCTGTTTTCACTAGCATACTCAAAAACTCCTTTGAGTTCTCCTACTCTCTATTGATATCTCTCGCTCTCTCTCTCTCTTTCTCTTTCTCTCTCATCCGCTCTCTACTTCTCTACTTGTCTCTACCGTTTTTTCGCACGTTTTCCTTCTCTTTTTCTGTTTCATTCTCATTATTTCTCTCTTTCTGGTTTACGCTTTATATCGTCTTCTACGTCTCCTCGCTCTACTCTCTCTACGTCCCCTGCTCCACTCTACTTCGCTCATTCTCATCTACAGAGCATCTGGTGGTCGTGCATTGCCGCCGCTAATAAGTCTGATAAATCGCGCATTTCATGCCACACTGAACGGGTTTTTGGGCTGTCTCGCGTTTTGTCACTGGACCAATTTACCATAAATGAACCAAACATATATGCACATATATACATATATATATTTGATATTTCTCAAGATAACAACAACAACAACAAAATATGCCCAGTTAAGCGTTTAAGGAAAGTCTTCGAGAAAGCACTCAGCATGAAAAGGCAATGCAGCTAATTGTACTTTATAGCCATACATACATACACATATATAGATATTGCTTACAGTTGCTGTACCTTGAACTAGAAATCGTACTGCGACTCTAGACTACGTAAACAACTTGTAAACACGGCTAACTGAACTGCAGTCGCGATCGCGGCAGCTGCAGCAGCTGTCAATGAGTTTCCATTTCACATCTGTCTACTAATTCATGTGGCAATTGCTTCATTTCCATATTTATTGCCAATTAAGCCGTTTTTGCTGACTTTGTCGCCCTTATCTATAGACCTGGAAAATCCAAGTTACAGAAGTGAGCCCAAAAAAAAAAAAAAATGCCTGCATGCAGCTTACACAAGATCTCACAATATCTCCAATTCATAGCGAGGCGGCAACAAATCTGCGCAAAGTCTACAAAAACCAAAAGTCATAGCCATAACCCACACACACACACACAGAGCCACACAGTCGCACTTGGAAAATGTCAAAATAAGTTGAAACTGAAACCGAAACCAAAAAGGAAAAAAAAACGCTAAACATTTTTGCTCATCTATAGAGGGCAGACGAAAGACTTAGGCAACGAACTTGCGCACTGTGGCATGCAATATAAAAGCTCCAAACTTGACAAGCATAAGCATATGCGCTTACATCTACACCGACGTTATTAGCATCGTTTAAGCCATAATTTACAAGAGCTAGTTACCAGACAAGGCCTACCGTAAAATCTACATACATATGTACATACATATATCCATTTTGCAATAGTTTCTTTGACTTTAACAAAAATGAAGACGAAGACAACGAAAAGCAAATACAATAATTTGTTCTTGACATAATTGACAGACATCATCTTGGGCACGTTTAAGTTGCATGCTATATTAGATTTATAGATAAACGGATCAGGTTAAAGCAAGTTGTAGCCTGGGTTTAAGTGAGAAAACTAGATTATATAGATAAAGTTAGAGTCTTAGTGAAATCAAAGCTAGCTAATATAGTTAAAGAAATAGAGTAAGAAAATACATTTAGAAAATGAACCTTCATTTAACTTCATAGCCTCATTTATGACTGACGCTATGCCCAGTAATTCGAGCCCCGATCTTTGCTTATAGCATCAAGAAATTGTTTTGTATTGCCCCAGCGAAGCGAATCAAATGAACATGATTTATGATCTCTTGACATGCCGTGTGGTCATGCATGACTTGTCTCACATATGCTCGACTTACAGGGTATCGCGGCTGTCTTGCAACTGTATTTAGTGGAAATTGCTGAGCTCACTTGTCGTGGCTTCTAATCAAATATGCGTAGTCAAACCATTTGATGGGTTGTGGCCCGTGTTGAAGCCACCGCCAGATGAATGACACAGTTTAGCATATTATGGACAACTGGCTTTATTTTAAAAAAATGACAACACTTAATATGAGTTTTTTTTTTATTTCCTTTAAAAACCGGTTTGATTAGTTATTACTACTATATAGTATTTCTTAAGCATTTCAAATGCGGACCAAAGCAAATGCGTTGTTTACATTTTGCAATGATAATAGAGTCGGTAGCTAGTACGGGTACTAGCACTACTCTCTGCTCATTAATTGAGCTCAGAGAGTCTCAGCGATCAATTTTCTATTATTATTAGGGTTTACTTCGAAAATAAAAACGCGGAAAAACGTCGAATCAGACACGAGGCAAAATGTAGTTGACCTAAAGTTCAAATCTATTTGAACTCATTCGATTGATCTAAGTTATACTAGATATAATGGTAAGAACTGAAAGTATATAAACAAAAGAGTGAGTACCCTAGAATAAGTTGTATATACATATAGGGTGTTTGATGCGAAATATTGGATGAAAATTATTGATAGAATAATATATAGGTATGATAGATCATACAAAAACTTTACTGTACTTGCAGTAATAGGGAGATTAAAAAGATAAAAATTGGTATAATAAAGGGAGATACATCTAACCAGAAATAGAATATATGAGTTAGAAAAAAATTTTAGAGCCGATTTACATTTCGAAAATAGAGTCTATAGAAGTTCAAGTTCACAAGTTCTGACCATATCAAAATTTTTTTGTGATTTGGAACGAAATAAGAAAAAATCGGTGCAACTATATAAGAGTGTGTTAAGCGAATAGAACATGACCTAAGGTAACTGAGCAAATAGCATTGAAAATTATAGAGTTCAAGATCAGAATATATCACATATTAATATTCAAATATTTGCTCTAGATCTAAAAGTTTACAAAGATCAATTCTATTCATAGGGTTTCTATAAGAAATTTAAACTAAAATTCCTTCAATTGTCATGCAAGCGAATATACCCAGCTCATGCTCAATGCAGGGTAGCAGTAAAGATTAACCATGAAATTGATAGAAATGGCTAAAAACCAAATTTTGAACTGTTGCCACTTGACGCTGGTCTGATTGGCGTCCCTTTAGGCCATTTTGCTAGCTAACTATGTGAGATGCTTAATACATAGCCAAAAAAGACAAAAAAGAAAACGACAACAACAAGTGAGTTAATAAATAAATAATAAGCAGCAACCTCCAGTATGTAAATAGGTTTGTAGCGATTGCCATTGACACACAAGCCCAAAGAAACGAATATTAATTCGAGATACGCTCAAAATGATCAAAATGTATCAATACAAATAAGAGAGAGATAAAAGAAGGAAATAAACAGATAGAAAAAAATAAACGAATCAAATATACGCTAAAAAATTGAAGATCAATACATTTTTTAAATAAAAATATATATTGTATATGACAACATAAATGTATAATAATAAAAATACACAAACACATTAATATAATAAGAAAATTTTCATTCAATTTATAAATTTAATAAAAATTAAATATATTTATAATTATAGTCTAATAAACACTGGACAAATTTTTAAAAAAGTGTTCAATATATATATTAAAACTCCGCTTTACAAAGTATTAATTTTTTATATTTATGATATATGATAAATATTTTTTAATAAAAAATAATTTAATCTAAAAAAATATATTTAAAATTAATAAAAAAATTTAAAAATTAAACCAAAAATTATTTTATTTTTGTATGTTAAAAGATATTTAAATATAAGGAACTCATAATTTTATTAATTTTTTTTACTGAAAAGTAGCCTTAAAAACATATATATTTGAATTTAAAGACTTTCTTTCGAATATTTAAAGTCATAATTAGTTTATATTAAGCGTAATCGAACGATAATCAATTTAAGGAACTGACTATATCAAAAATATTTAATATATGCTAATTAAACGCAAATTTGAGGAAATGTTTATACATTATATAAATGCTCAAAATTATATTCAATCTATGAATCGGGCTTGACAAACCTTACCAAAGACTTTCAATGGACTTAAGCTCGAATTAAGCAGAGTATACAACAAGATCAAATCACATAAATTAATTCAAGGATTTGGTCTTTGCGGAAATGATTTGAACTTACATATTGAAAAGAAAAACTAGCTTCGCTCATGTGGACGCTGCGGCATCAGCCAGATCAGCATGACCCTGACATGGGCCGTGACCCAGCTGAAGCCAAAAAGCATTTTTGATGATGCAAAGTTCAACATTTTTAATTGTTTCAGTTTTTTTTTTTTGTTTCTTTCTTTTTTCATATTTTAAATAATTAATAAGAAACATTGTTTACAAATTAAACGCTTCGCTGGTCAGCTAATAGCACTCCAAATGTTTCAAATTGTTTGAAGCTAATTATTTAAAAGTGTTTTGCCCAAAGCTAATTGCGCGAATGCAAGAAAATACAAAAATATAAGAATAAACATAATATGAGGTTAAAAGCAATTGCAGCGACACTTAACTTATAATTATTAAAGTTTTATTGTTGTACATTTGTACAGTTGTTATTAGCAAATGCAAGAGCACGAAGTGTTGGGTAGTGCACCTGTTTCTTTTTTTTTTTAATTACCTTTAGTAAAGTTTTAATTAATTGAAATATGTTTCAATAGCCAAAAAAAACTCGTTATAAACACCAAAACGAAACGCGTCGTGTTATCAAATAAGAGAAAAATGATTTAATCGAAATTGTAGCTTGCCACGAGCACACGAGATGTACGATCAAAGCGATATATACATATATATAGAGAGAGAGAGAGAAAGAGACCGATATATATATATATATAAGGCTGGAGGCAGCGAGCTGTGCGCTGTGCGGCGTTCAAAAGAAGACTGAGACACCTCGAGCTGTGCGCTTGTCAATATGAATGAAACGACTTTTGAATTTTTAGTGCGCTGCGCATCGAAACTGAAACTCCATCCATATACAAATGCTACAAATATATGTATAAATATATAAATATATATATTTATTAGCTGGTTCACTGTTATAGTGTATGTGGCAAGCGCTGCAAGCTGCAGTCATAAATATCTATTTGGCGCACACATTTGCTTAGCAAATTCTGCGGAACTTTGACAACAATAACGAATGCGGCAAAACAAAAACAACAACAAAAATAAAGGAAGTCTTATTGCGGCCTTAGCTTATAACCCATATATATATAGTCTTTGGGTGACCATTAAACTGGTCAACTATGAACTGCAAACATTATTTAGAGTGCAAAGCAATTTGCAAACATTTATTGTTTAAACGTTGGTTAAATATGCATATTTATGGCCCATTAGCATATTTATTTGCATCAATAATTAATCATGTAAATTTGCTTGCTGTCTGCTTGCAAAAGCTAATACAATTAATTTGGATTTTGCGTTTTACCTCATTTCGAATATTATGTAATTATCAATATCTCATCCATATTATCAAAGTTTATTGCCAAACATTGCAAATTGTGCCAGTCCTACAATAATAACATCAGCTAAAAATCCCCACATTCGGTAATTATGCAAAAATTATGCAAATGCGGCTTAATATCAAAATATAAATATGTACGTAAAAACTCTTTTAATTGAACCGCCAAATGGCTAACCGTCGATAGCAGTTGCGAATTTTTAATTACTGCCAGTGTTGCCACCCTATGCCAATTTTATATAAACTAGTTCATGTTTGAACAATTTTCATATCGATATGTCACTTTTTCTTAAATATTAGAAGCTTTATTATACATTTTCACAACTAATTTCGATACATTTTAATTGAGTTAATATTGTATACTTTTTCAGAGCCAAAATGCACAAGTAACTACATTAAATTGGTATAATCGAAATACATCGTTACGTTCGGAATTGGCATAAAAAGGCTGGGCAATGCAACGTGCACTAAACTACATCGTTGCAAATTATTAGCTGAAAAAGCTGAAAGATAAATGCATTGCTTATATTAACAATAAATTAAAACGTATGTTCAACAAACTTTGACCACGTGTGGCTCAATCATCGATAGGCACTATCGATAGCGATTTATTTTTACATACCACCTCACGCAAGTGCGATTGGATTTCATTATAATTTGGAACAGGGAATCGCGAAAAATTATTGCAAGCATGGCCGAATTAGACGATTTCTTTGCGAAAAAGGACAAGAAGAAGTCGAAATCCAAGAGCAAATTTGTGACAGCCGATGAGCTAGTGAGGAACCTAGAGGAGTGCACAAAACGTGAGGTGGCGGCCACTGCTGTCAAACCAAAAAAACCTGAAGTCTCGACAGCTTTGGCTGGCGGCGTGGCAGAAGGCGGCGAAAACGAGAGCAACATCAAAGTGCCAGAGCCAAACATCGAGGTGAGAGTTGCAATCAAATTCCAATCGAGTTTCCAACTCTGCATTGTCATCCAAATTAAATTTTCACTAATTGTTATTGTTACCGTGAGCAGCCCGTGGAGGAGGAATGGAAAGAATTTGAGCAGGAGCAGCGCAAAGATTACAGTGGCTTAAAAATTGGTCAACTTACCATCTCTGATAAGCAACAGCAGCAGCAGCAACAACAACAACAGCAACAACAATCCGATGATATTTACGATGACGATGATGACGATAGCGATGCCAATGGAGATCCAAATAGCAAGCGAAGCGGATTTGGTCCCTGGAAGAAATTAATACCCGCAGAGGAGGTGACTCAAATACCGGTGCCGGTGGAAACAGAGAAGTCATCGTCCAAAATGTACATTTCACCCGCGTTACGTGCTGCCGTAAGTATTTATGCATATACGTATATATCGTATTACAGCAACTGAATTTCTAAATGTCGTACGATATTCATTGGACTTTGTTCACCTTGCAGCAAGCTGGCAGCGGGATGGGCCTCGGCGGCAGCAGCGGTGGCCTGCGTACGAGGCGCACGGCGCCTGATATCACCAACACGGAGTTCTTCCCGACGCTGAGCGCGGCCCGGCCGGAGGAACAGCGCAAAAAGAAAAACGAACCCGCCTTCGAAGAAGTCAGACACGGCGGCCGCTACCAGCGAGTGCAGGAGACAGCCGCTGCGCCCGTTGCGGCCACCAATCGATTCCAGTCGCTCGATGATGAGGCCGACAGCTAGGCCATGTCCATGCCAACGATCACGATGTCGACACACCACAAGCAACAAACAAACAGCAAAAATCTACCGTTTTCATCTTATGTGCTACACTCAAGCTAGAAGCTTGATCTAATATGATTCGGAGCTATAGCAAAACAGAAAAAAAAAATCAATTTATTACGAGTTCTGCATGCATAATTGTAAACACTTTTTTTTTAGGCTTTTCGATTAACCCTTTACCATGTAACCGAAAAATAAGAGAAATATTGTTCATTTCGTTTGCATTTTTTGAATTATGGAATCAATGTAATAGAAGAGAGTACGAATAATAGCCATGCGTTGAAATTCGTTTTATATTCGTTTATAAATTTATTTCTTTAGCTCTATCGCCCTCTCTTCTCGACTTTTCTGTTCCAAGTTGGAAATTTGCTCTCTAGCCGTCCGTGAAGAGATCATCTGGTTTGCTCTGGACATAACTGTAAAAATGTTATATATTCAATAGGATAAATCATCTCTGGCTGGGATGTTTGGATCTCTGACTGACTTCTCACTATATGGCTGCTCGGGCCGATTACTATATGAGCTGAGCTGAGGTTTGGCCAACATACTCTCCGGATAGTTACGTATCAGATAGAGCCAGCATTCCAATTTTCTGCTTAATTCAAACAAAGGGCGCATTAATTACAGTTAATCAAGAAGAACAGCTGTTCCCATTACTCATTTTCATTTGTCAATATCGATTGCAGCTCACGATCGTAGTATCTGGGATATTCCTCTAGCACGTCCAAATTTGAGAACATTGTATCATCCACCTCGTAAATCTCACCTTCAATATTGTGGCCCACACCTGGCTTATTTAGCAGAAATGGAATATTGTAACGTGTGCCAATGACCAGGGGAAATTTAATCTCTGTTTTGCCCTTGGCTAGCAACCGAGAGAAGCCATTTTTTTCGCTGGTTAACCAATGGTGATTCGGCTCGCCTTTTTTCAAGGTGCCATAGACGAAAACTCTTTTAAGTGCCTGCGACATGATTAGCCTCTAATGGAATGTTAATCATAGATCTGATAATTAAGTAGTTTCTGGATGAATTTCAGCCAAATTGCCAATCACTGAAAACGGCGACAAGTGATAAGATTTGCACATGTTAAGTTAACAGTGCTGCTCCACAATTAACATCACAGCTGTAGGGGGAAAAAAAAACGATCACAAAATAACAAATGTTTACACGCGCTATTTATATAATAACAAAGTCAGCGCACCTGTTGGGCATTGGCAAATATATGTTTGTTTCTAGTATTTATCTCGAATTGCTTTTATTTACTTGAAACTTATAAAATTACAAACTACGTTCAATCTATCAACTATCGTACGCATGTAATATATATATATAGCAATATGTATATATGTATGTGTGTATATAAAGTCTGTGTATATGTTCTACAAATGCAACTACCGGTAGTTATAATAATAATTGGCCACGCCCTTCCTTTTCGAACACATTTTAGTTTTGAGCCGCTTCATAAGTGAGATCATCCTGTGCTGGATGCTTGTGTGTGCGGCGATGTCGCATAATATACGGATGTGTGGAGCTATTCTCATAGCTAGACAGATAGGGCAGCGAGAGCAGCTTCTCTGGATACTTTTGCAGCAGATAGACCCAGCATGGAACGGTGCTGCAAATAGAAAATTTTTTATAAATAAATTTAAATATATAAACATAAAAATAAATTATTGACGTCATTATAAGCTGCGTGGCACTTACCCCTCCCCCACACCAATGTTCATATCCTGAATTTCGCGAGTGTAAACATCCTGGCAATCCTCCAGATTATCCAATGAGTTGAGCATACGATCGTCGACCTATATAGAATATAAATTAGTTAACCGTATCGCTGATCTATTTATACATATAGATAAACACTTACCTCATAGATCTCGCCGGTTACATAATATCCCACGCCGGGTTTGTTCAACAGAAATGGAATGTTATAACGCGTGGCAATCACCAAAGGCATCTTTTGTGTCGTCGTTGCACGGCACCAGAAATTGGCGTAGCCATTGCCCGTGTTGGCCAAGATCGAATTGCTTGGCTGTCCGTATTTCAAGGCGCCATAGACAAACAATTTGCTCAATGCCGACGAAGCTTTCTGTGTGCCAAAGAAAAATTCCAATCAATTAATTTATGCATATAACAAAATGTACTTAACTGTCATAAATCTATAAATCTATAATTAACACCTGCAGCTTATCAAAAAACCCAATAATAAAAAGAACTTTAAAGAATTTTCCATACATGCAGTATCGGTAGCCCCCAACGGGGAAGAGGCTTTTGATAAGCTTGACACGACACTGTGACTATTCGGCATATCATTTAAAGACTGAGGAGATGGGCGCGTGATACAAATATGCACGACTCAATACAATAAAATGACACGGATTATTTCTACAAAAGCGTATATAATGCGTTGCATTTAAAATGGAACATTTAAGTTAAAAAAGTTGAAAAAAGTAGAATCAAAATAATAATAAAAATATAAAAAAAAAATAAATAAAATAGAAACACAATAAAAATAAAATGAAAATTTCAAAATCAATTTTACACATCAAATGCATTTTTTTTAAATTAAATTTAAATGCCAGATTAATAGTTTATCATTAATAATAAATCGAAAGACAATATTTTGCGCATTTAAAAAATTAAAACAATCTAAAAATATCAAAAGCGCACTTAATACTTTGTTTTAATGCGTGTTTGTTTCATGACAAACGCCCATCACTAATTGCTCGAGCACATCATAGCGCCGCCCGCACATACATACATACACACATATGTGGGTATGTACATACATACCCACACAAAGTCAACTTATTTATACACTTTTGTTTTTGTTGCCAAAACGAGATGAAAATATTATTGGACAACGGTAATGCATTAACCGGTTTACTGCATTCACGCCACTTTTTTAGTTGATTGTTTCTGTTAACACACACTACTATAAAACACAAATACACACATATGTACATACATATACATATATCTTGTTTACTGTTCTTTCTGCTCAAGTTTTTTTTGGCTGACGTGCGTGCCTTGTGAACTACGCAGCAGCTCCGCCTACTTTAAAATCTAATATATGTATGTATATATATACATACATATACATACATAGGTACATGTGTGCTTGATATAAAAAATGTATGTTTGCACGTCATTTTTGATAAAAAAAAAAATATATATATATATATACATATATTGCGTTAATATAATTACTTAAAGCGTTCTAATCAATGAGACAAATAGAGATTGACACGCCACGAAAGCGCTAAAACGAATTTACCTTCAGCTTCCCTGTCACTGTGAATAATTTGTTGCATTTTTATGACAATTTAAACGCTTCTCTGTTCTCTTACATAACTTTCACTACAGACCCGAGCACGCAAGTACTCGCACACGCACTTATAAACAGACGCTTCTAATCACTTAACATGTGAAACTATAAATATTCCCACGCTTTATATATATCAGCGTTGCCAGCTTGTCAAAGGATAACAGGTAGCTTAATATATAGGCACATAAAGGAATACATATTTATGTGAGCATGTGTGTGCACATAAATTAAAATTGCATTTTATATGCTTCACATATACATTCGTAAATACATATTAACAAAGGCACGATTATGTAATTGTACTTACCCTGATTTGGCCCATTATTGCTTTTAAGTACAGTCGATTTACTTAAGCTTGTTTAAAATTGCAAATTGATATAAAATTCAGCAAGAAATGCACAAACAATACGAATGCACAAAGAGAGGAGTAGATGAGTAAAGAGGAAGTTGATTGGGAGGACACCGAACCGCACTGCTGGAAAGCAAAACTCCAACTGAATGCGAACGTTGCTGCTGCTATCGACAGAGGCCCACAAGCATTGAAGAACGAACGCTGCCGCCTCTGCCGTAGTCGCTGCCAGTGACGTCGGCAACTGACAACTGAGCAGAGCAGCGAGCCCCTGCCCCAACAAGAATAAATAAAAACACGCCACACGCGCTTGTTATTACCGCTGCCTTCGCCGCCAGCACGCTGATCGCTCTTTCTTTATCTAATGTGAGCAAGACATATTATTAAAATTCGAATGCCCTACGAAAGACACAAATTAGCGCACATTACATATGGGCACAAAGAGAATGTGTCTATTGGTGTGCGTGTGATTGTGTTGGTACGAAAACTCGAGCTTATCAAGCGTTTCTTTTCAGTTGGTCGCCTTAAACTGGTTGCTGCGCCAATGTCAGGGCCATGGCAGAGGGGATTGACTGACCCCCTTTTAAAACTATAAGAATGTTGATTTAAAGCGACGCCACTGGACCACACGTACGCATTCGGCTTTTGCAGAGCAACGGATTTTTTTTCCGGCATAGTGAATAGCCAGCTGATTAAGAAATGAATCCAATTGTTACTTTCGGCAACAAGCAGTGCAACTATGAACACAAAATATAAACAATAACAAATGCGGCATTAAACATTATATTACACAGCTGCTCAAACGGAAAAGCATGCGTGCTCTCATCGCTCTCTCTCCCTCTCTCTTTTCGCTTATTCTTGCTACCCTACTCTCAAACTGTTAATGCGCTGTAAAATAAATGTGAGGCATTTTGATTCCATAAAAGCCAAAACCTACATACGATGCTAGTCTTCAATTTGCTATTTATAGCATACGTATTTTAATAATTCTGATTTTTTATAAATTAAAATGGACTTAAAACAGCCCTATTATCACTTTAAACAAATTTCTTTAGTAGTCTTTGGTACATTTTCCATTCCAGGCATAGTGATAATGCTTGTGCCGACAGGCGCACATATTGGGAGCATAGCAATAGGCTCTGGGACCACAGTCGCTGTAGGATGTTGCAGATGAGACATTATATGTATATTTATTTATGTGCAACACTTACTGATCACAAGTTGGCATACATTCGGAGCCATGGAGCAGCGTACTGCGCAATTCATAGCCCTGCGCACAGATGCAGCGACCATCATACGAGCAGCGGCCATGAATGCAACGACTACATGAGAAGAGAGAGACAGAGAGATGAAGTTAAACACTCAAATAATATTATTTTGATAATAAAACATTTGAATTACCCGCCGCACAGATCCAAAAGGCGGGGTCCACGACGACGACAATGACGCGCCACTGGATCGTAGTAGTAGTGTTTACTCTTGCGGCAAATGCAGAGTTCGGGACCGGCACAGTGTCCACCTGCCTGCTGGCAGCCGGGCACGCACTCGGCGGCACATACCACACTGTCCCCATGTGAACTTTGATACTGATCCGCACAAGGACACGGTCCATCCTCAAAGCAAACGCCGCGTTGACACACAATGTTGCAACGGCGCACACATTGGTGCGTATTCACAATCAGCATCTCATACTCTGAGCATATGGGCGGCGGATCATTTATCTCCCAGTAACGGTACTCGTGATAGTAACAGTAGACAGGCAACAGTTGAAGGACTATTAACGGGAACACCGGTAACGACAGCATCTTTGACTGAACGACAAATTGCGATTGCGATAGCGCTTGAGATTGAAATTGAAATGTAGAAGTCAGCTGTCCTATTAGCGCCAAGTGAGAGTGAAAGTGATTTCAACATGTGTGCGCAATTCATTTTGCCCGGTCACGATCATTGCTACAGTAACAGTAATTGCCTTAAGTACACAACGCGTATGATGCAATGGGGCCGAACATGTAAATCACTTGGGGGGGTGCTAACTGATAAGCCAGGCCAGACAGATCGCCGATTGCTGGCATTACGAAACTTCATTTGCATTCAAAGAGAACCAAATACCCGCCGCTTATTACTCATCGCCGGCATAAGCGGGCTGCAGAGAGCGAGACAGAGTACGGAGTCGGGGTCAAACAGAACCAACATGTGTGTCCACATGCAAAGCACAAGGAGAGCAAAAGTGCAGAGAGACAATGAGAGCAACAGAGCGAACGAGCGGAGAGCCAGTAGAAAATGCAGTAAGCTGAAAAAGTATTGATATAAACAAAATTTTGTGGGTTCATAAAATGTGCTTATTTAAATTATTTTATTTAAAACTAAATTAGTAAATAACTATCAATTTCGAGCCATTTTATTAATAAGAAGATTAATGTTTGTTATACATATGTATTTTGATCAAATATTAAGACACGTCGAATTGATTGTGCATTTCTGCATATAGCGTCGTACGCATACTTCTGTATGCTACTGTGTGTGCATGTGAGAACTTTTTGCTGGGCGCTCGTCTGGAATGTCTGGATTTCTTGTGTCCGCTCTTGATGCGCCCCCCTTCTAGCTTCGCTCCGGCCACTCCCCCTACTGTTCTCCCTTGCGCTGGCGGCGCACACATCTGGCCTGGGCATGCGCTTCGACAGAGGTTTAGCTGCTTTCAATGCGCGCGATTCATTCAGTTTTTCTTCAGACTCCGTTCAACGCGTGCACAACGCCTGCGCAAAAGGGAGCCGCAGCAAAATAATAATAATAATAATAATATTGCAAAATTGAAAAGCGTACAGAGTGAGAAAGAAAAAGAAGAAAATGCCAACAGCAGCTGCAGTTTAAGCTGAAAGCACAACAACAACTATAAAGTTTGACTATTTTCTTTGGTTCGCTTTCAACTGGGAGTGTAGTTGTGTATGTGTGCGTGCGTGTGTGTGAATGGGGTGAATGAATAACATAAAACAGACAACGGCGAGTGGAAAGCATATAAAATAAACAATACCATTTCGAGCTGGTCAGCTGAAAGGAAGTCGCCCCGTTGGTGGTGGTGCTATTTGCGGTGGATGTGGGTGTGTGTACGCATAGCCAAATGCTAGAGACGATTATGTATGCGGCCGAAGCGGACGCGTGTTCTGACAACGTTTCCAACTAAATTACCAGAAAACAAACGAAAAAATTGTTCACAAACTGCGCAAAAAACATCAAGTTAAGTAAAATGTGCTACGTTATCATCACAAGTGTGAGTCTAGTCTGGTTTCTGTGCACCCTGGTCGCGGATATGTTCGTGGCCGTTGCTCTGGTCACACCCAAATGGCTAATTGGACCCCCGATTGGCGGCGCCAATTGGAGTCAGGCCACGCCCGGCTCTAATCAGCGTTTAGAGTCTGTGGGCATTTATACGCGCTGCAAGCAGATGCAACAGCTGGGCTATCATTGTGGACGCTTCGACTTGGATGGCTTTGCAACCGATGGCAGTGTCTATCCATTGGAATGGAAATTGGCCATGTTTTGCTTGTCGCTGGGGCTAGTGCTGCTCTCGTTGACGGTGTGCGCCACGCTGGTCACCTGCTGCAGGCAGTCGGCATTTGGCAAGAGCATACACAACATGACGGCCTGTGCACAGGTGCTGGCAGGTGAGTTCTAAAATTGCCACATATTATTAATAATCCCACCTAATCTTTCACTAATCCTCTGCAGGCATAGCTGTGATGTTGGCCCTATTTCTGCATCCCTTGGGCTGGCGGGCTGCGCGCGTGCAACGTCTGTGCGGCCAGGAGGCGGAACCCTTCTATCCAGCTGATTGCAGCATAGGTAAGCAGAGCGTCTATATATACACTAATTTCTAATTAATCCACTTGTTCCACTGCTAGGCATCTCCTTCTACTGCGCTCTGGTGGGCATCCTGTTGACTTTCGCAGCCGCCGGCATCAGCCTAAAAGCAGAATCTTCCAATTTACGAACACGCGTGCGCCGGCGCATTGAGTCCGGCAGCAAACTCGTTTGCATTCCATAGCCAATCTCGTATCTATGGCAGCTAAAACATTCAACCGACAATTGGGCGTGTACACTTAATTTAATTTCGAATTTAACGATTTAACATTAGCATAAGCATAAATAAACAACTAGAATTTCTACAAGGACAGCTGCAGTGGCAACTGCAACTGCAACCGAAACAGCCAAATAAAGCGAAGAGAAACTTCACTTGTTTCGCCTCCCTTTGCCCTTGCCAGGTGGCTTGCCCTCTACATCCGGCTTGGCCTTGGGTATGTAGACGCCGTGATTGGTCTTCTTGAGATGAGCAAACAGTTTGTTCTTGGAGTCGAACGATAGTTTGCATGTGACGCAAGTATGTTGCACAACTGTTGACTCCGTCGTATCATCACCTCCTCTCGCCGTCTTGGCCGTCGCACTTGCTATTGGCTTTACCTCGGCTGACGCCGCTTCAACTTTTTGTTTGCTGACATTTGTTGCTGTTGTTGACTTTTTGCTTTTTGTCTTTTTGGTTGACTTTTTGCCACGACTCCAATCGTCGTTGTCATCGTCTTCGCTATTACTTGGCATCGCATTGAAGCTCATAGCTGGCGCGGATTCGTCTTCATCATCGCTCTCTACAGCAGTCTTGGTGGCAACTTTTTTCGATTTCTTGTTTTTCTTGTTGCGTTTGTTGCTCGTTTGGTCGTTTGCCGCCTCATCGCTGACCAAGTCCGCCTCGTGATTGCCATTCAGCTGCAGGTCTTCTAGACTTTCTTCAGCAGCCTCCAGCTCTTCGCTGTGTTCATTAAATTCCTGCTCCTCGGCCTCCATCTGCTGACAGAGGCGCTCCACATTGTCGCGATGTTTTTTACTCTCATCGTGATTGGCGCGCGCTTTGGCATTCTTGAACGACTTGTTGCATGCCACACAATACAGATCATCCACATACTCCACTTCCTGCTCACTCAAATTGTCTGAGTCTACGTTCTCTGCATCGACATCATCTTCATTCTCGTCCTCATCCTCCTCATCGGTGTACTCGTCTGACTCGCTGCCATATTGTTGCTCGAGCTGCCTGAGCTGTTCCTCGTAACCATCGTTGTCCACCTTGTTGGCACGCACTGCGGCCAGCTGTTCTTGACGCTGGCGTAACTGCTCCCTGCGCTTCTCCTCCTGCTTCAAACGATTCGCCTCGGCACGCTCCTCTAACACACGTCTGTTGGCCTGCACACGGCGATCGCGCTTGCGCACAAATGAAACCAAATTACGAATCTGCAAAAAAGAGAGCATTAATATCTATTCTATATACCAGTTCCATCTGCTACTCACCTCTTCATTCCTCTCCTTTCTCGCATTCTGTACAATCTTCTTCATTTCCTTCTCTACTTTCCGTAATATGAAACGCTCCTTAATCTCACGTACATCGTACGGGCAGAGCCATTCGTAAGTCTTTTTGGTGCTATATGAAAGCCAGTAGGCATAGAACGGACCGACCACATCCTCGTAACTGCTGTTGGCATCGCCAAATTGTGGCGCGCTCAGGCCTTCGTCGTCACTGTCCATGAAATCCATATCTTCGGCAGCAATTTTGTTAAAAACATCGCGGTAGACGCTATAGAAGCCCTGAGCATCATTTCCGTAGCCCTTGTAGCAGGAGCCGGTGAAGTAGGGAAACACATCCAAGCAGTTTTCGGAGTAGTCGGAATTCTTGCCGCGCAGAATTTGCTCGCGATGGTTATCGTACCAGGCACGTTCCTGGCCATCGGATAAAACCTCGTAGGCCTGTTGGATTAGCTGAAAGCGTTCCTTTGCTTCAGCCAGGCAGTCTGGATTTTTATCTGGATGCCAGCGTAATGCCAATTTCCGGTAAGCTGTCTTAATGTCAGCCTCGTTGGAGTCACGGGCCACGCCCAACTCCTCGTAATAGCACCGCATGTTAAAATTTCTATAAGAACCAATGAATCACATGAATTAAATATGTAAACGAAATTAGCGCAAAAAATTTGCTTATGTTTCACAATAATGCATGGCGCAGAGATGGAACTTTACGATATCGATTATGCTAGCCATTCTTACAGAGTGTGGCGGTTTATCGATAACGTTAACATGACGTTAACGTTAACATGCTTTATTTTCAAATTATATAGCATACTTTAGTTGATTTATAGATTTCAAAATACAAAAATAACTGTTTTTGTACAGTAGATTTTATATGCGCAATAACCATCAAATTCATGATATTTTATAATGTTTTCACAAAACGATGTCTGTTAGCATTAGGCTTCCTTACGATTTGGTGGCTGCGCATTCCGTTAGTTGCTTTTTTCACTTCAGCGGCGGCAGTCGCTCTCTTTCGCCGCGCAGCAAACGCCATTTCAGCCGCACATATTATTGCTACCACCAAAAAATAAAATAAATCTAAGCCCGACACAAGCACATACCAATACATCACTCAATATAGACAGTGAAAAAATCTTCTTTCATCTCTTGCAGCCCAGAAGTGGGCAAAGTTTCTGCTTTTTAAATTATACGTTGCCGGGCATATTTCCAATTAATTTGCATATCAAAATAATCAAAACGAAACTACGCAAACGGAACTTACAGCATAAACTTAAATTTCATTCAAATCAAATATATGCATATGCACACACCGACACATACACTTACGCATTTAAATCGTACGGGCAATCCTATAAAGAAATCAAATCAAATAAAATATTCACGCTGCAGTTTAACGAAACAACAATTGAAAATAGCTTGACATAAAAATTTACAGTTACGTTTGGATTTACAACCCAGCTACGTATCATTTCCCCAAAAGGGGAGGCTTATAAAGGCACACAGACAACCCCCACACCCACACAAGCACACCCACACAACGTTGAGTAACTCTGGAGCACAGCATGAGTCCGATGAGTCCTTGAAGCGGCAATAGGCGTGCATCTCAGCTTACAAACAACCCCCAAGCAACGCACACACACGCGCATACCATACCAGGAAACATCGACATCGTTGTTTGTGTGCGCCTAAAAAACGTCAACAAAAAATAAACAAATACACACACACACGCACACAGCTACAGCGTTGCCAGACGTCGAGTCGTCTCGCTGTCTGCCTAACGTAAGCGCACACACACAGACACACATATAGATAAAGAGAAACGTATACGCTGTGTTATGTGTGTGTGTAGCTGGCCTTTCATCTCGTGTGCCGCACAATAAAAACAGGCGTAAAGGATATTATGAGGCTACAGACATTTGCGAATAAGGTAATTTCGCAAAAAATACCAACACACACACAGACACATATATGCACATACATATGTATGTATACATAGTTACAGTTGAAAACTATAGCAAATATGAAAGCCTCTTGCTGCTGCTGCACACAGTGGTTCAAGACAACAAAACAAGTGAATTTATAAATTATAGCTTGCATTAAATTTCAATTAATTTAAAAATATTGTGTTAGTTCATATAATTGTAAACTAAAAAATCATACGATAATTATTTTCATTGTTCTAATTTAATTTTTATTTTTACCTTCGCCTATTTTGCTTTATTTTATTATATAAAATATTATTATTTTTTTTTTAGTTTTAATATTTATTATTTAAATTTTAAAGCTAAATTTCCTTAGAAATCATAACATTTTATGTGCTCATGCACACTTTGCGCACACTATGCGCACCACTGTGCGTTAGGCGGCTTTTGTGCTGTCATAAATGGATTTTCTTATCAACGTAAAGTGGCCCCAGGAGTCAGTTTTGCAGGCAGCCCACGAGCCCAATGCAAACTGCCAGCCATTGTCCCAGACATATTATGGAATTGCATTTCGGAGCTGAGCAAATACTTTAATGGCATCCTTTTTGCTTCTCATATTCCAACAGCAGCAGCAACAACAATCCGTCCATTTAGACTAACATTTGATAACAGACAGAGAGGGACAGAGAGAGAGAGAGAAGGAGTGAAGGAGAAACAATGTTTGGTTCCAAGTTGCGTTCCTGGATGGAAACGCACATTGTGCGTCCACGCAAGAAGAATAATAAGAACAAGCAGCAGCCAGATGGCGGCGGAGCAGGGGCAGGAGGTGGTGGTAGCAGCAGTGCCAGCCATGCCAAGAAGGCGGGCACGCTGCCGCACAGCAGCAATCTGAAGTCCACGACGAGTCCTGTGCTGACCAGCAGTGGCAGCCACAGCATTGCCAGCCCGGTGCGCCGGCGCGAGGTGTCGCCCATACAATGTCATGTGAGTAGCCATAGCTAAGCTTCCATAAGAGACTCTGTCTAATCTCGCACCCGAATCCCCTTAGACGCCCAGTCGGTATGGCTGGCAATCGCCGGACCAGGATACGCACACCTCCATCACGTCACCCCAGTCGGATAATTTGCTGTACGCTCCGCATCGCTATCAATGCCACCAGACGCTGTCGCCATTGCAGCCGTTGCAGCCACAGCAGCTGAGCGTGCCTGGCAAGGATAGCTGCAGCTCCACAAGCGCCGACAAGTCGCCCATGCGCGTCAATTGTTCCTCTTCATCCATTTCATCGCTGTCCTGGTCCACCGGCTCCAAGGAGCCCTCCATGCAGTCCAGCCAAGCGAAGCTGATTAGCCAGAAGGTGGAGCACATTGAAATCAGCAGTGATTACCAGGCGCCCATCGAGGACGAGGTGGACTATGAGGAGGTGGGCGCACTGCTGCTACGCCCACAAGCGCCCATGCTGGACTATCAGCGTCCACAGTCCGAGAATCTGACCAGTCTGCAGCTGGTCTACGAGGAGGAGCCGCAGCAGCAGCAGTCCAAGAATCATGTGCACTATGGCCGTCTGCTACCCTCCAAACTGGAGGCCCCACCGCCGCCGCCTCCACCTGCTGTGTCCCAGCAGCTGAGTCGTTTGCGTGCACCACGCGGCATGCCGCGTGGCAATTTCGTACCCGGTCCCCGGCCGCACAGTCTCTCCTCGCCGGAGAGCGCTTACTCCACGGGCTACTCCACCGATGGCAACTCGCCGTGTGCGGCCAGCAGTGCCAATCCTCCGGCGCCCGAGTACTACATCAATATGCGCAGTGGCACCCACTACTTTCCCAGCCGCTCTGCCAACACGCTGGCCACCAAATTCGGACTCAATCGTATCGAGGAGATGTCACCAATGGATCCGCTGCCCAAAAGTAACTTTGGCAACGTGCTGGAGGCACAGCCCAGCCCCTTGTCGCTGCAGCGCAATTGCCAGTTATTTGAATGTGAGTAGACATTGTTCAAAATGAGCAATTAAACCGCTTGAACCACTTAACCCATACACTTGACCCACTTGACCCACCCACTTGCAGCACCCTCGCCTAGGCAACGCTCGCGCATACGCACGAATCCTTGGTACAATACGACGGAGCATATGCAGCTGATGTCGGGCAGCCGCCTGGATGTGGATGCCACCAGCACCACCTCCACCACATCGTCGGGCATTAAGTCAAGCACTGAGCTGGAAATGCGCGCAGCCAAAACAGCAACAACAACTCTTTTAGCACCAGCAGCAGCAGGTGGAGCAGGTGGGCTGGGTGGAGCAGGTGGCGGTACAGCAACCCCCAAACTCTTAGCTGCGGCTGGGGCTGACAGCCGCTCGGAGGGTTCGTCGTCGTCCTCGACTGAAGTGGAAAATCTGCATGCACCGCACACCATCAAACGGCGACAGCAACAGCAGCAGCAGCAGCCGTTGGACTCCTTTCTCGTGAGCGATGATGAGGCCACACTTAACGAGATGATTGGCAAGTTTGATGAGAGCTACATCTACGAGAAGGAAACGGACATACTTAGGTGAGTCCTCGAGAGAGAGAGTGAGATGTAGACAGCAAAGTCGCGAGCAGCTCCTTCATTCTTCTTCTTGCAACCCTTGCAGCAGCGACTCAGACCCAACCGACTGCGCCTCCGAGCTGGACACCGGCCAGGATGCAGGCGATGAGTGCGACACAGATGAGCAGCTGGACATCGACTTCATAGACACCTCCTCCATGCAGGAGATTCAACTCGACATGCAGCAACGCAATCTCGGCAGCTGCCACTACTATCCGAGTGCTGCGCAGCCCAGTCCCTTGATACTGAGACGCGCCTCCACGCGTTCGCGTCGCCGCAGCGGCCAGGAGGCACCCGATGCCAGTCAGCAGCGTCGTCGCAAACGCTTCCTTAAGACACGCAAAAAGAGCTGCGAGAACCGCGAGAAAGTCAATGCGTCGCCGCTGCGTGAACCACGTGGCTCACGCAGTGTGGGCGGCACGCCCGTCTGTCTGCGTCGCCATCTGCTGGGACCCAAGGAACGGTAAGCCCTCGAGATTACTTAGCTTTAATTGCGTGTGAGTGAGAATTACTAAATGTGAGTTTCTGGTTTGAGTCACTGCTTATCCCAGTCATCTCCTAGTCTTAGTTTTTCTATCCTACCCTACCTGAGGTTCACCTACCGTATCCTAAACTTTTCCCTACTCACCCTCTATAATATTCTTAGCCAACGTCCATCCTACCCTACTCCTCCTCTGTCATTGTTCTATCCTATCCTTCTCTGTCATTACCCTAAGACTAAGGATTAATAAGAATATATACTAGCTAATCAATTAAGGACTTACCTCATACCTATCTCCTTTGACAGCATCTACAAGACTTCACCGTTGTCGAATCGCTCCAATTCGCTAATCTTTGGCAGCGCCAATGAGCCTCACTTTATGACCATAGCGGAGAGCGAGAAGGCGCTGCTCAAGGCCGATCTGGAGGCGGACATGAAGTACAAGCAGCTCATCATGGAGGCCGAATCGCTGCTGGAGTCCATGAAGAACAGCTTGCAAAGGTGCGTTGTACAACACAAACCCTTTTCATTTATTTAATCCCATATTTTCCTGCAGCATACCGAGAGACACGCCCGTGGCTAGTCCCCGACGTCTCAATCCGCTGGCCAATAAGCGCGTGGAGATGCTCAAGCACAGCGAGGTGGAGGCCAAAAAGCAGGCACCACCTGCCCCACCGCTGGAGCACGAGCTGGCGGCTGCGATCAACAAACGAATCGAGATGCTCAAATTTGAGACTGCGGCAGCATCGCCGCCAAATAGCCCCAAGCCGGGTCGCTGCAGTCCGCGTAAGACGCACCTGACCAACTTTATGAATCAGAATGCACCGCCAGAGTTGCCGCCACGTAAACTAAACAACGTCGCACCGCTCTCACCACAGCTGCAGCTGAACGGGAGGCGCTTGGTCCAGGGCAGTCCGCGGAGCAGTCGACGCGCCATGGCGCTGCACAGCTTCAATGCAAGCGACTCGGATCAGGAGTGCATTGCCGTAGTGGAAGATGCCACCAATCACAACTACTTGCCACAGCAACAGGAGCAGCAGCAGCAGCAGCACCAGATGTACAACAATCTGGATTACAATAATCGCAATGTCTCCGAGGTTCAGATGCATGACAACTTTTACTGTCCACACAGCGAGCCGCTGAAGCGTAAGGTGTACAAGGGCAGCAGCTCCTTTGAGCGCATTAAGAAGACATTCGACTTGGAGCTGGGTAAGTAGGTCAATGGGAATAGTAGTCAATTGATAGGTATATTGCAGTCGGGCAGGTTATGGGTATTAAAGTGAATGACAGATGTATAAATGAATATGAATTGATAGACATATCAAATTATGTCTTAATCGATAATAATCGATCATCCTATTTCAATGAAAGCGTTTAATACAGACAACAGACATTACTGCAAAGACAATTTCATAATGTAAATTATTATTTTACATATAAAATGCATTAGGTCTTTATTATATTCCAATCAACAGTTATCGATAATCAATCAATCAATCCTTACCGTTCTGCCTTATCTATAAATTCACTTTAAATACTTATAGCAGCTCTGACCGGTTAATCACATTACAGTGTATTAGATAGTCAGTTTGCTTAGGTCAATTCAAATTGTTTTGAATTTCACACCTTAAACGTCATAGCTTATCGCTCACCTGTTTCCCTTTTTATTTAATCAACTTGAACCTAAGCAGATATGAACGAACGTACCAAATCGCACGTGAAACGTCAACAATCGAAGCTATCGTCTTCCGTTTCGGCCAAGAGCTCCATGCAGGATGTCACGGTAGAGGGCGCTACCAAACAACAGCTGATTGTTAGCACCATTGTGGATCTGAAACGGAATCTGGAGCATCAGAGCTATGAGCTAAGTGGTCTAACTGAAGAATAGTTTGAGTAAATACACTATGAGCGTTTTGAGGTTAAGGCTAACAAGACTACAAAACTATCGATAATATTATCGGTGAGCCCAACTAAAGCATAGTTATGCGAAGAACTTATACCATAGAGATATACTTTAGATATATATACATATATATATATATATATATACATATATTGCTCACTTTACTATTTATTGAAATTGCTATCGATAGTTTTGTAACTTGAACAACAAACAACCCCTCCCTCCCAAGGACCCACTCACTCTAACTGACTTAAGCGGAAACTGAGTGCAATAAGTACTATTTAGAGGAGCATAGATAAGCGTTGACTCTAAGTTGTAAGCCATGGAAATGATGGACTGGATTAGCAGGTTATACATAGATTTAATGGGTATACATAATAATAATAATAATAACAACAACATCTAACTAATCACATCCCCTTAGACCGTAGTGAGTTAATTGTTTTGTTCGATGGACCTCAGTTAAAGTATATTGTAGTAGTTAAACATTTTGTTTTCCCATCAGCCAAAAAAGAGTTAAACTAGTTTTAAAACAAACTTTCGTTTTTTACGATCAGCAAAAAACAGTTTCTAATCGAAAAAAAAAAAAAATCAACGTGTTTCAAACACAATGCAAATAATAATATTTACTAAACTACAGCATTAACTAGCCCAAATTGAACTTAGTTATATTTCATCCTAATCCTTATTTATCTATATATTAGTATATATACGTATTTGTGTGTGTGTTTATTATAATTAAAAAACTGAAGCATATCTCACACACGAAATACACTTGAGCTGCAGCGCAGCTGATGGTGTTGCCAGATCGTTGAAAAGCCAAACTAAAAACTTCAGCTCATTCACTAGACTTGGTAGCATCTCACATAAACTATGCATATTTAGACTTATCTACATCAATTATATAACTTTATACAAACTGTAGCTGCTTAAGTAAATTCAATTATAATCTCCATCCAAAAAAAAAAAAACATATATTGTTTAGCTAAATTGTTTGTAGCATATATAAATTGTTTAACTGTATTCCTTAGTTATACGAATTTGAATAGTAAAACAAAACAACATGAATTCTAATTGGATTGACGTCTAATTTACGCCCATTTTTCCTATTCGAAGTGAAGGCCCTAAATCGGTTGTATTTGAATAAATTATTTTATTTGTGTTTTTGTTTTAATTTTTCATAGAATACGATATAGCATACATAATGTAAGCGAAATAATGTAACGTGATAATAAACTTAATGAAAAACAAAAACAAAAAGAATTAAAAAACCAATTGAATCGAAATTCAAGTAACTGTATATTGAGTAAGTATTAGCATTATATTATACTATTTAGCTTACGTAGTATTTTGAACGTAGTACTAATATATGTAGCACCTGATCCTGAGTTCACAATTATCCAGATATATATATATATATATATAGACATATATAAATTTATCGTATATAGTTGCTTGCATTAAAATTACAATTAGTTTGCACTGGGCCTGGGTAGTCGCTTGTCTGGTTTCACTTCATTTACTTAATGAGTTTTAACCATGCGCGACTCTTGACTGCGAGGCGCACAGCCAAAGTGCAATCGCCTTCCCCATTCAAACTTGACGAGAATTATATGCGAATCCCATCAAATGCTGAACTTTAGTTCAACGTCTGATGCGCAATTCCCAAACCTCAAATTAATTCCCCACTCAAGCTCTATTCCCACATACTACATATATAATATACATATATACATTTATTTTCTAAGCGACCTTAAGACAATCCAACGAGCTTTTTGATACAGAACAATTTACATGCAACTCACTAAATCCAAATATAATTACAAAGTGTGGAGTAAAGAGTAAGTCATCCTATAGATAAGACTGGCATTAACATTAACATATATAAGAAATAAAACTATCTTTTGTAAGAAGTCTTTGAAATGTTCTATGGAAAATGCTGAAACTAATTCGGAAATTTGATTTGGTTTATAAGTTTAAGTAAATCTTTAACATACGTAACTTACACCTTAGACACTTTGTTTTCTTTCATTTAAAAAATTCTATATAAATACCTAAGCATAACTACCTTCACCATTAATAAAGGACCAATTTTGTTAAGCGTTATGTTTCAGCTCTTACCTATAGCTTCGTCTTCAGGTGATTGACAGTCGCGTCCTCTCTGCTTGGATGCTGTTGTTGTATGGCATGGGGAAATTCCAGAGATCAAAGGCGCCACAGTTTCAGACCACGTCCCGTTCATTATTATGCCCAGCAGTGGGTTTTGAGTTGTTGTTTTTTTATATATTTATTTTTTTTTTAATGTTCTAAAAATCTCTGGTGGAAAAAAAAACCAGTGCAATGGAAAAACAATCGAGACAAGTTGATAATTATGCAAATAGTGGAGGAAGGGGGACAGACAGCTTGATGCCTCGAATGGAATATTAATTGTGTTGAGGCACGCTAAAAACATAAGAGCAGCAAATGGATTCTTATTTTTAAAATTGGTCTGGAGGCCCGTCCTATGTATGGAGCGAATGGCTGGAATGGGGAATGCCGAATGGAGGATGCGAAACTGGTTCGAAAACGGGCCGCTAGCAGTGAAGTGCAGTGTGCAGGGGCTGCGCTTATAAAAACACAAAGAAGCTTTTTTAGCACATATCTTAAACTTGCACATTCCAAGAATACTCAACCGTAGCGACAAGATGGGTATATTCATTAGAAGACAAAACATGTAACAGTGAGCAAAGTGCACATTAACATAATAATTGACTAACATTGCATACCAACAACAGCATTCTGTTAGCTGAATTTCAACATTAACAGCTTTGGTATTTTATCGATAATTCCGCCCAGTCGACTGCTCCAGCAATTACAGAGCAACCTACAGTCGACTGAAGCTGTGTTGTTTATTTTATATTTTTTGCATTGTCTCACGCTGCAGACGTAGCTGCGCAGTCGCAGTCGCAGTTGTCGTTGCCGTTGCCGTCGCAGCAGCTTTCAATTTCAAGCTCCAATACATAAAATAATGCGTGTGACTTGAAAGCTTTCTGCCTGCTGACGACATGTTGTCTCTCTGCAGTGATTCTCTTGCTTTTGTTGTTGCTTTTTAACGTCTTTTGATGTAGCTGCTGCTGCTGCTGCTATTTCTACTGCCTTTGCTGTTGTTGTTATTGTTGTTTTGTTGACCATAAACTGATACTTTGGCTGTCGCCGCATGCTGCTCGCATCGCAGTCAGCTCTGCTGCTGTTTTGTTTTTTTTTTTTTAGCCTTGAAGGTCATACCCAACGCTTGGCATTCAGATTGAAACGGTGCGGCTGCCTCGGCTAGTGCCGCTGCTGCGCTGCTGCGGCTGCGCGCTGCGCCGTGCGCTCAGCAGGTGCGCCGAGCAGAGGCATGTACAACATAGCAGCTGAGCGTCGGCAGAGGCAAAGAGAGAGGGGAAGCGGCGTCAGTGGGGTTGTTGTTTTGGCAGTTATGAAACTAGTCCAATGACTCTCAGTGTTGTGTGTTGTTGTTGCTATTGCTGTGGTTGTTGTCGTGAGTTTTGACGCCTTTTCTTGTAAGCATGTAAATGTATGCATATGCACCTACACGATTTACATATGCATAAACACACACAAAGACGCATATATATACACCTGTCTTCAGCTTGTATACCACAGCAAAAAGTACAACAACAATTTGTTGTTGAATAAACAACAACTTTTCGGTGACCAATGCAATGAAACGACCCCCAAGTGCCCAAATTTGCGTATGTGTGTGTGTGTGTATGCTGGTCTGCGTATCTGCGTATCTGCGTGTGTGTGTGCGTGGGTCTGCCGCCCAACTGTCCGACCAGTTCTCAAAGATTTCGTCAGCCACTTCTGTCGAGGTAAAAACCAAATCAACGTACGCATTAGAAATAACTAATTAATTTAACTCAAACCAAAGGTTGAGGGTCTTTTTTTCTTGTTTCTTTATTTTGCAACACTTACAACAAATAATAAAATGAGGTTAAGCTAAAGTATTTAGTGGCCTGGAAAGAGAAATGTTTTAGCCAACTCATGCTGCTATGTGCAAAAATTTGTTGTAAGCGCTGCGACGTAGTTGCCATTCCGGTTCTGATTGGCAAAAAATATATATACATACATATATATATTTTATAGTCCATATGAGAAACTAGCTGGGGCACAACATAAGCAGATCATAAGTATGATGCTGTGCGCACAGACAGGTAGCACAACAGTCAACAGACACAGATTCAATTAGCCAGTAGGAGATGTTGAAATGGGCATATTAGCTTGGCATGTAGTAGTAGGATAGTTAGCACATTTAGTTAGCACGTATCTTTTAGTTAAGCAGTCATGCCAAAAGTATCTGAAGCTTATGGAGAGTTCGGGATAAAGTTATAAGATTCTCAATTCTGGTATACTAACATTTACAGGTAAGAATATATATAGATTGAATTTTGAATATCTATCTGAACTATCAACATAATTATATCTATATCTTAGTCATCCACAATTTCAAGGTAAAAGTTCAATGCGAACCAAGTTCTGGACAGCTCAAAAGCTCAAAGCTTTATATCGGAGCTTTCGAAGCTTTAAGCCTATATAAATGTATAGCTTTTAAGGAATTTAAGCTAGGTTTACTTTGACCACGCCAAGTTACACATCAGTATGCAACAAATGTCAAGGCAACTTCATATTTCTGCACTTGGAAAGCTGAGAAAAAAACCCATCAATAAGACCCCATGACTCATTCGAACGATAACAGCGTATGTGACAGTCGGCTACAGCCAACTGCCAACTATTCTTACCTTTGGGGTTTTCTGACAGTTCACGCTGAGTTGTCTGCCTGTCTATAGAACCGGCCTGTCCTATTGAAAGCTCTAGACCTAGGGGGCGGGTCAATCGATATTGCGTTGAAGTTTACCCAAGTGCTGAATCAGAGTCCCCAAAGCTGGGAAGCCTACCCAAGTCATTTTGACGTCACAGTTAAATGTTGTTGCTGTTGTTATTTTCTGTTTTATTTTGAACAATTTTTTGTTTTGCCATTTTTTATTTTTAGAGCCAATTAAGCGCAAGTGCTCAAGGAGTGAACTTCAGGCAAAACGTATGATATACCGGATTCTAGCACTTGAGACGATTATATGTATATATCTTAAATACATATATAAAGGGGAAATACGCGTCAGTTCATAAATAAGGAAATCTGTAGAGCGTTGTTGTTGTGTCTCTTGCTTTTCGGCTAAAGTTTTTTTCTTTTTTCGGGCAGTGTCGCAGAATGTTCGTGAATGAATATCGGCAACTGCGTCGCTGTCATGATTTAGCGATTTGTAAAAGCGTAAAGTGTGCATGTGCGTGTGTGTGTGTGTGTTTGTGTGGAATTTCGAGTTTTCGGACTTTGTACTAGTTGCTAGCCATGAACCAAAGCTTGGCCGCCAACCCATCTGAGACGAAGCCAGAGCCAGAGCCAGAGATAGTGCCAGAGCCAGAGCCCGAGCCCAAGCCCGAGCACGAGCCCAAGTCGAAGCCAAAGGCAGAGGCAGAGACGTTGCCGTAGTCCAAGTTCGCATTGTTAACATTGTTTACGTGCTATAAAAGCTATATCTGTGTTTAAGTGTTAGCCAAGCATGCGTCTCTTTCCCTCTGTCTGTCTTTCTCTCTCTCTTTCTCTTTGTCGACGTAAGCATTGCGCACTTGTGCCTAGGCTCTAATTATACAACAAACGTCGTTGGGGAGGGGCGCACGGGGCTAGCGGCTTGACAGCATAATGCGGAATTCTAATCTCGTTTATGGTCAGAGCCC